CTTATCAGGGCCCCTAGCTTGTTTAAAAGTGCAATAAAGATCGCATTGAGCAAAATAAAGAGAGCAACCCTAACAAAGTCAGAGAACGATTGAACAACTTTGGAAGAAAACATTGAGCTTTTAAAAGAATCTTTTGAAAAAAGTAGGGGCGTGGCTCTCTGCCAAACCCCCCCTGAAGCCAAAGTTCCAAGATTTGATCAAAGAGTTGCAAGAAATTACCAAATTAAATCAAGGTATACAGGCTTTTTAGTTCATAGAAGACTTTCATTTTACTTTGCCTATGAGCAAAGTATCACCCTTGGTTACGAAGCCTTCTATTTGAGCACCCCTCAGAATAATTTCTAGATCCCCCTGATGACCTGGATATGAATAATTCGTTGAATTCAGTGGCTGGTGGAGGCAATGAGTTAATGAATCAAACTTTGAAATAAGAGGAAGATTCTTGAAAGAGATTTAAGGAAAATCTAAAGGTGCAACTTTACTTAAAAAGTCTTCCTTTTGTCAGGATAAAATTTGAGCAGAACATCTCGTGTTGTAACTGTGTCTTTAGATCCTAGCTTCAAAACATGAAATTTAACTGTTGTTGAATGTAAAAGAATTTTAGAAAAAACTCGTGGTGATCTCGGTAAAGTCCTTTAAAAGCAAAGAATCGGAAATCTTTCAAAGCTTTTAACTCGAGACAAATTTTTCCTAAGGCTGTTTTTGCCAAAAAATACCCAAAGAAAAAGCCCGTCGCGCTTGAATATTGCCAAAATCTTGGCAACGCTGAACTTTTCGTGTCTGTAGGATGTCTCTCCACGTGTTCCTCTTCTGAGGCTGTTCGAGGGCTGATTCAAACTCAACTGAAAATAACAGGAACAGCTCCCCCTCTAAATTTAGCAATGAAAACAGAAAATTATAGCTGTCATTCCACATCCTCTGATGCAAGCTGCCATCCCAGATCCTCTAGTACGTCGATAAAGGGGAGGTATGGGGGGTGCGGCACTAAGGTACTAACTTTTCTGTCAGTATAGAAGAGTATTTATCTTTTGACCACACCATTCAAAAGAGAGACACGCCCTTTTTTGTTGGCCTAAAGCACTTCTTTACCCCTCTAAAAAATGTTTTGGCTTTGCCCCTGCTAGTACTAATGAAAAACATTGAAGAGTTTGTCATAATGTCCTTTGACATTATTTGACGTATAGCCCCATCAGTTGAACCTCGCAATAAATTCAATGTATTGCTACAGAAGGGCCCGAGTTATTGAGGACTTCAGGGTCCTGAGAACTCAAAATAAAAAACCTAAGTTGATATCAGAACTATTTTTTGTATAACATCTTGAGAATCCAATGTAATGAAATAGAAACTGAAATAAATTAAATTTAATAATTTTGTTTTCATCCAAAGAGAGAAAGTTTTACAGATTTATCACAGAAAATGAGTGATTTTATCAATTGATTGGGAATTCTTTGTTGTGCCTTAGGGGCATTTTAAAAAACATGTGTAGGTTACAATTTTAGAATGAAATGAGCGCTTTAAGGCTTCTCGTTAATCTGCTTTACGATAACGTCTTTGATGCGTTTTTCTTCGCCCCTGGTACTATTGAATATCTGAAAGAAAGTTCTAATAAGGGTCTAATAATTTCGATTAATCAAATTGGAGCCCAGGTGCTCTATCCCTTTCGTATCTTTTGAAGGTTGGCGAATAATCTTTTGCAGATTGTGACTTCCCATCATTTACGACCTCCCTTGGTTTGTACAGATAAAACATTCATTTCAAACATTCATAGAGAGATAAGAGCACAACGCATCAGATTGGCCACCAAATAACTGTGAACACAGCAACCACGCTCTCATTACCACGGAAATTACCAGACGGAAGTTGTGAGAGTACGTCATATGTTTCAACTGATTCAAGTTATGAAAAATTACTTTTTAGGAGATTTGGCTTGGGTATTGGATATGAAGATTGAAAAATCTACGTGGCACTAATAGGTTAGAGAAAACCTATAGTCGGTCAAAAAATTATAATCAAAGGCTCAGTACGTTGAATTAAGTATAAATCTTGCAACCACTTAAGCTAGGTACACTGTAGAATAAGAAAAGCTACGTAGCATAAAGCGATTAAAAGGAACAGCGGGAAAATAGAGCTAACATGCTAAAACTTTTTTCTTCAAGCACTCGAATAAGAATTAAACGCTTAAATACACTATATCCCCTTTTTACACTCGAAATATCGTTGAGAACTATTCTAGCGTTGTCATTGGATAATGTAACAATAGTCTATTGCATAGTGCAACCAATGAGATTATGGGAACCACTAAAATTCATGGAAACCACATGAACAAGTATGTCCATTAAATTGAATTGTGCATGCTCTTGGTTGCGAGTACGAGGATAACCCATTGATAAGGCGAATCTCGTTTGCACATCAGCCCCCCCCCCACCCCCAACACACAGTGCTTCATATATTGACATGAATTGAAAATGAGATGATTTTATCAATCTTCTTTGTTGTTGAACGGATATAGTTCAAAATCATTACGAAAGAAAGAAAGGTATAAAACGTCGAAATAATGATTGAAGACTTTTTGAGCTAGGATATGAAATCGTTAGGCCTTCGTTGGTTATATAAGAAGAGAAGGTTGTTGTAAAAATCTTAAGAGGTAGCAAGGTCTTAGGCAAGAGCTTTTGTGAGGCAGATTTCAATCCTGTGCATTTACAAAAAGACTCCTCTTGCTTATGCAAGTAAGATCAAAGCACGTGCAAGACGTGCAGGAAAAGCACAACAAGAGATGGTAGTTTGCCGCTTTCATATGCATTCATGTATAGTCATGAAGAGCCACACGCGGCAAAATAATGTTATGTTAATTTATGCAAAAATTCTTATGAGAAGTGTGCGCTCAGCACTCCTTCGTTGACAATCATAACCGAGAACAACAAGGATTCGTACATTTTGATTTTGAACTTAATCACAAAGCCTATGGTTCAGATGGCATAAAAATTTAGGTAAAAAAATTCATCACTCGAAGCAGAAAAATAGGAAGCAGCTGAATTTTTAAACACTTAAAATTCAATGAGATCCACCAATGTGATTGGCTAGTGGGCATAAGAACGGAAACAAGATCTCATAAAAGAAAGAAACAATAGAAACATTGATGGGTCTCACTGTTTGTAGCTGCAAAAACCCTCTCCAACAAATTTCGGCTAAGACTTTACAAACCTGTCTTTGCTTCAATTAAGTTTGCATATTTTAGTTAGATGTTAGACGCTCATGGCTTCAAACTTTGTAAAATGAGAAGAAGACAGACAACCACAATTTGTATGTCTGCAAGATAACTTTTTTGCTATCGGTTCAAAGATCTGGTTGTTAATAGCAAAAACAGACAGATAAAACAGCATAGCTTCAGAAACAATTAGCAAATATATGGATATCGTATTATGCCTGTTCTCGCAAGAATCGATTACCGTTTAGCTGCAAAGATATGGTCCCAAAGTTTGAGAAGCGTCTAGCTGGTTTCGGGGGACGAGGGGGGGGGGCGGTTAAAGGTGCAGGGTTTCGGTGCAGAGAAATTAAAACACCACCAACTGATGCTGATTGTCTGACAAACCCACTCCACATATTGTTAAAAAATCCAAATCTAGTTTCTAGCATTTCACATTTAGGATCTTGCTAAACTAGAATAATGTTATTGGCATTAAGGTAGCAGTTGATGGATGTTTTTTGCTATAACCACGCCCATTGTGGAAATGCAAAAATGGAGCCACACCCAATTTTTATGAAAATATGTGGTTCTGTAAAAATTTTCTATTTTAGGCACTGATTCATCAACAGAAATGTTAAACTTGTTAAGAAGAATCCGAATTTACTCAATAACAGTTTCACTACAGTTTCGTTCTGCCAAAAGGCACATTTCCCATCTTTGGGTTCACCCCCTTTTTGGATTCACTGAAGTTTGCGGGGATCAGCCCCCTTTACTAAGCAAGCAAGTGGTTGAAGAAATTCTGATTTTGAAACCCTTTATCGTGCAATAAATTTTCCGCCAAGAGCAATTTTCTACTATTCTTATGGAATCAGTGAAAAGCTGTGAAGATTTTTTACAAAACAGAGAATCTTCAACAAAAATGCAAGTATTGGGTGTGGTCATGAATGTGGTCATAAATTTGGTCATAGATATGACTTATAGAAGCTGTTTACAGCACAGCCCCCTGATTGCTTTTTGAACGGTACATCTGGCTAACCTTTGATTCTCGGAAAATACTGGAAGGAGATAGCTAAAGACCGATCTCAATGTTTTAATTTTTCCTCAGAAGCATTTTTAATCAGAAGCAAAATAGTTTTTATTAACGCCGGGTGCAGCAGCTGGTAGTAGAAAGTAGTACCTGAGATTATTCGAGACTTGAAAAAGGTCTTTAATAAATTATTGAATGCAGTAATAAAAAAAATTCATACCTGCAAGTTCTCTAAAAGAAAATATCTAGTGAGACCAACACACCTCAATCTCTTTCTCTTGCTCATACATGCAATGTGCAAAGTTGTAGCAACACGATAAACTACATCAAGTTATATTTTTCTATGATATGCATACGGCATTTCCTCTCCCAAATTTGGGAAAATATGTCACGATTCGGCCACCCTCCCTTCCAGAATTTTGATGGAAGAAAAATAATCTTATTTTTCTTTCTAGCTGGAAAATAATTAAAAGCATCATTTCTACATTATATCAGTCGCTAGTCCCTCTGAAACCTGTCATACAAAGCCTATTAAAGCTCAATAGCAAGAAACTCTTTGCATGAAAAGCACCCTGAAATAATAGAACATAAATCTAGCATTCAGTGTAGAATGATTTCAGTAGCTCACGTTTTATAATACAAATTCAAGTACGAGAAACGTTTTATTTAGTTTTGACATTTAACATGTCCTATATGATATTAATAATGGTCAAAGAGAGGTTTTGGCATAAAACCAAAACGCATATCGCAACGGATTTCTGACGTTGGATTTGAGCATTACTCACGGAGAAGGAAAAAGCCACTTGATGTAAACCTTGAGTGAGATTTTCATTCTCACCAGGACAGCGGAGCAATATTGGAGCCCCACACAGAGAACGTATTAAACTAAACTAATTTGCATCCGAGGCAATTCACGTCGTGGTTGGCAACTGACAGACAAGTGAATACAAGATTACTCCAGGCTCATCCAAGCTACACATGCTTACACACAAGATACATCAGTGGCAAGAAAACATATTGAATCTATGAATACTGATCAAAATTTTGAAGAAAAGAGTGTCATAGAATCAAAAGTGGATAAAATTTAAAGTTTTTAAACAAGGCGCAGAATGAATCCATTTTCTCGTGGGGAGGTGAGTCAGCCTGCTAAGAAACTTTATAGGTCTTCCCTTTTCGTTGACCACAATACTACTTCAGTTGATGCTACTTGAATTGATGCTACTTCCCTTTATAATATGAAGTTATCTTATACCAAGATGAGATAACAATGAGTATATATTTCCTAGCTTAGAGTTTCGATCTTTTTCAGACTTTTTATACTCAGATTTTCAGACGGAAAGCTTTAGTTATTTTGTAAGTTTCAAATGCTTGCTTTTTCAAAGCAAAGATTCAGTTAGAAGGTGAGGGCACACTTATGTTTTGAAATACAAACTGCTCTTGAATTAGCTGTGTGGATTCTCAAATTTGTGCAGAATTATTACAAAAAGGGTTTCTTGCAGACTTTGTGAAGCTAAGACTACAGTACTCCTGAATGTAAGGGGGAATTAAAAAAGGATACATCTTTTTTATAAGCAGCTGTCAACAGAGTTATCGCAAAGCAAACCTTTATTGAAAAATCCTTTCTAAGACATTTTCAAAAAGAATTAGCTTTAAGCTAGCATCTCTAGAGCGGCAGTCCCCCGATTTTTTCAAGATACTGTATGATAGACTCAACGGTAAATGCCTTAGGCCTAACCCTTAGGCTTCTGCCACCTCTCTTATTGTAGGTCTTTGATAAAGACTAATGGGGTCCAGCTACCGTGCTAAAAGCTGAAGTTAAAAGCAATTAGTCATGGTGGTTCCATGTTATTTCGGCGTACCTTGTTCTAAGGGCTTCTGATAACTTAAACCCTAGGCTTAGTAAGACGACTTAATTGTTAGACTGTTAGTGAAGACAAACGTACTTTCTGTAAATTGAGCATGTTAAGTCACAGACAAATTTGGAACACATTCCTTTTACCTTTATAACAGATAATTACCTAACTGTTCCTTTGATTCTGTATTCCGAGGGCACAAGGATTATGTCTGAATAACAGTTTAATTGATACAAAGCTTCAAACTAATTTATTTTTAAAATCTCGTTTATTCGAAAGGCATCAAGTATTTGATTCATGTAATGGCATTTGGTAAGTAAACATTTCGCTTGAAAGAAATCTGTAGCTTTACAAACGACATTTTCATTGGCATTTTCCATACTAAATCTCGTATGAATATCATATGAGCATCAAGTAGAAGACACTAATGTAAATGCGTTGAATGAAAAAAATAAAGAAAATCATTTGAGTTGAATGAAGCTTTACTCTTTATTGAACGGTCCTAAACACCAAACCTTCCATAAAAAGTTTTCCCGAGGTGCAAGTCACTTGATGGAAATCTCTCCTACACCTTTGGTGGAAATCAAATTGTTTTATCTGGTGGAAATTTAATTGTTTTATCTGGTGGAAATTCAATTGTTTTATCTGAAAATCCCTGAAAATTATTTTGCTTTTGTGAAAATCTCGTACGCTATTTGGAAGAGTGAATTGCCCCTCGGTTTCCCCGAAGTAAAAACCTCGTTGCAGGATAAACACAATTTGCAATACTTCGCCAACACACCTTAATAAACAAATATCGACAAATAATTTCCGTCCAAGTTAACAGAATTGGTTCTTAGTAAAGAGGATAGTATGCAGATGGAGTCCGTTAAGATTGTGTAGTCGGAACAAAACTGGAAAAAATCATTTCTTATATCTGATATTATCAAACAGCAATTTGTATTTCCTTGAACCTTGATCAAAATCTAAGCAAGCCTTTTCAACAAATTATCTACAACCCTACTCACAGTTATCGAACAAAAAGTCATAAAAATGTTGTTTCTTCGAAATGTGTGAACAAAATTTTGAAATAGAAATAATAGTGGCTAGGACCTCATCCTTTGCATGGAAGGCCGCTCACAGAGAATCGAGCAAACATTGTAAGCAGAAAGTGTTTGGAATTTTGAAGGTTCTTTGCTTGCTGCTATGGCTTATAAGAACCGCCATTTTGGTAGCCGAATAAGAGGGCCTATTATAGGGGGTCAAAATTTCGCAAACCGTGTAAAAATCAGCCAAAAGCCGTATTGCGCAATCGCATGAAGCCAATTTACAATTTACTGCACCTTAAGACGCAAGACACATCTTGTGTGAAGCTGCATTTTGCGTAAAAACGGTTGCCAAATCCGCAGGCCCCACGTAGAAATAGGGTCGGGGTTTGAAGCTGCAAACCAATTAAAAGCTCTCTAAACTTAGAGGCCAATGAAATTTGAAGGCTGTCGATGGTTTTACCATAGAGATGCTAAACTTTGGAGAACATTTTTGTGAAAGACAAAAACAAACTATTACCATCGGCAGAAATAAGCCGTTTAGGCCTAAAGAGAGATGGTAATTCGGCAACTAATTTTAGGTCTAATTTCCCGGGCAACATTGTTATAAAGGTCGCAATCTCTTTATACAAAATTACGATGCATTTTTTTGTCTGAGCAACCTTATAAATCCTGCATCAATGCAAATTCTTTTCTACGAATCTCCGCAGTATCTACCACCTTCCGTTATATCATAACAGACGTCAGGCCAATCAGCTGTTTTTCCTGCAACGTCAAGGTAAATAGTCTATAGATTCTGAAAATGTACAAGAGAGGTGTGCTCAGACAATGGCAGCAGTCATGTTGAAAAGGGGGGGCAAAGACAGTCACTCGGAGTGAGATCCGTTCCTATCCAGCCAAGCTTTATCCGGGCGCCAAGGGGGATTATTTGAGTATTTGTCTTGTTTTTAGAGTGCCACTACTAACACTCAGTGTTTCTGTGTTGGTACGCTGAGCCTTTAACTGTACTGGAGCTATATGTAATCAGCAACTGACAACTATCTCTCCTTTCACACAAAGTTATCTATTGACTCAAAGGTAGCCATATCAGCTGATATGTTCTCTGTTTGAGTAACGTGTGAATCATGGCGCACGCATTTCATTAGCAGATCTTTTCACTTTTGTACACCAAGATGTCTTTCTTTTGGGTGTGGTTGCAGTGGCCTACTTAGAGTATGGCATGGTGGGGTGCCCTTGGCGCCACTTTAAGGTGGGGACGCCACTTAAAGGTGGGGGCGCCAACTGAAGGTGGGAATGCCATTTGAAGGTGGGGACGCCACTTGAAGGTGGGGACGCCACAAAATATAAAGATGTGGATATATTTTTTCGTCAACGAAGGGTGTTATCGAAATCTTATCGAAATATTCTGTAGGTAGATCTAAAATTCAGGGGCGTGTCGAGGTAGGGGTTTTGGGGGGTGAAACATTCCATGTTCATGGTAAACCATTGTATGCTGGATATTTTTGCCTTGCCGGTATAATTTTAGTCTTGTCAGTAAACTCTTTTCAATAGCTACTACATTTAAAAACAGAAAAGGGTACAAGGAGAAGAAGGCTGCACTTTTTGCAAACAGTCGGCAGATGATCGTTTGGAAACGAGATCTTCGCAGCATCTTCTCAGTTTATATATTATTCCTAAAATTGTTAGATTTGTTACCCTAAAAAGTATATTCTAAAACTTTGGAAAACCTTTCATTTTGTCGTGTCAGAATCAAACGAGTTATAAATAGGAAGCATAATGATTATAACAAGGTTACGAATTTTGCCTGAATCTTCCTTAGTTCTTAATCGATGTTGTCGATATTTTGGATTAATTGTCCCGTTATCCCTAGAATGTCATACTTTTAAAGTTTTTCTTGCCGCCAACCAAAGTGGCAGCCTTCACTAAGCCCTTGAACAATCCTACCTTCCTCTCCCTACTCTCAGCTCCATCTCAATATTGATGTTCCTAATAATCGTTGTGATACAGTTTAGTTTAATGATAGAGACACAACTACGATATTTAAGTATATGGTAGAGGTTACCCTGGGTTCCAGAGCGTCAAGTGTAGCAAGTGGGGCGTCGAGGAAATAGGGCGTACTTGCTACAATTGACACTCTGGAACCCAGGGTAGGTAGAGGTAGTAGTAGTAGTAGAAACAAAAATCCAATCAATCGGTGCTTGTGCTCCCTTCGCGTTTCATCAGAATTTGCTAATGAATTTAGTTGAAAGTTGCTAAAAGACAAACAAGCTAACAAACAGGCACCGCTAAAAAGAAAACCTTCTTTGCGGAGTTATTAAATTGCAGGGAATGCTGGTGTTATGTGTTTGGACAAGGGAAAAATCCAGCGATGGTCATGTCTCCCTTAGATCTGTCCTACGTTGTTGAGCAGTACAAGCGTACTTAATTTTGAACATTTTCTAAAGCAGGTACAAAAATTACACATTTAACCTAAAGCGAATACCATTTAAAGCGAATAAAAGTTGCCAATGCTCACTAGTCTAGAAGCTATGCCAGAAAAAATGGAAGGTCCCTTCTCTGTTTGTCACTTTCAATAACTTTTTAATTTGTACTGCAAAAAGTCAACCAATAATGAAGACCTTTTTCACTTGATGCAGAAAATTGTGACAAAGGTGATTTTCTGCCTTGGTTTTGTTACTACCTAAAATGTAAGAAACTCCATATAAAGCCGAACTTTTAGAAGGTAATATAAACTTTTTAGTGGTAAGGATTTTTGTACGTTTTGTATCAAAGGATCGACAGATCAGAGAGAAACGCTCAAGGGGCAGGGAGCGACCTGGAATGTTTTTGGCAATGGGAATTTCGTGGTCTGGTTATCAGGCTACCCTCCCTTCAGTTGAAAAGTTTTTTTGGCCCTGATTATACAGTAGTATATCTTATCGGCGATATTTGCAAAATAGCTCTAACCAAACCAAGCAACATATTTAGGACTCATTGTGTGCAGTTCTAATGACGCAGATTATATTTTCAGTATATGAATATTATTGTACGCAATGCAAGAACACACATCGAGGAAGGCAGAGCAAGGTTCACCGACTATGAAGTCGAACTAAAGGTAATAGAAATTACTTTGGCATTATTTTTTCTCTTCCTCAAAAACATATCTTTAAGCAACATCAGGCCTGGCTTTGGTAAGATCTCCTGATCGTTACAAGAGTGAAATGATTCAAAAGAGTTCCAGAAACTGAAATTATTTCCTTTTCTTCTTTATCCGCATTATCTCCAGCGATTTCCATCAATCATCGAACGATTTTACTGACTCTAAACAAAATGTTGAGGATACAAGCCGATCTTAATCTTCTGACCCAATCGAAGGGTATCCCCTGCATACGGGCAAGTTTGTATAAGAATCCCCCCCCCTCCTCATTGAGTCTAAAATTATAGTCAAAGGAACCTTCACTGGCTGTTGATCCTTGATGGTTGTAAAACGTGCTTGCTCTGTGTATCTTACACTTGTGAATTGCAAATCAAGGTAAATTGGCTTTGGCAAAACATTTATCGAGGTGAAAAATTTCTATGAATTTATATTGTTTGTATGTTTGATTCTTCAAATGAGATATTTTCAAGCAATGGACCGTGCTTTTTACTTACTAATAATTATTATCACTTTTAGACCAATCATATATCTTTTGCACTGAAGCAATCAAAAGTTCGACGAAGGTACTCGGACTTTGTTTGGCTGCGCGACAGATTGGCAAAGGACCTTATGATATCGTGAGTTGTAGAATTTGAATACAACTAAACCCAAATTATGAAAAATTGATTTGGTGTTTTTCTGCTGTAGATGTCAAGGATGTTCTATGTTTATATTGTGTTCTTCTTTCTCTCTCTTCCTTCTTTCTCTTCTTTCTCTTCTTTCTCTTCTTTCTCTTCTTTCTCTTCTTTCTCGTCTTTCATTTTTCTTATCTTTCTTTTCTTTCTCATTTTTCATTTTTCCTTTTTCTCTGATATCTCTCCTTCTTTTTTACTTTCTTTTTTACTCTTCCTTTTTGTTATTTTTCCTGCCGCTATTTTCTTCCTATGCTTCTATCTTTTACTCTTCAGGCACATTTTTCTTGCTTTTTATTTATTTTCTTCTTTTCATTCTTCTTCTTTTTTTTCCTACTTCTGCTTCTCTTCTTAACCTTCTTCCTTTTCTCTTTTACTTCCCTTATCCGTCTTCCTCTCATCTTTCTTCTCCTTCCCTGTGTTCTTCATTTTCTTCTTTGTCGTCTTTTTTTTCCTTTATTACTTTTCTCCTTTCTTTCAGTTTATTCCCTTTTAGGCTCGCTTTTAATATGCCTCCTCCAATTCTTTTTACTTTGCAAGTTTCTTTATTAAGTTCCCCTTATTACATTCCTCTGATATAGTTTCTAAACGTTTATTTCAAGATAAGAGAGTTACGTTGTGCGTTTAATTTTAGGGAGATGATGACCCTTGCGATTACGCTCATGATGATTCTACGTCCATTTTCCCTTTGTAGGCAATTGTAAATAATGCCAGTGTAATATCTTTTCGTAGAGCCCCTCCAAGTCTTCCTGGAAGGAGACTTTTTGGCAGATTCAACACCGATTTTATCAAACAGCGACAACGAAAGCTTCAAGACTTCCTGAACAAGTAAGACTTCTATTTTCAAGAACGGTAAAATGGTATTGCTATCACCATCAAAGTAACGAGAGGCAAGGAAAAACTTACTTAGCTTGAAAATGCGTCTATTCACACCAAGGGCCTAAGCCATTATAGAATCAAATATTTCCCTGATGTTAAAGTAACAACAGATACTACTTTGAAGGGAAAATATCAGTATCTTTAAATGATAGCATAAGTATTTATCTGTTTAGGTATTCACACCCAGCGAAGGAAATAAATACATGCGCTGCAAGCCTTAATTTTAGATATTGTTTTCTTTAAAATACTAATACTGGGTAACTAAGTTCATGATTTGAATATCAATGATCTATATTTATCTATGCATCAAAGTCAACGGATAATTACATAGAAATTGATTTGCTGTACATGTTCCATTTGTCAACAGGGTTGTCAAAAACAATGTTTTCCTGTCCCATGTTGCTCTACACCTCTTTCTGCAAAGCAAGATGACCGTTGAAGAAATAGAAGCTCAGATCGATTCAAAAATTGACGAAGATGCCTGTGAAACTATTCTGTCCGAATCTGCCTTTCAAGACAAAAACGAGGCTGGATGTTCAATGCGAGACCGTCTTCCATCTAAACACGACAGTGGCATCGAGAGTTCAGGGCACTATGAAGGAGATTCTGGGGATGTGTCATCCGTTGGAATGGACAAATGTAAGTGTTTGCTTGGTTTTACCTACAAATATTCTATATATGAACTACAACTGTGTTTGTAAAAAGATCCTTGATGGGCATAAAGAAGCATAAAAAGAGGATATAAGCAAACAAGCTTCTTATTTCTTCTTATTTCTGATTATTTTCTTCAATCATACAATCAGCACATACATCTTTGCTTTATAAAAAAAGGTGACCAAGAACAGAGTCTGGTTGATGGAAACGCAGCGGATAGTGAAGACAATGCTGAAGAGGAAAACGATCTTTCAGATGATAATTGTTTAGATGATGACGATGTCGAACGGAATTTTCGCAAATTACAATTGACGTCTTTACTCGCATCAGCCGTTGACCAAGAGAAGCAAGATCTGGAAAGCTCCGTGGAATTTTCGCTAGAGAGGACATCAGAATCAGATGATGACGTCATAGATGAAGACCAAGAGATAGAGACAGGCATCACGATGAAATCACCTACAAGAAAGCTTTCAACTGGTTCGAATACAGGGCCTCGGAGGATGCGGCGTCGCAGCAGACGTAGACGAAAAACCTGCATACCTGAGCTGAACCTTTCTGAAGGGTGCAAGAGCAAAGATGACGCACAATCTTCGAGTCCCGGTCTTCTAACAAAACAAACATTCATGCGCCGCTGTTTTCGTTTGATAGGTTTATAAGGTCTTCATCGATGTTCGAAATGAAAAGGCAAAGCTCACTGATGTCATCGAAAAACAGTGTTTTTGATGTACAGAGTGGCAGGACAAGCAAAAGCTCGTTGTGCCGAAGTTCGTCGTCGAAATTGTCAGAATCGGATGAACGATATCGTGCGAGATTTTCAGGGTCGGAGGAGAGATTTCGCTCACCAATAAAGAGAAGAATCAGTTTGAAGGAATACCATATTGTAAAGAAAGACGCCTGTTTTTATGCTAGTTTGGATGAAAATCAGTTCAAAACCTCTTTTTAAGCCGATATAAGACTTTTTTATTCTAAGATGTTTCGGTTTTTATCAAGTATTTTTCCAGTTCTCTTAACTGCGTCCATAAACCTTTAAGATAAATTTCAACACTTAGTAATATGAGATGTCCAAACGTTCAGTGCTAAGAGTACATTACAATCATAACTCATGTACAATTCCTTAACAAATGGTCGTTTTATTTTTAGCTAAATTAGATTGATGACTTAAAGTTGAAATAATAAACATAGAGCTAGGCAGAATTTTTTCTACACTAATATTAATAGTTTGAATCGTGAAACAATTTAATGCAAATTAATTACTAATACTGACTGTGTGGTAGGTCTTTCTTTATCAGTAAACATCGTAATAAATCATTTTCACGTTTATCACATCTTAATTCTTCTAGATATTCTTTTATACTATTCATAGCACTTGGAATACCTAAAATGAAGTATTCAAAAATATGAACTCTATCCCCCAAAACTTGGGATGATGTAGTTCAATAAAGTAAAGGCATATGGAAATAAATGTATGATAATACTTTGTCCAACTTTTTTAAAAATATTTGTTCCTAATTACAAAATTCTGTAAAAATATCATCGAAATCTGGGTTCTTCTTTTTCTCACGAAGGCGTTTTTCCAAAACAAGGCTCTTGTTTAAAGCGTATTTTCTTGACATTTCTTTATCTGCCAGGATATAACAGTGTATTTAAGCAGGCAAATATATGTATATACTCCCTGATTTTTTAAACCCAGAAAAGTTTTTTTGTTGAGCTCTGTCTATGCTACATAGGGACTGAATTGAAGCTCACAACAACTTGTTAATTAGAAGAAAAAAATCTAACTATTCCTAAAAATGGCTTTAGAAAAGCAAGTATTTAAAGGCATACTTTTTGGCAGAAACACTTTAGAGTATAAAACTTCAGAATAATAATCGAAAATTCTTAAGCTAGAAAGCATATTTGCCCAGTTGCGAATCATAAATGACCAATTAGATTTTTCCAAAAAAGTTGTTCTTGTGTGATTCTGAGATTTTCAGCATTTTGTCAAAAAATATTTTCATGTATCAAAAAAAAGGAATGTGATAAATACAGTTATTGTGCATGATGGTATAAATGCTTGAGCAAAAAACTTTCCTGAATTATATTTATCTGCAATTCTAAACCCATTCCAATTTTCAAGCTGAATGAGTTAAATTTTAGGAAGGTATAATTTCCAAAACATGCTTGCAAGTTCTTTAACATTATTAACAGGGGGTGTGTTTTGTTTATAAGTTGAGGTGTCTTGTACAGTGGCCTCAAGTTTTGTAAAAGCAATCCATTTTTTATGCGAACTTAATAAGTATAAAGAAGTTAGGAGTTAATATCTAAATATATGTCCATGATTTTGTGTTAAGTTATGAATCTGTAAATACTTATAAACGTAACCTTGTAACTATTTCCACTTATTTTGAAATTTTTAATGATGCAACTTTTTATTACTAGTCGTTAGATTTTCTGGATTGTGTTCTGCTGTTCACGTGGACATAACTTATTGGATTAAGGAAAATGGGTGAAAGGCATAAAAAACACAGGAAAATGGCAGCTGATCACTTTGATTGCTAAGAACGTCTGCAAGGACAGATTCTTATGTTTAAAAACCTTTTTCCTTCGTTATTTTCAGTCTGTGCATTGATGTTTGTCCCAGGGTATGCATCTCTACTGACCAATATTTTACAGTCCGGGGAACATCTAGAGAAATTTATAAAGCCTTTAATTAAAGATCTTTCCTAGAAAATTCAAAACGTTAAACCCCCCTCCCCTTTACCTAGTCGTGAAGGTAAAAGCATGATAGTGCTTTCGATTCATTTCTATTTACCATTTTGTTGCCAGAATTATCCCCAAGCAGGACTCTACATACCTGCCAATTGTGTAGTTTTTGGTATTGACGTATAACACGTCCAGTCCTCCCTATTTTGTGCTTGTTTTCTATATCTTTACACTTTTAGCGAGAGTAAACTTCATCTTTATCTTACAAGACAGCAGAGGTTGGGGGAATGGTGGCATTAAAAGTAAGAAATGATAAAGCAACTGCTCTACTGTTTTCAGACGTGCCTCTATCAATGTCCACTTCCATTTTTTGTCGCACGATCGGCATTTTGCGTTCTCGTTTCCATTTAAAGTTTTGGTCTTCTTTAGACTTTAGTACGACTTAGTATTTTTTTAAGTCAATTGATATCATTGAATTATTCTCAATCCATGTTCAGCTATGATAGTAGATCAACCCAAAATCCCACAATAATCACTTGAATATAATAAATTCAAAGTGCAAAATATGCCCTAACATACCATGTTAACCTTCAGAATATGGGCTAATGTTTTGCAGATTCATGTTTTGTTCCACATTTGAGAACACAGATATGATCGGCACGCATTTTTGCCCCCATTAAACAAAATTTTCTTTATCAAGCTAGTGTACCGGTAGGGAAGATGATTCCTTTAGGTCTATCAGCCTGCAAAAATCTTCGCAATATCTTCAATCAGCACCTTGAATGCGACATCAAACTCTTCGCGTTACTCGTTCATCAAAGGCAAAACTAGATCAAGGGTAACTATAATGTAACCGCTATTAACGGACACCTATCTCTCTCCTAAACGAACATATATTTTTGCTTCAAAACGGTCAAAACGCTATCCAACAACTTCTAAACAAAAAACACTATTATACAACGGCCATATACACTAAACCACCGACGTCGAAAATCGATGAAAAAATGTAGATCATCGCGAGAAAAAATAAACCTTATTGCCATAAAACACATTAGGCATGTTTGTAATACATTGAAAAGTGATAAGGATCACATTTAGGCTCTTCTGAAAACCAAATACTTATTAACTACAACTATGAATCAAATCTTCAAACAAATTTTTTGGCAATTAAAGAGGGTCTCCCAGGGGTTTTCGGGACCAAGGGAACATGGCAACAAATGGTACAGGAACACGGGAACATGAGAACATTATAACTAGTTTAAGGGAAGAAAGGCTGTTTTTTTAACGAGAACGCGGGAATATTGGTTGTTCTTCTTAAAGGGAGACCCTCATTAATTGCAGCATCATGCAAATATGTTGGGGTTGACGCCAAGAATGTAAGCAAATTGTCAATGTACAAACTGTTACATAAGTGGCTTGCGATTCTCCAGAGGTGGTATAAATTGTTTTCGGGTAAACAAAGAATAAGAAATCTGCTTAAATGAATCAAGTGCATTGATTAATATTATTTAATGTTAGCCTTCCTGAACCTATAGGTTGCAAGAGTGAGTAAGCATATAACTTTGTTGCATACCAATGAGCAACGATTCATTCAACGGATATTTGTTCAATCCATGTATAGTATGTTAGGAGCTCTACCCGAAATGAACCAAAGAAGATTAAGTTGCAATCATCCAATACACAAATTGAAGTGAGTTATAAATAGACAGTTAAAGAAAAAGTATTAAGTTGACATCTATTATTGGCGCATGTGATGACGTCAAGCTCAAAAGGCGTTGATGACGTATATGATAAACGGATACTGTGCTGGATACAGTAATGAATCGGATTTTAGTGAATGGATATTGCAATGAAGCACTTAATCCCATCCAACAAATGTTAAAACGGAAGTAATACTCATTTAATTGATCATACTTTTCATGGAATATTAGGAAAGAGGCCACACAAAGCAGTTGAAATTCTTCATGAAATTGTTACTGTTTTACACAGAATAGAAATTGTTACTGTTTTACACAGAAATTTGGGGGTGAGAATTGTCGAGTTGCCCTACTTTGGCTAGGTAGTGATATAGTTGATAGAAATACAAAAACACAAAATTTCATCGATATTTCCTGGTTAACCTCTTCACAGAGCAAGACTTCAATAAGCACACAGGGAGAACACCTAATTTAATTCAATTTTGATACGAATATTTTAAATTCATTTTTCATGTGTCATAACAAATCGGTAGGATGTCTTGGATTCAGTTTTAATTCTATTAATTACAGAATTTGCAGAATTTTCTTAAGAATTTTCTTAAATAGGCATGAAATCTTATAACATAGTAAATTGTCTACAAATGCTTTTCCGAAAATTTGACAAAGAGAGAAAGGATGATCTCAAGATAAGGAGACGACTGTTGCCCCTTGTAGCAACCTAGCTTCATTCCAAGGGTACTCTACATTCCCTAGATTCTATTGATTTTTGTATTGCATACTTTATAAATTGTGATCCTGCATTTATTAAAGTAAAATGACATTTTGCAGTAGAAACCTCGGACGAATGCTTATATAGGAGATACAGTACAGGAAAGATCTGAAGATGACCCTAGCATAAAACTTAAGAAAAGCGGCTCTTGCGATTGGAGAGTAGCCTTACGGTATAAAATTTCTCTTTGGCTGTAAGATGATACCCCAAATTATAACGAGAACTTTATAAATCAATTTGAACAGTTAGATAAACCTTGAGAGCATTTAAACTCTTTAGCAGCCCCTTACATCAATGTGATTTTAAACCGTTTCATTCAGAACTAAGATTGTATCATTTTTCGTTGTGAGAAGTTTGTCTTTTTGAGTTTGTCAACACAGTGTGATAGTGAAACAGTTTTGGTCCTGCCCTTCTAATTTCTTGCAACTGCTGCTTATACTGTGATAAGAACTATCTTCTTCTTGCTCAGCTTGTTACTTGGCTAATACCAAGCAAGCTTCTCACGATGCAAAATATAAAAACCTTTAGCAAAGTACTAGATGTAACATACAGCATGTATATACTACCTTACATAAACTATAATGACAAAAAATTGTGAAGGCCTTTATCATATCTTGGATCGATCTTTTTATATTTAGATATAAAACTATTTTCAAAACCTAATAATCTAGGCTCTATAAGCAGTTTAGATCATAGAAAAGAAAATTGAGCTTTATTGTTGAGGAATTGAAAATATTTTATAGTTTGATAATCGAAAAACACTTTATGGTAAAAAAAATTGTTTGCAAAAGTACATTTGCACCGTGGGAAGAAATCTGAAAACGAAGAGTCTAGCTTCTAGTACAAGATATGGCACTGTAAGGGTGGTATGCATGCTCAGGCTATCCGTTTTGCAAAGGGGAAGCTAAAGGCCATTCCTATTTACTTGGAATCCTTTGCTAAATGTACACTACTCAGTTACAAGAAAAGAACTTTAAAGGTTTTGCTGACAAACCCACGAGCCGCATTGATGTCACTAATGTCATCTTGAAGAAAATATAGACGGATAATGACGGGCACATCACTCAAATACAGAAGTTGAATGTTTTTTACAAAGTTTCTAAACTAACCAGTTTTCAGTTGTGATGTTCTCTGACGTAAAGCAACTGTTTAAAAGTTGGAAACTTTGACGTCAGAAGTAATCGCACACTAGCTATCATCTCCGTTATGTGGTTTCCAAAGCTTGGATAGCTTGAGAGTCTTATTTTTGCAACGATTGATCCATTGTACAGTTACTATGTGTTAAAACGTAAATCGATTGCACTTAATCTGTTAAGCGATTGATTGGTTGGCAAAGAACATGGGATAGCTGAGAGCCGGGAAAGGCTATTGTAGCAAGATGATCAATGGAACTTTCACAAAAATATATTTGTGATAAAAAGCTATGTTTGTAAAAGATGTGCATAACATACGGTATAATTTCATGGTCTCTGGAAAGGCAATCAAGAAATATCATACTTCTTCAAGAAAATCTTCTGTTTATAAGAATGAATATCATTTAAGCTTTTATTGAAATCTTATAGTCTACAAAAACTAGTAACCACAATGTTTGCTACCTTGTTTGAAATCTTCAAAAACAAAATAGTAGGCTATTATTTTGATGGTTATTCCTGAGACATTTCCAATTAAATGTCATTTTTCGTGAAAGACGTGATACATCGTCGGAGAAACTACATCATTTGTGAACCCATAAACAGATGAAGGTGACCTTCCTGGTAGTTTGAAAGCTTCTTCAGCTATCTCAATCCATCCATGACAATTATGGCTTTCTAACGTGGTAGCCATGAGGATGTCTGGGGCAACAGGGATTACCCCCACTCTTGTTTAGGTTCTTTCTAAACGTGGTGCTGTGTTGTGTCACCAGAATAAGGTGGTTATTGAAGAGTGTCACGTACTTTTCAAGTATTTTCTTACAATGGACGCCCATTGTAACTTTGTTTTCGATTATGCTTATCATGAGCCACCATCGATCCTTGGTATCACCACCCTCTCTCCCGTCTTTTTGTCGTGCAGATGTCTCTAGTCACGAATCAACATTTTAAATTTGGTCCTTTATTTTTTTTAAATTTGATCGGCCAACTAGCCAATCTAGGCTTGCTAACGCCAGGGGTCGTTTGCCCAGCGCTCAGTGTGTCCAAATGTTAATGAAAGTATTTTTGCCCCTCGCTCATGTATCTTGTCGTTAAACACGATGTGTTCATGATGCTTATTTGCGTTTACGTTTCTTCCTATGTGAATTTTAGCTGTTGAGGAGATACTGGATTTCCAAACCAAATGAAATATCATGCGATTTGCGGTTAAAGAAAAATGGGTGCCTTCTTACAGGCCCCGGGTAAGCAGAGGTCTCCTTCCAGCTCCTATCATAAAATCTTTGTTAAAAAATTGACATCTCGAAAGATAAAGTGATTCCGTTGGACCTCTCAGTATTGAAAAGTGGGAATCTACTGGAGATTGACACTGATGGCCTAGGAAATGTGAACATTGAATTGATAGAAGACTCACTAGATCGGTGTATGAAGATGATGCTTTGAGCATGCCGGTTCACATGGACAATTCGGTCGTCATGGCCTGAATTTCATAGAGGGCGATGGTGACATACTGCCCCTTTCCCCACCCCTCCTCCTCAAACCCTCCTCCCCTTACTGAACAATCGGCTGTTTCATCCGGTTTCACTTACAACCACGCTCTGCAAGTTAAAGTCACGTTGTTGTGGTTGCTGACAGGTTGCTAAGAAACTCCTCCCCAAATCTTCTTATCCGCTATGAAATTACAGAAAAAGGAGGTCTGTAACATTTCTAAAAAACTTTGTTTAAAAGATAAGAGAGTTCTTTTCTAGAGGCCTTTCTATATAGCGCGAAACCATACCGCAATTGATTGAATGAGACAGAGACAAAGGGATAGTGGGCTAATTCAAGCTTTGTCCAGTTATTTCCTCAAAGGTCAATCAATTTTTGTTGGTATCGACCTATGATGAAATTACCTAATTTTAGTGGTTACCTGCACAACAACAATACAACAAAGCCTAATGACTATAATTTACTTTTTAGGGCCATAAAACATCGCTCGCACTTGCCCGGTCACATTTAAAGAGCGACGATACCAAGCGAAGTACGGAGAAAGATACGAACGCGATTTGCGGACACGAGGCTATTTTCCATACTCGATTTTTGAGCACTGCGGCAAGACAAGGGGGTTTGGCGTGCGAAATGAACATAACTCGAGCTCTCTTTCGACTACGGATTTGGAAACAAAATGCAGGGATTCAATCTGCTCTTTCCATTTTAATAATTGCAACATTAACGTAAGTAACTTTTACTATTTTATTTATATTATTTTCATGGTTTATTGCTGTAAAACCATCCTTTGAAATGTTAATATGGATTTTCAGGATAGTATATGCTAGAAAGTAAAAAATAAATAGCCCAAATCCTTTGGAAAGTTGTGCTGCCAATTGAAAGTTATAAAGAACTCGGCGTATTTCCTGGTGTTTTTTAAGCGCCTTCAAAAGATTCTATCGCGAATCCCGGAATGATTACCTTGAAGCTTTAGAAATTACTTTCCGTTCTATTGCCACATGCCAAGAGACAAAGGCATTTCAACGATGGCACTTACAAAAATATCAATGCAATAACGATAACAACCTTCTGTTAAGGTCATTTGCAACAACGCTTTGTAGCAGCAACGAATACATACAAATATTCTGATTATTTGACTTGTTCGAAGAATTTCAATGTAGCTTTATATAATGGTCTTATTTTCAAATGTTATGCTACATCGATGAATATGTAATTGAAGTTGAAGATAAATCCATGAAAACAGTCCACAGGCTAGCTTTTTTGTAATGAAAAAAGGTCTGCGTCTGCTTCAGATTTAAAAGTCTTTGGGCTTTCTTTTTCATGTGTTAGAGTCTGGCGATTTTAGCAAGAAGTGCATATTTAAAACGACTTCAAGATAATATGTCCATAAATCATCTAGATAATATATGATTTTTGTTACCCAAAATAATATCCCCCTCCCCACATCATGATATTCGTTGGGCACTTTTCCTGGAGATTCGCTTTCGTTACCCGTATATCGATGTGCATACGTACACCGGTCCTTGAGGTTGCATAATCTTGATTCCCCTGTTGATATACAAGTATTACCAGTGCAAGTAAATAGTACAAGTATAACAGGCTATACAAGTATTTTTCAACGTTTAAATTGCATTCTTTCATGCCTGTAATACGATCGTTAAGGCATAGCAATGCGGAGAAGATTAAAAATACTGGTTCAGTCGGCATTGTGACGAATCCCGGAACTGTTTTCATGGCAAAATCTTCGTAGGCGTGTCATTGCACGAATCCATACGTCATGCTCTACTTTCGCCAGCCATCATGGCAACAGCTCATGGCAACATGTCGGGAAGGTAGAAAACTGGGTGGAGTAATTCTTTAGAGGTCTCAAGATTACATGCCTGCTGATAGATTCGATACACTGCCCAAATTTCAATTGACGTCCCTTGATCTCTTTACCACAGTTTCAATTAACGTGATTTCCAAAGAGCTATCGCTCGAAAATGAAGTCTTATTCGATAGCTACGATAGCTAAGTTAGCTCTTATAGGGATGGTATTTAGGGCGTAGAGGAGGCGCATAGGTAGGAGTTTCCTAGGGGATCAGAAAAAAATGGGATGGGGTAACAGTCACGCCATGGACGCTCTATGCCAAGGGCTATGTGGTCACGGGCACATAAAACTCCTTCATGGGGTTTGGAGGCAAAGCCTATGAAATTATGAGCGTCTGTGACGACTTTTAGTCTATTAATCATAACAACATACCAGTTATGTCAAAGTAAAATGGTAACTTAAGTCAAAAGGGGATTCTCCACAGCAATCGACTTCCCTACCATTGCCCCTAGAAATGTTCAGTTATTTCAACATTATTTGGGGTTGCCAAGAAAAAAACATCCAATTTTGAAAGTAAATTTCATTTACTCATTTGCCAATATTCTAATGCTTGGCGTTAATTGAAAATGATCCTGTCCCCTTTGGGTCGTAAAACACAGAAATGAAGGAAATCAGACAGAAATAATTTATTAATTCTAAAGATTTCTTCAAATGGCGTCGTTATAAAATAACTGACCATGTTTAATTGTCTTTCAATTAGGCTGGCTGATGGAAAGCCCACAAGACTGCTACCGGTAAGTTGATTTATTAAAAATATATGATGCTCTTATCCCTATTCTGTTATTTATCCTTGGCAGGAAATTGTTCAGCCCAATTCATTATAAAAAAAATGTACAAGTATGGGTGACTTGTTCCAGGAAATGTAACAAAGAAGGGATCGTTTGTGCCCCGCCTCTTTAGGTTACCCAGCGACCGTTAATAAACAAAGAAGTTTTAAACCTGTATCAACAACATAAACTGCAGCAGCAATAACAAGCAAGACAATGAAAACAACAAAAACAGCGATAACATTAACATTAAATCACATGTATTTGTGCTTAAACAAGTACACATATACAGCCGCCTAAACGGGTTCAACATTTCACATCGAACAAGGCTGAACATTGATAACTTTAGCAAAAAAAGAAAGAAAAGTGGGCACGATGTAGAAAACGACTTTTTGTTCCAACTAACTGTCCCAAACTGGCAATGGTGTTCTATTCTACGTGTTCTTGTAACCACCGTTTTTCAAAACACAGCATTGATTCACCTTTCGGAACAACTTCCAATTTTTTAGAAGTGTCTTTTCCTTTTGGAAAAGTCTCCATTTCTTATGACAGTGTGCCATTTCCTACTTGTACCCCGCCATTTGTGAATGATTCCTACGTCTCTATGCAGATTTATCAAGGAGTCCTTAACGTACAGACTTTCATAGGGCCCCCAGTCAATGTGGGGACACTTTTGAGTTCCCCCCGTCTGATTTCAAGTGCCAATTAAGAATTACTAAATCGGTCGAATGGGGCAAAAATTTTGGGAATTTTAGAAAATAATCTTATTAGGTTTAATAAACATTAAAATCCCCTAACAATTTAATATAACCAAACAAAACTTTCCTGGGTCATTTCGACGTCTCATGGGGTGGTTTCAATTACGTATTCAATGTACAACCTAATTTGGACTCCTTTTCTGATGTAAACGATATATCTGGAACGATGGGATCCAGTTTCTTTATTTCTTATTTAATTTCATAAAGTACAATTCTCTTCGTAAGCCTTTTGGACATTTCGACACACACTGATAAACCAAATCAGATACAGTTTCTGAAGATTTTGTTGAATACTTAACCGCAAAAATAGCGTCGCCTGAATTTGACCCATGTAAAATGGATGCTAAGCCATATGCGTGTATGTATCCTCATGGAAATACAGTTCCACTACCAATTGCAAACAACATCATCAAAATTCATTCGAACATATTTTTGCCAACATTTACCTGTAACAAAGGCCGAATTGCAAGTGCCTTTGCACTTCAGAAAAATGAGACGATTTGGAATGGGTGAAGTAACTTCGATACCTAAATGCGAAGTCGGTAACTTGGGGGGGGGGAGCCTCTATTTTGCAGGCTGCATTGAGTTATTTTGAGCAAAAGAAGCCCCGGAACAGTACGAGCTGGAAGTCTTCTAGGGGGTATTGATACCATGTTTCTAAAAATAGCTCGTAAAAGTACGCCTCAAAATGGAATGTCATCTTTTTCTGAAATATTCTAGTGGCGCGGTGCTTCTCTTTGCCTTAAGCGTCTAAATATCAAGCACAAGTTTCGTATACCACGCACATTGCCTGAAGAGTGGGTGCATAAATATCGCAAACAAAGCATACGCAACGAAGGTGCTATTTTCAATTAAGCAAAAAGTGCTATTCAAGGAATTCGATAGAAAATGAGAATGAGGTGCGTACCCTCTCCATGATTATGTCATTATCGTTAAGGCATCGTGACTTTCTCAAATTTAGTTTCATTACAATGTTAAACCTCTATTTGAATCTTTAACAAACACGATGAGTAATGAGCAAAGAAAAAGGTTTTAATGATATCAATCAGTGACTGGCTCAAACACTAAGTAATAAAAATTGCCACTAAAATGCCTTAATTGCTGGACGAGATGACGAGGCCTATTTCTCATGATATTAACTTCAACGTACTGAGCTTTCCGGCTTGAAACCTGCGTTCCGAACCTTTAGTTAAGGGGTCTGGAACACAGGCTCTTCTGGCCTGCAGCTTGGTAATGGAAACTTTTCGCAATCGTAATGGCCACTAATGTAACAATAACAACAAACCTGGAACATTTTTGTCAGGCAATAAAGTTAAGTCAGGGATTATTATGTCAGGCTAGAAAGCAAAGCGCTCAATACGACCTGAAAACTCAACCCTGAGTCCACTTCCAGAAAAAAATCAACGTGACTTTGTAAACGAGACAGGAGCAAAATAATCTATGGCGAAAAAGGAGGATAAGATACGTAGAAGATACAAGAACAATTTTGTTAAAACTGTACTGTAGGTTTGACCGAAGGAAAAATTGTATTATATATTTACTGTCCGTCGCTTCTTGAAAGATTCAAAGAAGCCCTGTAGAAATGATCAGTTATTCCTCGGGTAAACAGAGCTTGGAGTATTTTCAGCCTTAAGCAAGCAATAAGATATCAACGATGTGAAAATGATGACAGCGGCAAGATTAAGATTATTATCATGATGAGATTAGGGCTTGACAATATTCAATCGCCACTTTGATACACTAGCAACAAGTAACAACGTTCTTTGATCAAGGCCACGAGGGTTGATTTTAACCAAACCAAAATCACCTCTAAGAATCTGCTAACTTTAATATACACATGCTTTTGTTCACCAGCTTTGCCTCTAATGCAAAGGAGATTACATGTAAGGAGAATAAAAACTCGCCGGGTCAAATCCGATCTAACGGTACCAATCAGCAATTGACAAAAGAGCACGAGACGAATAGCCTAGAGATCAAAACTAAAGTTTATCTACGAGGAACGTACTTAAAATCAATCGCACTCTTTACAGTTCGTTGTTCATGAAGAGGCGCTTGATTCTATGACCAAATCTAATAACATGCTAGGCTAATATAAAATCCACAATATGGGTAATCCTATACTGGGGGCAGACTGTTAATCGTTTGCAACTGGGGATTCCTGGATGATCTGCCTTAGAATGAGATTTCAGCCTCGGTCTCGCTTTCACAAGTCAAATCGTAAGAATAATAAAGCGTAGTATCTTATTGACTGAAAAATGATTTACAAGTCAAGGCTAAAGAGACCAACTATTGATGCAATTTCCTCACACAAAGATCAAAAGATCTTGGCGTTTAATACTGTTTATGTATGGATTTCCTTCCCAGACGTACTGTATTGGAAATATAGGAAAATCCTTGATTAAAGAAAACAGGATGTCGCAAAAAGCACATCGGCTTGTCCGTACAGGTCAAAGTTTTGTACATTTGAAATATGGTTATACTGTAACATACAATATATTCAATATCCTAGTTAACAAGACAGGATCTCAGTTTTGAATGGATGGCGTAAGTTTTCGTTTCTGAACAGAAGGCGGTTATGACCATTTTCCAATGTTTCATAGAGCAAAAATGGCTAAACCGATCGGCAGTTTTGTCAAGTAGCTCTCTTTTTCTAAATAACTGCAATTGTCACTTTAAAAACATATTGAGTGGATTTTCTATGTCCATCCAATAAAACGTGCAGTGGCTATACCAGTTACTGCAGTTCATAAATTACAGCTTCGCGGCAGGCCTGTCTCATTTACAAAAGGGGGACTTGAACTCCCTCAACACTGATCCGTGCAAATTTGGAGCCATAGGAAAAGGATGATTTTTGCTCTGCTATCTGTAACAGTTGCGGGTACATTTTGTTCCGTCACGGCTCCGTTTTTGAACGAGACGGTGTAAACAATTATCCAAGAGGGTTTTGTCACGAATTTATAACGAGGTATGAGCGTTGCAGGCAGTCGAGGCAGTGATGCTGATACGAATTTTACAGGCGAGAACGGCTGTTTTATGCAGTTTTTTAGTTATGTCTTTGTGCTATTTGTTGTTGTTTTCCAGTCAAAAATTTTAGCGTGGCGATTTTGTCCTCTTAAAGAACTCTGTGAAGCAAAGAAAACTCTTATCAATCTGAATAAAGTTCTTATCAGTCGTCCTGTCTTTGTTTGCTTCCTCTAAAATCATGAGTGATGATATGGCAGAAAGTCTAAAGCATAGGGAGTGTGATATCTTATTCGCGGAAAGTGTTGGTCACGGCACCATAATAAGACAGACGATCTCTGAAAACTCTCGGCAAGCGGTACTCTTTCTAACTCCAAGTGAGGGCCGTCCGCATCTAAAATGACCCTACGTGTATATATTGCCTTGCGATTTCAGTTTGAATTTTCAAACTTTCCGCTAATAAACCTTCAGGGTTAAAACTGTATTACAATGACTAGGTATCGATTGGCACTTATGGGATTTCTGGCGTTAATGAGGTTCTGCATTTGAAGCCTCATCTTTTGGAAACAGAAGAATCCTGAAAACCCAAAGTATGTCAAGGAATGTGAGCCTGCGTCACAGGCCACCAAGGAGACTGAAATTTAATTCTAGGCAGTATGCGGCTGAAATGACAAATATTTCAGAATCGCAAGAAGTCGCAACTTTAGGGAATGCAAAAAATATTTGTGAATATGATCAAAGATGAATCTCAGGTCATAGGGAGTAAGTGTGGGAAGAAATGTTTGTGACAAACCAAATCGACGAACCAAAATTACAGGGATTGGGCATCTTTTTGCCCAGATTGTTGAGAAATTCTCCAAATATTGCGTTTTGCTGCCAGGCTACCGTCGCCTCTAAAAACGACGCAAAGAAAGAAACATGACATCTTTCTTGTAACTATCTTCTTAGTTTATCAATTTTATCAATTTTTTTTATCAACGAAATTTATCAATGAATTAAACGATTATGATCCTCTTTTTGCGACTTATCCTTTTAAATGTACGTTGTTGGTTATTGTTTATTCTCTAAATTACAATCAATATTCTGTATTTTATTGCAGAGACATGCTCTTGAGAAGTTCTATCATGCTATGCTACGAACAACGAGCACAGTTGACTCAGAACTTAAACATACCCCATCTCAAGGCACAGGAATAAACCAGGAACAATTTAGAAGGTTTTACAAAAGCCAATATTCGACTCTCAGCACGCAGCCACGTGGAATTACGACAAGAGTACTTATATATTCGGTAGCAAGCAAAGGGTACTTGACAGTATCGGCTAGGGCTGTAAGCGGGAAAGGATCACGATTCTCAAAATTCGGTAAGTTGAAATGGTTCGAAGCTTTGTCACCTCAGGGGACGAAATTAGATAGTACTAACTATATTGACGTCTGAAGGAGCTCTTTAAACATCGATTAACAGCCACCCAAAATTATTTGTCATCGAGGTCAATTAGATGTGAATTAAAAATATTTCCGAATATAAAATGAGTAGCATCCTTTACAGCCCATTTTCTCCTGTGTCTGTTTTCCAATTTCTTTACCTTTTGTTTCTGTTCCTGTTTTTCTCCATATCTGCCATGATTTGCTCTTTTATTTGCTTAAAATAACCTATTCATTACCAGTCTCCAGTCTAGCGTAAAAACTTAATGTGACTTTTCCAGGTTAACCCCTCCTATTTTTTATTTCTAGACAAACACTTAATGCTTTTCCAGTCCATATTAAAATGTTCCACTCTTCAACGAATATAACAAACTATCGTTGACTATTTCCACTGATTTCACTATCTGGAAACTAAGCAGCGCATACCAGTTGTAAACCCTTTCTTTCTAATTTCTCCACAGCTGTCGTAAACATAGAAAGCATTGGATTCGGCAAAGTACGATTACGCGGAGAAGCTTCAAAGAATTATGTTTGTTTCGACGACAAGGGAAAGCTCACTGGCAAGGTAATTTTTCAACTTGCTATGAAATTGGCCTATCGATGGCGGTAGAAAAAATTCTTCACAGGAAACAAATTGGGAGTAAAAAAACACGAGTGTTGTTTTTGTGATGGATATGCATTTGTCATAATTCTAAAATCTTTTTTGTCTTTTACAGCCATCCGGAGACGACAAAAACTGTATGTTCAGACAATTTGCGTTGGCAAATCATTACACGGCCTTCCAATCTTGCACCGAAAATCCACTTGTTGTCGGGATCAGACCCAAAGGCACAGTAAAAAAGGGAGCAAGGACTAAAATTGGACAAAAAGCAGCGAAATTCATCATCGTTAGATTATGAACCTTATTATAAGACATCTTTGATGGCAGTTGGATACACCCAGATAGCCTTTAATAAAAACCCATGCTCGCTCAATTCTTGCTTAATGTTCGCTTACACCAATACCGTACTTTGAAAATAAAGAAAACGATATGTTCCAAAAACTAAGCTTTTAAAAAATAATAGCTAAACCAAGTAAGGTAGTACTTCTAGATACTTGTGAATTATAAGCCAACTGCTTGCAAAGAATGTTTTTGCTAGAGTAAAAAACACTGGTTTACATGAAATCGTCTTTGAAAGCCGAAGCACCAGTATCCCAAATGGCCATATTATCTGGAAGAAATTTGGGGTCATTGCGTCACAAACTGTACAATATAAGGGGACAATAGCAAGCGTATGATTTTAACAATCAAAAGTTTTAATGTACCATGAAAGCAATCCTATATCTTAACAAGCACCTAAAAAGTTGGTATCTGTGTTAATAGCGATGTAGAAGTGACGAAATTTTTAGAAGCCTTTACCCCGTGTTCATTAGCTCATCCGGAAACTGATGCTGACTGCTTTCAGTAAATCAGTGGTTTTGTTCGAAATTTTAGCCTATACAGAAGAATTCATTCGGACGATGTGTCATATTTTTATACATTTGACGTGCTCACAGCACCTATGCAGTATTGTGTCTATATTTATACATATATTTTACGTGACAAGAATACGAGTGAAGATTTAATATAAATATATATATTTATTTCAATTTACCAATTTAGAAGAAAAAGTATTTATGAGAATATCTAGAACGATATGACTATGTAAATATGCTTATATATAGCAAAGAAATACCTGTGTCTTTTCTTTTAAAACATGCTGCTGTAAAATTCAGGGAGGGAGGTCTTACTGGAATATGTGCAGAAGCATCTATAATAAGTTACAAGACGAAAAGATTTGGCATGCAAGGTTTTCTGAAACTGGGACATTGGCAAAAGAGCCGGGGCCCAGGCCCCGTTAAAATATCAAATCATATTGCTACCAAAGTTTTTCAAAATTTTCACAACAGTACTTTAGAACATTCAGCTGCAGTGACAGTGAAAAAGATTTGATTTTAATTTTGCTTGTCTGCTCCACAATATAATTTACTTTCATTTTTGATTCATAAATAGAATGTCTTGGCACAACCTTGACATTGATCCATTAAGCATTTTTAAGCAATAAAGGCGTAGCATTTCCTGCTTTCGTAAATCAATCCGGATTTCAAGCTTGCTCTCATAGCAGGTTTCTTATAGAAAATGTTAGCTGTGTAAATATTTTCAAAAGAAAATAAATGAAATAACAAAGAATAAATAAAAGCTAATACAATAAAATGGCCTCTTAAAAGGCAGTTGCGTGCAATGAGCAGCCAAGTGTTATTGTATCTTGGTTGAAAGTGGCATTTGGGCTTCAACTATACACCCCTGAGTCTTGGAACCTGTCTAGATTAAAACTCAAACCCATATCTGTGAAAAAGAAAGAGTTTGTTTTCCAAGGTCATTAGTCACCGATTGTTCAGAGCAAAAAGCCAGTCTAACATCCCATAGTTTCCTTCAGAAAATCTTCGGATCCACATCTGGATAGAATTTTTTTTTTATTTTGGGGATTATTCGTCATTCGAAACAATCAGACTACAAGCTACAAAATATTTTCATTTACTTGTACAATCGTGAAGTTCTGTACAGCAAAAGAAGTATTTTGGCTTATCAGATATTGAATATAGAAAAAGTCGAAAAAAATACACAAAATCTAAGTTACACTGTCGTTTTTAAAATTTATTTATACCATCTTCAGAAATAATAGTATCAAACTGATTTATAAACTAGGAAAATGAATCATGTTTTTTAAGTGCTTGAAATGCACTATAAGCAAAAAGCAGCTCTAGCATCTAAAATTCTACTCAAATTGCAAAAAACTAAAACAAAAACACAACCACTAATTAAGTGAGGCCATAGCTAACGCATTCTATGCAAAGTGAAATAAAGACACTTGTTTATATAACTTTGCTACATTGTGGCATTATTTAAAAACTTTCTTTTACATTATGAATAAACTTTCTTCCTGTTCTTAATTTTTCCCTAATACCTAAAAGACGCGACCTGTTATGAGCTCAGGTTTGCGCAACCTTACAGGCGTCGGGGAGAAAATGAAGTTAATTTCTAAGCGACGTTGTGATGTCGTTTAAAACAATCTGGAATATCGAGAAATAACTAGCTATTCATTATCTTTGAAATAGGTGCAATAAGCCAAATATCAGTGTAGCAAGGCCATTTGCAAGTTATGAAGCTAAGTTGTTTACTGTAGAAGGGTATAGTACGTCAACAGAAATTTGACGCAAACAGCCAGTACACAATAACCCCTTAGTGCGATGAAAGTATTGGAAATTGAATGATAGTCTTAACATAAATCATTTTAAAACAATTTCTAAATGCAGTTACAGTTACGAGTAACGCAATTTAAGCGATAAAGCCAATAAAATTACCCGAATTGCACTAGGGGTAAAACACTTAATCGGATACACTCCCACTAATTTAACTACGATGAGATAGGCAAGTTTATGCAATTTAATCTTTAGATTTTGATGCAATTTACGAATTGAGGTAATTCGTGAACCATATGGGATAAAATACACGATTGAGCAAATAATTGATCGCTACATTGTTTACTGGTTCAAGGCAGAAAATCGATGATAATTACTGGATTGTGATATGGAAAGTGAGGCATAGTACTACATCAATGATTTCATTACAATTTAATATCAGACTTATCAAATGATCAGAAAACTTAGTTGAACTTCATCAGATTTCGACACAAAAAGATTAATTAAAGATTTCAACCAGAAATTTACCAGAAAATAAGCAGATCTGTGGGCAACATAAGTTAAGGGAATAGGCGATGTGTGTAAATGGTAAAGTAACGTAAAACAGACCCAATAAGCGGACTGTGATGGGTGGGCTGCCCAAGGAGCGGCCTAAGCTTTGTCGGGCGAAAAAGAAGCCGAAGAAAGCGATATACAGGATGCATGGATAAGCGGCAGGGTCTCCTATCCCACCTGCCTTAATTCAGGAAGATGATTTTCACAGTTTAAAGGGACTTCTAAGCCGTGAATTACGGACGGATCATTTGGAGGAAGTAAGTTAGCAGTTATCCGTGAGAAAGTCATTGAAGGACATATCCTTACAGATGAGCACCTCAAACAATCACTTTAAGCTGTGTATACTTTTAATTGGCATAAGAAGTCCGATTGTTAAGCCAATGTTTGTAAGCTCTTAAAGAGAATAATCCAGCAACTTTGAAAAATCACATCAATACACCTGGATGATTTACGGTATTCAATAAATTCACTTCATAAAAACCGAGTCACATGAACAGTCTTGTTAACTAATTAAGGCGAGGGATGAGTGTCATTTTCAAATGTTACTTATTCACTGTTGGGAAATACACGAACTTACAAATGACAAGATTGAAATAAGGCAGAAGAAAAGTGAGTCTACTAAGGTATCAAAGGAGACAGTTACTGACAGCCAAAAGGATTAAGTCAACGCCAAAATTCCGAAGCCAACACTTATCTGACTGAATTCTTAGAAATTTGACATAAAATACTATACGCAATATAAATTGTCATACGAAACTTTGATAACATATTTTCATAGGGAATTACGGGCAATGGGAAAGACGTTCTGATCAATAAGATCAAAATTAAGTCAACATAATCTTTTCTCCCAGTAGCAAATTAGAGAACATTACAGCTTTTGTGCACACGTGCTGAGAACACAATTTACTTGCGAAGGAAAAACTTAACAAAGATGTTACCATTGATAATGCACAGGCATTTTCTTTATTTCGACTTTTCTATTCTTTCGTGAATTATTTGGACCGGAGGCCTTATGTACTCGGGGACATCTAGAACCTCCGTCTGCTCAACGTTCATGCTGACACCTTCGGGCAAATTTCTCTGTATATACTCAAGAAAAATGTCTGCAGTGTCGCCAGTTAGTTTTTGCAACTAAAAAACAAAACAAGACAGTATTGAAGATGATCTAAAACAGAACATTCAGATAGGCAGCTATGATTAAAGGTGGGAACAAAAAATAGGAAAATGTTGATGATCTAGCATGAAAGCAACTCTGAAAAAGTTAAAACAAGACATGCGTGTATCAAGAGAGCCAAGGAATATAGAGAGAGAACCTTTTTAAAGATTATGTGGATATAGAAGAATGCTTCAATCTGAATTGGAGACGTTGTCGGACACCATCTGGTATACTACTTATGGAGACGCAACTGTGGTTGCCTGATGATCACATTAAGTGTGTGTCACTTAGAACCATCCTGTTCTCTACATCGAAGCGTGTACAGCTAGCGCACTTAAATGAGAGACCGGTAAAGCTTCCGAGAAGTAATTTTTCACTAGCACTTGAGAACAGATGGATAAAGATACTGAATTTGTGTTTGCTTATGATTTCAGATAAACAAAAAACTGATTCACCTATTACCACTTCAAATCAGAATAGCCAGACAGAATATTTGAATATCAGTAACAACTAAACGCAAGAAGCGAAAAACCATGTAGTTTATAACATTGAATACCGAACTCAAATTCAATAAAAGCAAATCGCGACTTTCAAATATGTTTGAACTAAAAACATCCAGAATGAAGAGGTAGGGTGGTGGTTGAGGTAGGGAAGTTCAATCACTTTTGCCTAAATGGGATTAGCAAATTTCAAAGAAGGGGTAGATAAAAAAGTATAATCCCGCGAACTGATGATAAAGTAGATTGTATTATTGTATTAAAACAGAAACATCGACCTACCAAAAGATTCATGTAACCAAAGTCGGTTCAAATATAATGAAAGGCAAAAGCAAGCAATTTTGAGATAAAGAACTTTGTTTTAGGATGACAGACATAGTAAAACAATTCAAGAAGGTACACGATGGCTGAAAAACTATCCAAGGCAGTCCTTTTGCTAGCCTTTTTCTGCAAACTTCAAATTTGACCTTGAAACTGTGCGTAATATACCGTATAAAAGATACACCATGACCCTTACACACAGTACTTAAAGACATTTGACATGCATAAGTACAGCGAATCCAGAAGTAACTTAGGCCAAATTGTTCAGAGCCCGCGCACAAGAAAGGTTATGAAAACCGTTCACGTGAAACCACTGCGCGCTGCTAAAGGCGGAAACTGTTCACGTGTTTTTCTCTGTGCGCAATTTGATTGGTCAACTACTCGTGGTCGAGTGGCTGTATGCCACTTTTACCTGTGTCAAATGCATTTAAAACAGCGAGGACAAGCCCTTGATGACAAAACTGGGTTTGTAGAAAGGAATTGTTCATTCAGTTCGTAGCAAAAGTGAGAGCATAAGGAACTGATCTCAATCCGAAGAATAAAGCCTTTAAAATGAAAAACTACACACCAATACAACACGCCCCGCTTGTCGATTGATAATTCCATTATTAGCTAGTATCACAAATGCTTCAAATTTAAAGTCATAATAGCAAGCCAGTATACCATCACTGATAATGTTTAGCGCTTATTCTAGGAGTTCGAAGTTTTTAGGCACTGTTACGGAGTCGGGGAAGAGGGTGCTGACGGGCACACCAATTGAAGAAAATTCGATTAAACAGAACATGCAGAACTATGGTTCCTTGCTTATAGCTGCTTATAGCCTCACACTATCGAATTACTACCCTTCCTTTGTTCAATACAACGATTCTATGACTTATAATAACCAGATCTTTACAAGTCTTACAAAGCACGACTTTTCAAGGCAAATTCCAATTTATACTTCCTGCGGGTAAAAGCCCAAACCACTGAAAACATACCCCAGAATCACGGTGAAAAACTGCGGGAATCTGTTGTGGCAATAAGTTCCTTTTGTTTTCATACGCCTTCTTCGTGGTCGTTGATTGTTTGGGCGCCATGTTTTCTGGGATCTCATTACAGGGTAAAAATTTGTTGGAGCAGGAACTCACTAACTATTAAGGATTTAGGTAGGTTTTTCAGACAACCGACAATTAATGCAAGAATCCCCCCCCTCCCCCCTCTCCTCGCATAAGTGCCCAGAAAAACAAAGGATATGAATATTGGAAGTGTCAAGAGGAAACTTAAAGTGTTTAGATAAACAAAACTATTTGCATCAAATGCCTTGCATTCTCGATTATAGGAATCGTCATGCCAATTTGATAGTTTTGCAACAAAGTAAAAAAGAAAATGTAAATTTCAATACCTGAACCATCCTTCCGTGGGTTCTGACCTCATATTGAGCTTGGTGTTTCTTGTAAATATGTGGCGATTTTAGTAAAGTTCTTTTCTCAAAATGAGTCTCTAATATTGTCCTGTGAAAAAAAGATACCAATATTTTACAATCATAATGATAAAATGAAATATTAGAAAATTGCCAAACTATCGTTTTTTATTCGGATTTGGACGCAGTTCTAACAACTGATATCAGTGCAAATTAAAACAGATATCAAGTAGAGGATTTCAAATATTATTTGCGCCTTAGACAGCACAGCATAGCTGAAACACAAACATTAATTATACGATATCAGAAAGAATAAAAGTCTTTGTCCATTCAAATTTTGTAAAGAGAGTCTTTTAGTATTTATCAGACTATAAAAACCAGCTCTTTAGTTAAATACAAAACACAAAATTATATTTTCTAATCATTTTGCTTTAATGAAATTTCAATTCGTTTGTAACACACATATCACAAAATGGTGGCAGATAAAATCATTAAGTTTTACAAAATCCCAAAATGGCTTCAATTTTCATCAAAGAGAGGAATTCTACATTGAGTGCCCTCTCAACAAAGCAACTAATCTTTAATTAGAGCAAACAATGTATGCATGCATGAGTACTGCCAAACAGGTCCCAGTAAATGAAGGATATGAATATTGAAGGGTTAAATGTATGTAAAGTAAACAGTGTTTGAATAAACAAAACTCAAAACACAATTATCAACACCATGTATTGCTTCCTTAATCCAAATAATGTTTATTGAGTTTTAACAATTGACTTTTCAAAGGGATTTAATGCATTGATTAAATGAAATAAAATTCCATTTTTTATGAGATAACAGATTTTCAATATGCACCTCCTTGAGAAAGCAACTTCCTTGATAAAGCAACCCTGTTGATAAAGCGACCCCCTTGATAAAGCAACCCAGTTGATAAAGCAACCCCCCTTGAAAAGCCAAACCCCTTGAATAAGTATGAATTAAAAAAGTTTAGGAACATAGAACATGGCAAAACATTACCACATCTACAAGACATACTTTTGTGACAAAGGTGGGATAGTCACCCAATATTGTAAGCTACAATGCCTGCCAAAAGTCTTGGTACACGACACTAAATTTCTGAATATTCTATACTGCACCCCCTCCCCCTCTGAACAATTTTGTTTTATGCAAAGTAAAGTGGTTTGGTTTGGTCCAATGGTTTTATTTCAGAAAAATATGAGATATAACACTGAAACCAAAATTGTTTTAGGGGAAAAGGGTTGCGGTGTTGGTCTTTTTTACTTAAGACATTTGATATTTTCTAAAAAGCACCTTAGCAACTGGGCGCTGCTAGGAAATTTGGCAGGGAATGTTGTACTCTATAAATTGAGACTTTTTTAATAAACAGATAACAATTTTGGCTTCAGAAAATCTTTTAGAAGGGCTGTGTGGTTGAAGAAAAGAGTTGCGGATAAATAGAAACATTGGAAGCTGCCACAGAGGTAACATGAAGCATGAAACCACAGCCAAACAACTCCAAACAAGCCTAAAAATTGCCTAAAAATGTTCTAGCAAAAGGACAGAGATTCAAGAAAAATATGAAGATAATCTTGTTTTGGATAAAATTCATTAATGAAGAGAGAATTTTCTGGAGTGAATATACAAATACAAAGAGACAGAAAATATTTGCCTTGAAAATGTGAACAATTTTTTGGTAAATGTTATGCCAAACTGGTGTGCCAAAAAGGTTACACATACTCTGCAGCTGATAGAATTTGAGAATTGTTTCAAAAACTTGAGTAATAAAATTTGAATTACTGATAACTCATTAACCCATTAATTGAGTGAATTGACACAGTATGTCAATTTTGATAAATTTAAGATAGAAGTAGGAAAGCTGTTGGCAAATACTCTTGCATGTCATAATAATGAATATCAAAATTTATGTATTTTTTTAAAAGCTTCTTCCATGCTACTCAGCTCATCTTAAAAACTGACAGATGCTATTTGCAAATGGCAGGAAATGAAAATAAATGGTAAGGTTCAGCAAGGGAACTTGCAATTGATAAGAAAAAAGAGAAAGTATGATTAGTAGCTGACCCAAAGTGAGATACCTAAGAAACAAATAAAAGTTGAAAATCACTCTACGGATTCAGATGTTTCAGTCCCAGATTCAAGTACCAAGGAAAGGATCTAGTAATTTTATAATTTCTTATTCTTTCTGTATGTTGATTGATTGTACTTAATAGCCACCCATTCATTTTACAGAAACAGAAGAAACTTATATGTTGTTTCTTTGCATGCCTCAAAAAATAATTTTAACTGATAGAAAACCATTGCATGGATAGGCAATTTGCGACAGGGAAATTTCCCAAAACACTGAATCATATATTAGCAAGTATTGTATAGCTTGGTCATTAGCTATAAAATATCATGGACAAGCAGACAATGATAAACTATATTCTGCTATTTACCAAGAGAGTGAGTTATTTTCTTAAGAATTAACCTGATATCCAGTTCTGATAACCAACAATCCTATTAGAGATTTGTTTACTATGACAATTAGTTTTAATTAACTATTACCCTCTGACAATGTCTCTTAGTATTTTACGACTTTTAAACATTTCTAAATCTGTATAAATCTGACAAATTTGACATACCTTCTTGAAATATCAAGATTCAGAATTTTTGCTGCTCTAGTGACAAATTGAGTATAGCTATCCAGAACTGCTTCATCACTCCCTTTTACAACCAAAGTAACAAGTGAAAAAAGTCTGTCTTCATCCATCATTTCATCTTGACTAAGTTCATCTAATGAAAACTGTCTTTTGAAAAGTGTGTTCATTTTCAGGCTTTGAATCTAAAAAATAATTGTTTTTATTTAATTTTAGCTTTCTTGCAAACTACTGTAAGACATAATAATCACAAATTAAAGCAAAAACTGGGTATAGTCTAAAGAAATTCATATGAAAAATCAAGACATGCTGCATCCTAAAATAAGCTTGAAAACACATATTAAACATAAATCAAGATAACACATTACATTCAAAATCTCATTATTTATTCCAATCAATTTCATATGGAACAGTTTTCATTACAGAATATCATATATGGTCACCATCAGAACGTAACATACCAGCTTTTTGCAAGTGAAGCCAGACAATCTTTTAAACGAGTCTGGCAAATGAATTCTACATTTCATTCACTGCTCTATTAACTCTATAAACTAGAGATTTGTTTAGATTCGGAAAACTGGTAAGGCTGACTACAGAGTTCAACTCAAGTTTTAACACTCTTTGTCTATTCTAATAAATGCTTTTACTGAATTTTGGATAACAAACCACAGCTAAATCTATGCATAAGACAAGCATTTGTAAATTACCAAAGTAAAAATTTTTCTGGTATCAAATGATGGCTCTTTTCAAATCTGAATTGACTTTAGACAAAAATATTTATTCCACCTTAGTAGAAAGATTTGAAAATGTTGTCCATGTCCAGGTTAGAATTTTTATTTACAATCTCTTTCTCAAATAACCCTTAGATTAAAAAAATAAACAAGGGAAATTGTGTGTTGTTGAAAAGGGTTTCACCACTGTGACACATTTATAGCAAGTAGTTTTATGCGATAGCACTGCTAGTTTATTGCTTCTATGCAGCTTTGTACTCAGGGGGTTGTTGTGATGCATTTATGTGACAACCTCATGGGGTCTAAATCATGTGCCTGGGTACATCTGAGGTGTACCTGTCTGTTAATAACTGATAAGGTCTGGGAAGAGAACTTCCCCTCCTTTAATTCTACAATGGCTCCCTTTTCTCTTTTCTGAAGTATGGCTTTTGTTGAATTTTTTTGCTTTTAAGCAATCACCTTGATCATAATGTTGAGAGGTCTATTTTAGAATTTCTTGATTTTCTTTCGCAAATTATCAAAATGCATCCAATAATGAGGCATTTGACCACTTTTAACATTTCCATAGAAAAATGCAGATATTAGCCAGATTGGAAAGTTTACCATATGCCTGCCAGATATTGGAGAGTAAAATTCACAAACAAAGCTAAATGGCGACGAGAATCCAATGTTATGAGATAAATTTAGAAAATAAAATAAATCAAATTAAACGAATACTAATGTTTGGCCCCAGCGTACAGTGCTTCATCAGAGTAAGTGAAACAAACGAATGGCAGATATTGCCTATGCACTTTTTAGTATAGTCTACAGTTCTTACTGGACAAACTTGCTTCTCTGTATATATATATATAGAATCAAAGAAAACACTTTCGTAAGACGTTTCGCTTTCGCTTCATCAGTAATAACTTTACAAAATCAGAGGAGCCTACTTATCAACCTAAATTACAATAGAACACTACAATACAATAGAAACCTAAGGGGCACCTGCCTAATACAATACATATTGTCAAATGTGTTAGAATACAAACTGTTATGGGGAACTGGGAGAGAAGTGAAAAGAAAGGTAGAAGAAAGAATGTGATGGAGATGCTGGTGTTGGCTGTCTCACAAGAGATAGATGAAAGCCATAAAAGCAAAAAACAAAATAACGAGAAGATAAGCTATAAACAAAAGAGCCGACATTAAAAATTAAAAACATAAAACAAAAAAAACAAAAAACTTTTAAGAATTTAAAACTGTAGAAGAATATATAAATGTCCTATGTATCTACCTGCCTAGTATTGAGACCCATCGAAGAGAAAGTATTCAAGCGATATTGCCAAAAACTTTCTCTCCTCCTATCATTACCTGTTAACCTATCTATGACCTTAACACTTATGTCATTCAGAAACCCCCGATGTCCTTCCTCAGAAAAATGTCTGAAAAATTCCATCTGGGGCACTGAAGACCCTAAATTAAACTTACGACTACACGCCTTGTAATTATTAAACCTAAGCCTAAAAGGCGTGCATGTGCTACCTACATACTGGACTCCACAGACATTGCACTCAATTAAGTACACAACATTGGACGAGTCACAGTTAAACGAATAGTTGATCTTATATTCTTTACCTGTAGTGCTAGACTTAAAATTATCGCTGTTAGACATGACTTTACACACTTGACATCTGGACTTCTTACAACACGAACTTCCCCTGTTATTATGTCCCTTTTCCCTCCCACTTGACAATTTGGTAATATTTCCTCATCATTTATCTAAGCTATTTGATAATTGCTAGTACAAATCTCAGTTATTTTGCCACTTTAACTTTGTTTATCGTTCTTTCCTGCACTCTTTCGTTATAATTTTCATTTTGAAAGTTTCTCATCACCAGCCAAGCTGCTTTAAATTATTTTATTTGAAAGTGTCTCTCACAGCATTATACATTGTATCTTACAATCATAAGCGTAGGATACCCATGAATAAGGCAAATTTTAAATATGTATACATATTATAAATATATCATAGAGTTGAAGAAAGTAAAACTACATGGTTTATCTCTACAAGCCTGTTTCGTGAGTAACTCACTCTTCAGGAGAACATCTGAGCACTGTGCTACGGAAGTATCAAAAGACAAATTTCTATATATATATATACCTTATCTTAAATTGGCCTCACAAGTCTTCTTTATTTTTGGCTTGACTGTGCAAAAAATTCAAAGAGGTTTCCCAAATGCACAATAATAAGACAAAAACTGAATTCCATGCTTCTAATTCAGTGCCCAAATACATGTGTTTTCAAGAAGGATGGTTTCTATGACAAATGCAGCCAGTTGACTTTTTTATCAACTAAAGGTATTTGATACAATAAGTGAAATGCTCTACATTATACTGAAAGTAAATTCTTTCAGCAAGAAACAATAAAGTTTGTGTGTCATTGAAGGAACTGACAATTACTGCTAGATGGAAGGATGATCAGGCTCTGCCAATTATCTGAAACATGTTGTCATTATCAGGCCTGGCCATTTGAGGCGAGCCATAGCTCTTGCTCCCCTCCAGGCTCTCCTCAAATGCTGGAAAGGAGCTACGGATTGCTCTCCTAAATTTACACTAAAAAGCAAATTGCTCTCCTTGAAATCAATTTTTCCTTTGTTTGTATTCTTATGTATCTAGAAAAAGCTCACCTGGAGATTACTTGGAGAGCTGTTTACTGCTCCCCTGCTTAAGGTCTTATGACCAGGCCTGCACTATAGAGTTTTGCACAATCTGGGTTGTCTAGAAGATGTTGACCGGCAGCAGAATCATTTGCTTAACAGTGTTTCTAGACCTACAAGATCGAGGAGGCTGTTCTCTTTGACGGGCAGATTCAGCTTCTTATGTTGGAAGGAACATGCTGTTTTATCCTATCCCCCAATCTGTGGGTTGTGCGTCCTACGTAGACAGAATCACACTGCCACGTAAATTCATAAATGACAGAACTTTTTTTGGTTGGTAGGAAGGAAATTCTTTTGAATGGATGGAAGGGCTCTCCTTATATTTACCCTTATATTTATCCCAAAGACCCATACATCTACTTTATAAACAACTTTATAAACAAATGTCTGCCTTTTTTCAAGTTTTTACTAGCAAGTTTCAAGAATGGAGTTTTTTTAGCATAGAAGTGTCAACTTACAGACAGGACTGAAACATTCTTTTCAAGGCAATGTAGAAAATAAAGTGTACCTGGATCTAGGGTACCAGGGTTAAACAAACAATGTCAAAAGACAAAAGTGCTCCAGTATGCAATGTTTCCGCTATTTTGTGCCATCAAATTTTGCAGCACCAAAACTTATTAGGCTATTGCTATTTTTCCAACCTGAATATAGGAGCACCTTAAAAATTTTTTACTGCCAAATGTCATACCCGGGACTATTTCAAATTTTCAAATTGTGGTTGCTTAATGTCAGGGCAAATAAGATCAATATCTTCTAAGATTGATTAACATTGGCTAAGCACAAGGCCTATCCATCCAACAACCATTTCATTTTCAGCAGTTTTTTCTATATTGTATATTTGAATTTCTGCAGCTATTTCTAGATAATGACTTTGAAAAAAGCAAACATTTAGTCTACTAAAGCTTTTCGTCTGACACTCTTCAGAGTTTAAAACGTCAGAACAGAGATCAAAAACTCTACGTTAGGAAATATATATACCCAGTTGTGGATCAAAAATAGGCCAATCAGAAACACGAACACATGACTGTTGAGGTTGACCAATCAGTGCCACTTGCCTATTAAGAATGTTACCAATGGAGTCCTAAGGTGAAAACAAACTCATTATCCCAAATTTCCCAAAGCATTATCCCAAATTCTTAAGGGTTTGGTAAGAAAAATTTTCTGGGGCCTCCTGCTGTGGGACTTTTCTTTGCCCCTCTAATCTTTCAACCCTGGCTACGCCACTGACAATGGTCAAATATTCAGAGGACCATCTTATCCTTATTGGTAACCTAGAACAAATATTAAAATCCAGTAGCAGGTAAATCTTGGCAAAATGAGGCCAGATCAACCATCTAGACTTAAATAAGAATCTCGTAAGATCTGGTTGCAAGTGGACTTTAAACTCAGCTCACTACCTTTTTTTAATGTACTAATTTGAAATTTCTTTCTTCCTCTCTTTTTTTTTCTCCCGACTCTACTGCTAAATGCAACCCATTTCCTTTTCTTTTCTTGTTTCTTTTCTTTCCCTTAATTTCTTCTCTAATTTCCCTTGTTTCCTTATTTTATTTAACATTTTTCCTTTTTCCCTTTTCATTCCATGGAAATTGAAGCATTTCAGTTACCTTCCAGGCGGCGCCGCTACCACGCTACTTTATTGCAAATAATATCAGACTCCAAATAATATCATTTTCTTTTTTAATTATGTTTTTAAAATATTTCATTCTTATCAACTCTTAATATCAAGTTTGATTCACAAATTATGCTTCTCTTAAAGGCACCAGCGATCAGCCAGAAATGGGCAACCTGCTTTGCAACAGTAAAAAGTGTGACTACTCGTGGCTGGGACACATCCCAGCAGTTAATTCCGTACATAGGTCTTTGTTACCTAAAAAATGAAGCTAATTCTGGCAAAAATTGTTGATGAGCTTGGGTTTTGTAATGTCAAATGAAGAAAAAAGAAGACAGCACACTGCCGCCTCCCGCCGTCAAAGAGGAGCAGTCCTAAAAAACCAAGCCATGGCATTTACAGCCTACATTAAAGTTTCATTCATTTAGGCTCAAAAAGAAAATTTGAAATCTATTGATTAACATACCGTTGAACATCCTGAAAAAACTGAATCACTGCATCGTGAAAACCCAGTCAAGTTGCAACCTTCACGTCTTAAAACTCCTGTGCAAAGGCGCGTGTACCTTGCGATTAAGGCCGCCATTATTAGGAATTTCTTGCCTTAATACCTAAGAAAAGTTTCAGAAAGACATGTTTCTCTGAACAAAATCAGATTAGTATAGTTGAACCTTATTCCTAGAAGAGTCTGCAAAATCCTCCTTCTTTTGGAAGCAAATTGCTTGATCAGAGCACCGATGCTACACAGTAGGTTACTGATAGACCACTATCGTCCAGTCAAGTGTGTCGTAAAGACCATATTTTTTAGCATGTCATGGTTCTCAGGGCTGCGCTAACCTTTCTCTGTTCCTCCAAACAACTCATTAAAGATTTTCACCAATCTTGAAAATTGCTTAGCCAGCCAAAATTTTGTCGCTAAATTATATATTAATCAAATTTTGTTTATCTTACAAAATTTATTTGAAGAAGACTCAATGGTCAAAATGGCTTTGAAAAAGATAAAGCCCCGATAAAGCCAAAAAATCATGTCAAAGAAAACAAAAGATTTTCCTCGTTCAAAAATATGACATGTTAACGAAGACCAGCATTTATCGGACGAGGCTGAAATTTCACTGCATAGCCACACGTGATAAGTTGCATAAGAAAGACTTGGTCTTGACGTCATGGGCAAAATGACCAATCGTTGGATGGCTATTCACCAGATTCGCAGATAATGAAAATTCTTGCAGAAATCTTTGGATTGCTACTGTTTTTCATTTCCACAAATGGCTTAGATAATGAAAATCCTTGCAGAAATCTTTGGATTGCTACTGTTTTTCATTTCCACGAATGGCTTATCACCTGATAAGTTTCTTAGATGAAAGGGACTTGAAAGTTAAATCCCACACTTTAAGAATAAGAACATAAACAGCAAAAAAACTCGTCAGATAAATTTTCAGCGGATAAACTTCGTCGTGACTTCTCAACTTTTCAGAATTTCGTCGTGACAAAATTTCGTCATGCATTTTTAACACAAAAATAGCAATATATTACCAAGACCTGAAGGTTGCTACACCATACATACAGGTTGTTTTATATTCAATCCCGGCTAGGTACCGGCTTCGTGGAGACTTGGAGGCTTGAGTATCGCTGAGTACCCCGTTCAGAGTTTGGCTCATCTCCCCAGGCAACACGTCAGGAAAACCAAATTAAAGCGCTATATTTCCCAGTTTATACGAAGGTGGAGTCAAAAGAGATACTTTTAGCAAGATCAGGGCCTAAAATAAGCGTGGATTTGACTCACTTTGTGGGGTTGTAAATTAAAATTGTGGAACTGTAATTGTAGAAAGTGTGGATTTGTAAATAATGCATGTTATTAAAAGTGCAGCATAAAATACCATTCGAAAAATCTAAGAAAGTAATGGGAACATTTTTTCAATTCGAAGTGAATGCCTAGAGCAGCTGAACGATGATAAGCCTCTCGGTGGTAGCTGGGAGGAACATTCAATTGGGAATGTTGCATAACAGGGACTATATTCCTCCCAAACTTTTTTGCAATAATAGGGTAGAAAATGTTTTGAAACTTTACGCTAACGAACGCATTAGTAGCAGTTCTGCTGGGAACACGTTTTTGTTCTTTTTGATGGTGCTTTATCTTGTGTGGTAAGAAAAATTTGTATTTCGTCAAACACGGTTTTGTATTTTTATGTTAATTGGAATCTTCTCTAAATCGTTATGATTATGAATAAGGACAGAAAGGAGCAAATATTTTCCGGTGTTTCAAAGGGCGTGGCCGTGAAAAATTTAGGGGGAAGCCTCTTAGTCCCGTCCAAGCCACTCCCTTGTGGGCTGGTGCCAGTGTGACCTGATCTAGCGTAATATCAACATGATATTGGCCAAAAATCGTCATCTAGCATTAAATCTAGGATAATTTGGAATCTAGCATAACTCTGGCATAATTCTGATATTATTTAAAAGAATCATTGTTTCCATTGATCCATTGTCTATTGTTAGCAAATGGAAACACTTTACACCAGCATCTGTGGTTTCATTTAGGGAGTAAATTGTGACTTTCCACCTTCAGGATTTTGCCAGTTGTTTTGAAAGGTTGGCAACAACATATTTTGTGGTTGGCAACCAAATGCAGCAAGCCAAACGCAGTATACAAAAAAGCTAAATTTTTTCGAATTATTGGAAGTGATACCGTAATCAAAATTTGCTTTGTAGGTTACAAAAGTTTTCACTTGCATTTATCTAAAACTGTTTGTTATCTTTTACTTTGTTTCAAGATTTATCACTTGCAATTTTGAAATTATTTTAAAAAGTTTTGAATATTATCTGTGTAAAATTTTTTTTTTCCTTTACATTTTCGTTGTTTTTTGCAACATGCTGCCAGAATTCAGCCAAATTTTGCTTCCTCGGCCAAATTTATTTATGACGGCCAAGGGGTTTTGAGAAACTGTCAAAATGGAGAAATTTGGACATCAAACCATGAATCTAAATTGCCTTTATGTTTATGAAGAATGAGTGCACTAGGTTGTCAAAAAGGTCAAATTGCAACTCTGGCAACTTGATATTCTGAGCATGCATTGGCCTCCTTCTCGAGCAGGGTTGCCTAGATTTGAAACCTGGCATAATCTTTGCAAATCTAGCACAATCTTATGACAAATTTGGCGTAATTCCAAAATTGAGATCTGTTGCGTGGTTTCTGCATAACAAACAAGATGGGTTAAAGATCATGCTTTCAAACTAGGCGAAAAGAGAATAAGAAGAAACAAGCATAATTTGTACATCAGTGAGAGAAGAGTTTATTTGCCATCTGTAACGAGGTTTTCGTTTATAGTAGCAAAACTTTTTGAAGAACAGATTTGATGGCAAAGAGTTTGATGGGCTGAATGCAGTTAAAAACTTTCCATAAGTAAAAGAGACTTGAGAAAGCTTCACCCAGCTTTTGTCCCGGTAAAAATATTTCATTCAATCATGCATTAAATTTTGAGAAAGAAACGACTAAGATCGTAGAGATCTGAGACTTGTTCTCAGAGGAATTCTACAAGACGAGACAATGGCTTGGATTCTTGCAGCAAACCCTAATTCTGTCGATGTAGAGAGGCTGATTCCCACCTACAACAAGATAGAAGCAGGTGGTGAAAGCTGCATAGCTCCAAAAAAACTTAACAAATAGATAAGTTTCGAGTTCCAAGAAAGGCTGCAAAGCTCTGGCTCCAAAAAACCAAAAAACTCCAAAGTCTGGGAAGCAAGGCTGAATTAAGGGAGTTTTTGGAGGTGAAAGGAAATAAAAAATAACTTTGACAGAGATCCGAACAAACCATGTAAAAGAGTTTCTTTTCGATAACTTTTTGCTGACATATTAAGACATCGCTATATGTAGCTAATTTTCTTATTAACCCAATCCATATAATGTAAAGAATCAGCTTTTCCTACTTATACTTTATTCATTTAAGAATTTGCCCAATTAGGGCATGCTATTTGCACTATGATGGCAGTTTCTATATTTGCCACCCCCATGATGCCAATCCCAGCAAAGTACCAAGCCCAATTTTTATAAAAAATGTGCTGTAAAAATTTCCTTATCTCAAGCCTGAGCCAAGAGTCTCTACCTTATATCTATAAGGCATGAGAGTGTTTAACTTGAGTATATATCAAAAATATTAGTGTGAGATATAAGTTAAAGATTCAGAACAGCCACGAGACAATCTCCAACAGGAAAAGTTGGTCTTGAAATCGTTTCTTCCTGTAGAGTTCAAAAATTTGGTTGAAAAGTACAAATTACTTGAAGAATGGAAAAAGTAGATACAGTTAGAGTAAAGAAAGACAGAGCGTGGAATTCTTTTGAGACTGGCGAAAAAAAACAGTTTATTGAACAGAAGCGTTTTGCCAAGGTGAGATAAACTGGAGGAGAGAGGGTTGGCAAAGGCTAAGTTTGAGCAAAAGAAACGTATTGGTCCCAGCACACTTTTATGACCAAGGAAACGCCCCTTTTCATAAAAGTTTTTTTGTCATTGGGGATGGCCTCATGCCCCCTTTTGCCTCCCCCTTGCTATGCCAAACTTAGGTTAAAATATTTTCATCTACAAGTGGTGAAAAAAACGATTTCAGGTTCAACGAAATGGATAATGATTGATGAGGATTGATGATCATGATCGAAATTTAGTCGAAGAAAATTTTCCGTCGAAAATTTTTGTCCGAAAATTTTGTCACGGCAGAAATTTTTGGTAGTTAATGAGTTAGAAAAAGGTAAATCCACTTTTGTTTACAGCCAAAAAGTAAAGATATCTTTCTATAGTTCAAAGGATTTGAAATATTCTACAGTGTGTTTTTGTTAGAAAAATAAGTTCAGCTGAAAAATATATGAAATTTCCAACGAGTTTTGTTCAATATGGTGTCAAACCATCACAGCTAGTCTCATATGGTGCCATCTTTTTTTGGAAATTGTCTCTATATTCTCGCACATGTAACATCTCGATCACACTTCTGTCTGTTGTGCAACGCATATTCGATCTCGATGGCTGCTGTGAAGATAAATGATTTCTGACTCAGAAATATGCAACCCATTATTTTAATCGGCGATTGTAGTGGTGAAACATTGATTTTTGATTGCTTCTGCATTTAAAACCCTCCTTCCAAAATTCTTCACCTAACATGATTACCCCGTGTATTGGTGCTTGTTGGCAGGCTTGCGAAAGGGGGGCATCGCAGTTTGCCCAATACTCGATGTTGAGAGCAGACCCAACAAGTTATAACAAAGTTCTTTACAATAATAATAACAATAAAACCCATAGTTTAAATGACGTTGATGCTTTAGATGCAAATACTTTTTAGTTTAAAGGACAAGTGACACACTTTTCACCCTATCTTTTCTTTTCATTAACTTATAGATAATCATTTAGAAGTAAGTTTTTCCTGGTTTAGAACAAAAAATTCTAATCAGGGGGCGCAGGGGGCGCGATTTTGCTTTTTATCACGTGATCCTATGACGTACATTGTGATAACTCGGAATTTTCCTTTCATTAATAGAGAGTCTACGAAACACGACGCGACAGGTCCAGACGAACTAAATTCGTTTAGAAGCGTGTTGTAAACGTTAGTATCAGTGGCGGCTCTTGCTAATGGGCATCTGGGGCAATGCCCCCTCAAAAAGATTCAAAGGAAATTTTTGATATTCATATTTAATTTTGAAGATAGTCTCACTGTGGTTAATTATATAAGTTTGTATCTCTTCTAGAAAAAGCTCCTTGCTATCCCATCTCTTCCTTAGCCTCGCTTCTGGCCCGCTAGTGCCTTGAGCGATGATGTCATATTACGGGCAAAGTTTTTTTGCCCCTAGCTGATATGCGCACAAGCTTATTTTCGACCTCGAGCATTGCGAAACGCGGCCTGCGATTGGCTTATTTGGAGGAATTCGGGGCAAGAAAAATTTTGCTTATAAAATGACATCATCGCTAAACAACAACCACATCTATTTATGCTTTTTCTTCTTCGCCCCATGACGATCAACATCGAACCAAGAATACAGTGAAAAATTTGCAAACTCGACCTTTCTATCGATTATCGCAATATTGATGGTCTGCCCTCCCAACTGTGAAAGTCACGAGCCGCCACTGGTTAGTATTGCACTGTATACCAGTAGCAGCAATAACAGATTATCACAATCTACGTCACGGTGTCACGTGATTCATTTCCCGCCATAATTTGAAAAGGGTTTTTAAGTAGGGAAATGAAATCAGAAAGGAAAAATATTTCAACAACACTCTCATACAGCATTTTACTTGAAGTTAAAAGAAAACAAAATTGGCGCCAAAAGCGTGTCACTTGTCCTTTAACATGCAAATATGAGTTAAACATAATTTTTATTTGTTTAAAGTTTAAACTCACAAATTACACTCTTCTTTTTATAAGAACCGTATATATCTTCCTAGGCTTGATGTTCTTATTCTTTGGACCATATGTGACTTTAATATCCTTGTTCTTTCTTCAACATTGATCTTTCTTCATTCACTCAGTCACTGTCACTAAGAATGCTTTGCATCACATATTTAGCAATGTGGAAGACTGTGTGATAAAATCTGCTCTGTCTTTTTAGCAATAGGAAAAGAATTTCAGAATGATGTAAATTTGTTCTATTTTTTGGCAAATCGAGCCTCGCTTGAGTTCTTTTTCGAGAAACTTAAGGGATAAACGAGGCTCACGGGAACGAGACAAAATGGCCTAACTCATGTCGGCAAATCTCTAATCTGGAGCCAAAAGAGAGTTGATATGCTAGCGAAGCGAAGCATTTCACTTGTTAGCAAATATCAGGTTTGTTAAGTTTCAGTTTACTTGATAAAATATACTCCTCTCTTTTAAATTTTTACTTGTCTCTTTTGCAATGGAATTTCTTAGTAGTAACTAATTCCTACTCCATTTACTGCCGGGAGAAGCAAGGAGCCTCGCGGCGCGGTCAAAGGCTCCTTTTGTCTTTGTCAATCCAGAACATCTTTCTGGGAAGTATGTCAATTTTTATTGAGGTCACAGGCGTACAACGGGGCTTCACTGATATTATTCAAATTTTAAGTATGCAAGTAGTACCACACAGCTGGCTGCTGCACTGCGGAAGTCGGGCAAGAATATGCCCCCTCTATCATGATGACGGTATTTGAGAAAATCGATGATATCTCAAACTTTGAAACAGCTTTAGAAAAACCGTTTTTGTTTTAAGTTGATCATAAAATTCTGCAATAGAAAAACAAACCAAAATGCAATTCATATTTTTACTTTTTTACAAAGATCTTTTTTAAGTTTTAACTTTTAATTAAAATTAAGCTTCCCGCATAGAAGTTGTCCACACTTTTGCATATTGGCAGTGCAAAGTCCCTTGTAAATAACATTTTACATTATCAACACTACAAATTTTTTAATGTGATTTCAGGCGTGTAGTCTCAAATTTTCAAAATGAACTTATCTGCACTGTTAGGCTGCCATATATTGGTTTATTTCTCTACAGAAACATACCAAAATGACCCTTTATTCATAGTATCTTAGGTGCCCTTATAACAGAAAAAGTATATTTTTTGTGCAGTTTGCCTTAGATGCCTTCTTTGACACACCAATAATAAGTTAGCTTTATTTTTAAGCCATTTCATGAAGAAAAAATGCAGTTTATATCTTTTATTGCTTGGAAGAGCCTAAAAGATGTTGTTGGTTTAAAAATTTATTTCAGCAACATGATTAAAGTTATCACAAAGCAAATTACAGAATATAATTTGCTGAAAGCTAAGCTACATTTTAGAAACTTAATTTTGAAAATTGATGGTACACATTTGTTTCAGCGCCTAGGAAGTTGGAGAAACCCAATTTGTCAAGTGCCTGCTGTTTTTCCCCTTCAAGATCTCTCTAGTAGTGCAAGGATGGCTTAGTGACGAGGGTCCTGGATTACAGATCTAAGCATATACCTTAGATTGAGTCCCTGCCATGAAAAAAACTTTCAATTAGAGTAAAGAGAGTTGCAAGTTCTATGTAATTCAAGGCTTTGAAGTCAACACATGTGATCACATCAAGAGGAAGAACCAGGAGGGGCTTAATAAGCATAGCTTCACAGTGTTCTAAACTACCTTTGGAAGTTTTGTTGTAACAAATAAAAATTTTCCTCGAAAAAAACATTTTCCCAAGCTCTGGTATGTACAGTAAAATCAATTATTTATCTTAGGTGATTATTAGACCATCAAGATGCTTGTGTAGTGAGGTTGTTCAGTATAAACTGAAAGAAGAAAGATTGAATCAGATTGCAAAGTCGCCAAGTGGATGGGTCCCACCAGCTGGTAAGTCTTAACAGTTGTCAAATTTATACAGCAAAAATTGCTAGGAGTTTAAGTGGCTCACAAAATGACCAAGTTCAAGTAGTAGTTGTACAGAATTTTGTAGGGGCACCAGTGTTTACCATTGCCTGAACCCTATGTAGATGCAAAGTTTTGTAATGACATCAATACTTAGCTTTACATCTCTACAATGCCGTGCAAAAAGGATTCCTTTATGATTATTTTCATTGCAAATAGCAGAGGTAAAAACAGATTGTAATAATTCCAATGGATCGAAATAGTGTGCCATAAATCTTGTTAAAGTAATCTGCAAATAAGTTTGTTTGCAACTGCACATATTATCACCAAAACAGGTATGAAGGACGCCAGCATGACCAAAGGGCAAGGGGACAGGCTTGAGCAAAAGTGCATTTGAAAGATAATTATCAGCTTCTACTAATTCCTTCATAACTGCCATTTTACTTCCATCTTCTTGAACCTTGGGTAATTTTTGCATAAGTAATTATTTTACAAGTTTTAAGAAATGTTGTCATGAATTAGGCACTACAATCAGAATTTCATTTCAGGGGCAGACACTTATTGGAGGTCAAATATTGGAGGGGGCAAGCCAATTGTTTTAATAAGATGATGTCACATTTCCCATTGTTTTAGAACAAAAGACAATTGTCCTCTAAAGTATGAAGGGGGCGGTCACCCCCTTGCCCCCCTAAGTGTCTGCCCCTGTTTCATATGAATCTCTCTGATTCCCTGTTGCTTCTCCTATCAAAAGGCAACAGGTGCAGTTGAACCCCTGTGCCCCCCTTCTCCAGCATCCCTGACAGGTACTGCCAGGAATCTTTGCTTGTTCAACAAAAGTCTAGTACCAATCAATCCTTAAAAAATCAAACATGTCAGAATCATTAAAAACCTGAACAACTGTAAACATTCATCATAGTGTGAAATAATACAGTAAAAAGAGATGATAATTTTTGTCTCATACTCTGTAACAATGCTGAAAATTACTAAGAGTCACTTAAGTTTCCTTGTATTACTGTTCTTCCCGGTTAAGTACAAAAGGCTCTTGTGCAATCAGTGTGCCTTGCGACTTTATTTCTAAAATAGTGCTAATATTTTACTGGATATAAAAATAAAAAAAGCCCTTCTCTCCTCATGTAAAAAGACAGCTACTGCAAAGCATTCCGCTTGTATAAGCTTAAGCAAAATTTTCTGGGCAGGCAGAGTCTGTAGCAAGCAATCACAAAATAAATAATTATGTTTTGTTATGACCAAGGTTTATACTGAGATTTTATAATATGGTTGAAATTCTATGAAACTTCCAAGGACTGGTATCAATGAGTTCATTAGATTTTTCCTTGTCGATTTTCAATCATAAAATATAGGTAAACATTTTCTTGAGTTTAGTAATTTTTCCTTCAGTATTTTTGATAACAAAATTTTTTTTTTCTAGACAATCCACCAGATGTTGGTTTTGGTATCAGGCGCACAAGGACTAATAATCTGCCAGTATATACACACTATTCACACAGTGGCACAAGAGCTGTTACAGTTATTCGCAAGGTTTCTGGAGATCTAAAGGTATTAGTTATGAAACATTCAAAATATATCTAGGCTTTCAATGCTAGATGTATAATCAATCAAACAGTGTGGGTGATATTCTTTAATGCAAAACCAACTGATTTATTTATCAATAGAAATAGAAAATCAAACATAGCATCTATTAGAGGAAATACAGTATTCATTACTTGCTTTCTCTATGTCATTAATTTCAGGTGACACACACCTTTTCTTTCTATGCCTGATATTTTCCCCTCCTTGCTTCTGGTTGTAAGTTTTTACATCTCTCTATTTCTATTGTAATGACTGTTAGCGTGACCTGTCTGCAAGCATTATTTTGCTAGTGAGAAAGTTTACTAAAAAGCCAACTGTTGGAGGGATGGAATACACACTTTACTAGACCCTTCTATCATCAACCTTTCATTATATTGGAATGTGTTTTTGTTGAGCTACACAGTTGTTTTAGATATTTTTTAGATTAAGCCTTTAGTTCTTTACCAATGTTTAAAAATTGCTGCATTAACGCATGAAAGTAGAACAGTGAAAAGCAGGGATTATAAACAAAGTCCGAAACTTGCTGAATAAAATTTTAGCAATTTAAGATTTGCTTAAACGGTCTTGAAATTTGATAGCTTAAGTCGTTAATATTATTTTTTTGTTTTTCAAAGGAATTAGAAAAGTGTCTGAGATTCAAACTTGGTGATGAAAAGACTTACCAAATTAATGAAATTACTAGTTGTGTTAAAGTGAAAGGAAAACACAAGAAAGAAGTAGCAAAATGGCTTCTTCAGATGGGTTTCTGAAAAATAGGTGCTCAGCCATTGTATATATCAATAGCAATTGTAAGTTGTCAACAGTGTGGACATATGCAGACTCAGTTGTGGATCAGCATGCTTTTCATATCATCATGAACTGAAATTACTGCTTAAAAGTTGTTTCAAATATTTTGTTTTTTTTTATGAGATATGTAACTTGGTGAAACGAAAATTTCATGTGAGATCATTAAATTCCATTGTTTATCATGAAATGTAGAACTACCTACCTATCACTGTCTTTCTGACTTCTTCTACAGCAAGGGTTTTAAGGGTAAAGAGGGCAAACCTTTTATAAAAAAATATAAGGATACAAAATGCTCATTAATTAGAATAAATATACAATTTAAGTTAAAACTATTGAATTGTTTGCTATTGTGATAAATAAGGTATTGTGTTTTCATCAGCACCGAAGGTAGCTAAACCGAAGGTAGCGAAGGGCCTACACCGAAGGTAGCTAAAAAGATAACCTTTTAGCTAAAAAGATAAATACAGGAGTTGAGAAGAGTTTATATACAAAAAAATTGTTTTCTGGTCAATGGTTTGATATCGATTCCTTTCTAGGAACTCGCCCGTACCTAGTCCTGGGTAAACTCCCCTTTGCTCCTATCCCCACTCTCAGCCGTTGCGCTTCTCTCTCCTCTCTGCTATCTTTACCAAAGTAAGTTATGTTTATCTAGGCTTTTCACAACACTGGGGGTGGGCGTAGAACTACTTGTTCGGGTACCTAGAAGCGAGATCTATTGCAAATTTAACTATAGCATTGCCAACGGATTTATCTTTGTTCCGTTCCGGCACGTCTTCAAAAAACGTTTTTGCTTTTCTTTGTATATAAGAAGAAATAATATGCTCTAGTTTATTGCGTGAGTACGATTTTTCAGTTGTTTTCAATAAGTGAAAATCAGAATTTGAGTAGTTTCTCTCAACTGCCGAATTGTTTGTTCGCATGTTTGTTTCTATGATTGCCAATGCCCTGACTTCAGCTTTTTTGTAATACAAGATAAACATTAGGAGACAGTCGGCGACCCAGTACTTGCGCAAAGAGTCTCTGCAATAGTGAAAAGAAGATTTCGATTTGTTATTGATTGCTCGAGGATTGCTCGAGAACGTCATAATCAAAGAGGGGAGGGGTTTGGGGATCAAGGACAACTTTTCGTGCGTCTATTTTCCTTCCTACGCAAGTCTCCTTCGCAAGGTCATACGTCACAGAAGTGCTGTTTTTCTAGTAGACCTCCCAACAATTCTAGCACCAATATCATGATCAGGAAATGTACGCTTTGGTTCAGAAGACCCCGTTTATGCTGTGATTCGCAAAACTTATAAGTTGCTACTCTGAGCTTCACCCTTGGTATGATCATCATCAGGCCGCTATTGATTTCTCTCTTTGTGGGTGTAGTCGTTAGTTTGTAAGAAGGATGAGTCCTGTATTCATAATACTTAAGTTGCCTTTGTGGAAAAAAAACCTGCGATGCTAACCAGAGTTTATTTCAAGGAATTTTTATCACTGCACGCATTCAAAATTTTTGAAAATTTAGGTGTCAAAATCAAACTAACTGGACTATGATAAAACTCTATAGCGTTTAGATACTGAACAAATTTCAAAGAGATTTTATACATCGTGATCACTGTTACTGTTATGTTCTCGTTTTTAAAATTGTAATGCTTTTTTATAAGCTTTATGTGCCTACTGGTAGTTGCTTCAATTCTGCTTTTTCAATGCCAAAACTCTTTATTTTAGTTTTATCACTGCACAAAATTTATCACTGCACAATAAAGGTTTATTACTGCATTAATTGGTTATTGGTTATTAATTGAGAGAAACTACTCAAATTCTGAATTTCATTTATTGAAAACAACTGAAAAATCGTACTCACTGCACGTTTCAATAAACCCTGCTGCTAACTATTCTATCAACTACTCCAGGGTCTCTAACTAGTCAGAAGGATGAATTTGGTCCAAATGCGCCCACTTTTAACACAAACACAGAGTATATCCGTATTTGAATGGTGATAAAAGAGCATCCCCACACATACTTTCCATAAGACTTATTTTCTCTTTTTATAAGGAAAATTTCACTAAGAAAATCTTGGTTGCAGGCATAAAACTGCGGAGGAGGTATGGTGAGAAAAAACAACAACAAATTTTTGCTGGTGGGAATGCAACATGTGTAGCCATGAATCAAACACCAGCGCAGGTTGCTATTTGCGCCTCTACACAACAATAAGCACTTGATGTTGAGATTTCGAGCGTCATTATCGAGACAGGTACTTTGGCTCGAGGGGAAATTCACTCTTGCAAATAGCGTACGAGATTTTCCCTAAAACAAACTGATTTCTAGATTTCCAAACTGATTTCTTTTCAGACAAAACAGTAGGATTTCCACCAAAGGTGTACAAGATTTTGTTGGAGTGTTTTGTCCCTAACCTTTGGTAAATAAAGTCTGACCTCGTGAAAATCTAATTATGAAAATGTTCTATTTATAGAAAATTAATATAAAATTGACTTGGGCGAGAGTGAGCAAGGAGTAGCGAAATACATCGAACAAAAGCAAGGGGTTACTAGATTTTCAGATCGCCGGTCTGTTTCTTTAAGCGAGAGGTCAATCATTCCAAGAAAATCTCGAACACCTTTGGCAAAAATCCTTTTGTTTTCAAGAAAAAACCGCGAAAGATCCTAAAAATTGTCTAGTTCAAAAAAACGTAAACTTTTTGGATTGAGCGACATACCCTTTGGCTTTAAATTGTCTTTACTTTTCTTCCCTTCCTGGTTGTGCTTTTATGAACAAATGAGAAAGAACTGGAAAATCTATTTGCTAGTGCAGTACGAATTTGTTCTGAACACTGAAACCCTCAAGTTAGTGCCAAAAAGATAATTCTATATTTCAAACTGGATTGTGTTTTTTATACAATGGAGCCCTTTGAAGGACTTTGTAAAGTTAGTAAAATACGAAAAAGGTTCCGATGAGATGAAATTATGGAATTTATCACAGAGGAACAGGGACGCCGTAACACATTTTGGGGTGGGGGCCTTCGACAAATTGTCAATTATTATGGTAGTTTTTCGGCCATTATTTTTGATGCCACAACATAAATATCATACTTCAGCAAGAAAGTGAGGGAGCAACAGCCGCCCCCCCCCCTTGAGGCCTCGAAGTTCCGTTAACAGTTTTAAGCTATTTTGCATCTGAAAATGTCTTGGCAAATTTTTTTTGTAGGGGGATGAGACTACTGGTGGCCTCGGTCGTTAGGCTACTCTATACGCTAATCGCTCTAGAAATTAGCCTTCCAGCGACAGACTCAAAGGCAACTGAAATAGCCATATCAAGAAAGAATTTGCCTTGCTGTACGTGATTTGCTCAGCAAGAGCCAAACATTTTACTGATGTGTAAAGAAATTATTTCAATGGATGCAGCCAAATGGAGGCCTGGGCATAGAGACAAGCCAGCATGTGGTTTCGAAGCTGGCACTTAATTATTCATTCGAATACATTAAAAGATCTTTGAAACTTTGCTACGTCAACAAGCTAAAACCCTCTATTGAATCTAGTTAGATTCTTTTGCTTCTGCCAAACAATAAGGCTACACGCTACTGGTTCCCTTTGTAATTCTGAAATATTCTTTAAAAGCAGTGTTTGTTTGGTTTTTGATCGCTGAGTTGATACGATTTATTTCTTTTGAAAATTGGACTTAGATTAACAAGTCGCCGAAGTTCAAATGAACAAACAAAACAACAGGTTATTTTTGGTTGACAAAAGAGAAATGTTTCCTTTTATTTAACATAATAATACATTGGATTTTGAGGTCGACAGTGGGGCGAAAGTTCATAGGCCATAGGATTCTCTCGGGTGAAGGTGTTCTCTCGTGAATTGCAAGGGTGAGTTGCAGTACTATGTTTCCAGTAACATATAATTGATCATTTGTACAGGTTGCAATGCTGTTACGGTTTTTACGCTTCTGTAAGATTTCGATTCAAATGCGATCAAGCGTTAAGCTGCATATATTTCAGAGTCTAGTTCTTGGTTTAGAACAAGTTGTCAGTTACATATTTTCTTCGTTGACGGATCCAACTTGTTTCATTAAAAGGAACGTATGAATTTAATGTTACTTTTACAAACTGCCATCATTTGTTTGGAACGCCAACGCGAATCGAGCAAACAGAAGTTGGGGCTTTGGCTACCCATTACAATCGTGAGCGTATAAAGACGTTGAATTACTTGAAGAGATCGAAAATCGAACCGGCAATAAGCCACTTCCTCACATTCCTTTACGGCATTTTGTATTTCTTCGACAGGAAATCGTGAACGATTGACTCAGATTTTGCGAAATCAACGCTTAAGAGCCAAATCTGCGTGAATCTAAATCACAGGTAAGTGTATTTGTAAATATCCATCAAATAAAGACAAACTAACAGTATCATATTTGATAATTGTTACGTTAATGTATCTAATGATTTGTTAGATCGCAAAATCTGCATGCTGCCGCGTGTACATCTTCTTTGTTTAGCAGTGACGTCAGGGGAATAAGGAACATGACAGACGAAGCTTTTGTTCGGGTGTTGTTTGCTTTTAACTCGTGGAGTTTCAGGAGTTTCTGTTACAGCACATATACAACTACAGAGAAATGTGTAGGCGTTGCCTCTTGCATTAACAAAAATTGTTGTTACTTAAAACGTTGGCGATTGACGTCAATAACATATTTTTACAATTGTAAAGAGGAACAGGAGCATGACATAAAGTTTCGTACAGTACATTATTTGGGAGGAGATAATAGATAACCTGCAACTGACCCGTAGTAGCAGAGAAAGGGCGGTCGTCAGCAGGATAGGAAAGCGATTTGTCATTTACCTTATACGCTTATATCGACGATAAAAAAGAACACAAATTTTATTTATGTCCATCCTTCCCAGCTTGCAGTGTATGACCGATCTTGGGTGCGCCAACAGCCCTCCCAGGTGCGGGTGCTCAAGAGTTTTCTTAAATACCAGGAGCAGCAGCACTATCAAAATTTCAAGTATATAGTTAAATGGGTCCGGTTTCTGGGTGCGCTCTCAGTGCTAGTTTCTTGCGCATTTTTAAAAATTGAAACTGCGCGCTAAGAATCATGTGTCTTGAGAAATTGGCCGCGCTTGCGTGTCGTGCCAAAATAGGACCAGTAAATAACTACCGTTTTTAAAAGAATTTTCGCTCATGTCTTACCAAAAATTCAATGAAATAAGCATAGCCTTATTGATTTTGATATTGTCAGATGTTATTTTCCCTGTGTTTGTGGGTAGTGGTTACGGAGGACAGTTACTCTTGCGCGTCTTCTGAGGGGTTTTGCGCGGCCAAATTACAAAAGTGCGCGGATGGGAAATTTGTGTGCGCGAGCTATATATTGAGCTATATATTGTGGGCGCGCAGCAAAATTTTTAGTCTCGCATGTCTGCATCTTGGGTTCTCAATTTCCATTCTCAGCGTACTAGCATCCTTCAATTAAGTAAACTATGGCAAGGACTACGTTGAAATTCAGTCATTAAGGCCTTCTACCAATTATTGATTGTTATGCACAATGCTGGTATGAATATAGGTATAAATAGAAACCATCTTAGGCCCACTTTGCGTTATTTGCTTTAGGCCATCTGTGTAATCAACGCAACCCTGTATGCAATAAGCAAAATAAACAAAAACAATGCGTTCTCCACAACACTTAACATAGCAACAATACTAGCTTTCTAATTTTCAGGTAGCGACGATAAATTCTCTATTCACCGTGTGTAAAATTATTGCTCTCCAAAACGAGCAGAGGAAGACATAAGAAAGTAATGTTTTCAAAAATGGGGCGCTCATTGGTTCTTTAGAAAGGGAAGGCGTACTTTTTCAGACTTTATCAGAAAAGTGATATTGTGAATTTCCCGTGTTTCATGAAAGAAAGCATCAGGAAATAAGGAAAAGTTTCTGTAACCTGACATGTTTTTCTGTCCTCTTGCAAGAAAGTGAATTGTACAAGCTTAAACTAATGCCCTTGATATCCACGATTTTCTCACTTAAACTGCCTTAAAGTGAGCGTCCTTACAATCTGTTGAGCTTTGTAAAAGAGGGTCAAACAACTATAAAGGAAACCTTTGGGAAACCTTTTTGCACAGGTAATTGAACAGGACTTAAGTCTATTTTACTTTTAGACGCCAAACTGCACACAACAGTCCGTTTTTAATTCATGCCAGCTAAAATATCAACTTGTATGAAACCATGGCAGAGTAAAATATAGTTTGCAGAAAAATTAACTAACCACAGAAAACCTTTCTTTTTTTCTTTGTAGGATGAACAATGTTGCTTAACTAAGAGTGGATCCTATTCCCCAACCCCTTACGTGTCGGTTTTCACCCTAAAGGTGCGGTCGTGATGATCCACTGACCAGCTCCTAAAGATACAGTTGTACTTGACGCGTAACATACATTTATTGTTAATTTCGACTTAATGCGTGAATAGATACGTAGCCAATGCGTCACGATGCCGACATATTGACCTCGTAGCAGGCACCATGCAATGAGAAATTGTTACTGTTATTCAAGTGCATTGTTTTGCAAGAGTTCGTGTTCTTGTTAGATATTGTATTCTTCTATTGAGTGCCTAATCTAAGGTGTTTTTGTTTACTAACATGATACCAAGGTAAAAGCTGCGCTGAATGGCATTATCAAGATCTGCTTGATGATGTCATTTTCCGATACAAATTTGCGTTCCGTTGAGGAAAGTTACAATGAATGTAGCTACTGAATGTAATCTTCATGAACACGAATCAGTAGCACGCGAGCTTTGCAAGTCACGCTTTATGGAATTCAATCCGTTACTATTCGCCTTTTGAATTCAACACCTTTCAAGAACAGTAACTTAGTATATCTGCCGATATCTGCACTTGCAGTTGGAAACAGATTTGCTGTGTAGTCAGAAATAGCCAAAGATGTGACGATTTTCTTCATAGTTATGCCGCTGTAACGTTTAAAGTTTGGCGACAGTCTTACAATATCAGTCATTTCAAACTTTGCTTTGTTTCCAAGAATGTGGCTTTAATTTACAAATCGCTGTGCTCGAGAAAATAAAGTAGTGAATGTATCAATATTCTATGTCTACAAACCCTAACGACAGCTTCAAAGCCTATTTGTCACAATACACCTTCCCATAACAGGTGGCAACTTCTTCTCTGATCTGCACCCAAAAAGCACCGCAAACATTTCTTAATGCGGTTCTCTATTTGTTTCTACACTATGCAGCTACAAAACATGGCAGCGGTAATTTAACATTAAACAGTTGCTCCTTCAAATTTCTAGCGTTTTGACTGGTGGCGGTATATTGGGTTTGATTCGTACATTCATACTTAGCCAGGCTACAATAATATTCCAGAATGTTTGGGAAGAATCGTTGATGGGTGCATTAATTAGAGAAGAAGGTTAACAAGCCGCAGTCCATGACAAGCAAAATGACGTAGCACCGTCAAAGACTCCTGGTGCAAACTTTACCAAAATAAGTCAATACTATATTTGATTAATTCGCTCGATTCTCCTTTGCTGACCCAGGTTTTGGTACATGATATGAATGTAACAACTGAAAATGTTTTCCAAGCTTCTAAATCATAGGAAAGACATGATGTTTAGCAAAGGGCAATTCACTCTTCGAATTTTCCCTATAACAAAATGATTTCTGGGGATTTTCAGATAAAACAATAGGATTTTCGATGTTCAGTGTAATATGTTGAAACAAACTTGTAATCCTGAAATCGTTTAGGAATTACAGTGAAGAGAACTAGAAGCTCTGTGCTGCTGGATTGGGAGGAATCCTTCAGCACTGGCAAGGCGTATTCAATAACTTTTGACGATTTGACAGCCAAAACATGGTACAGGAGTGAATTTCGTGCACTATTTCGTTCGACTTCTGCTAGCCCAAAACCAATATCCTCATACTGTGACAACCTTTCTCAGAAAAAACAATGAACATAAGGTGGGGTTTTAATGTGACACTTCAGCTAATTTTCTCTTCAATGGCCTTCGTCGCGATCGCTGTTGACTGTGTGAACGCCTTGTTTTCTGGGCGGTACTAAGAATTGTCTCTTGTATTACAGACTTTGCCATACTGGAATCCGTCAAGTCCATACGCAACATATTTACGCCAAGAGTAATGCTCTTTTACACAATGCTTTATACACAAAAAGTGCCAAGCCTTACGCTAGCGTAAAAACTGCAGGCACGCTGTACGTCACAGATGTGGCGTAACATGGCTTTATTCCACTCAAGAGACTTCGTACCTCTTAAGAAATTTCATAACCTTCCACTTTAACAGGCCATTGGTAAGACTAACGTTAAACCTAACTAAAAAATAAGAAAATGCACAAAATTTTTCCTTAGATTGAAAAATACACCTAATGATAATGTGAAAAATGTTTACTTAAAGACATCATAAAAGGAACATTCATTCATTTCGTTTCGTTTAGACTGTTGTTTGGTTCCCGTCACCATTTCAGACTGTTTATTTTTGTTGTAAAGAAAACAATAAGGCCACTGACGTAACAGGTGACTATATCAGTGTATTTTGTTATTAACCGCGATTTGCATAATCCTTGTTCAGTTTGACGTGCATTTAAATCAAGAACGGACGCTGGTTTGTCACTGGTTTTAACAATGTCAATTTTAGGTACGTAAAGCAATAAATATGTAATTCTTTTGCACCGATATGTATAGTGTAACGGGCTGTAGGTTTTACAGTAGTTCATGCAATCAGAATGTTATCTCATAGTTGCTCCATTCTCGATCTTCAATTGACCTTGTTTCTGTTAAGGCAACGCAGAGTTGAAAAGAGAAAACAGAAAACGGGCATCAGGTTTGCTTCGATTTCAATGCAACTATCTATGTAAATTAGAGGCAAAAGGAAATAAGGCAATTGCGTGCTAAAGAATATGATTCAACTCACCGGGTTGCTTTGAGTAGTAAAGCCATGTCGCCCTGATCGTGTATTTGTCTTTGGAACAGTCTTCTGCTAGCTAGCAGTAGTAAGCCATATTGTTCTCATCAAGATTCGGTCTTTGAAACAACTTTCGTTACATTGTTCGTCTTAGTTCTAGCTAACACTCGAAAGCTTTGCACCAACCTAAAACAAGACGTAAGCAATTTTGATATGGGGAGTAACTTTCCAAAGAAGTAATCGACAGAATGTTTTTAAGAAAGCAGCTTTCTTGATTAAATATTTGCTCTTCAAATCCTTTACAACTTCTCTCTCGTTTCTCGAAGCCCTGCCAATATCAGGGTATGTTTTTTTCTGGCTACAGAATGATAATTGGACAAGAATACTTCAAAACAATTATTCGTTTACTCCCGAACTCGTTTATTTGTAACTTGGAGTTATATGTATTGGTACTGAAATCCTGCAAAACAACATCTCCTTAAAGAAACTATATAAATACATGGGTGACCGTATTTGTAGCTAATTATTTTGCAATCTTTATCAACTTCAACTATCACAAAGAGCATCGGTTTTCTCTCGAAGAGTTCATATCATCACAAAGAGAGATACTACAATTCAAGCTGTAAAGCAAGATAACACTTGGAAACATATGCTTGATTATTAACTAAGTTAGCGTTAAAATGCATGAAATATAGAAAATCTCATTCACTAACGAGCCTCTTCATTAGCCTATCGCAAAAGTTTAACGTTTTCAGGTGCCTTATATTTATATATGCTCTTAAAGCACCATTAACTCCATGCAAATGTTGACATAATAATTAGCAAAAGTGCATGTTCTTTGTAGTTTAAACTAATTTGCTTTTCTTATTTTCTCTTTTTTCCTATTTTGCTCTTTCGGCAAACGTTATGGTCGCGACCCTCCTTTATTAACCCTTTATCTTGCTGTCCTTAAGGGGAAATGGCAGGCAACATACAAAAGCTTCAAGAAAGTTTTAGCATGCTCTTGTTAGAGACCTTTGAATTTCCGTTATCGTAAGAAGCTAATTTTTCGTGGCATGCTAGGCGGAAAGTGTTTTCATTCGATAGTAAAAAGACGCAAAAGAAAGCTTACAAGGACAAACGTGTGAGTTGGTTAATTCGTCAAAATCTACCAGCAATATATCATTGGATGATAGGGGAAATTCCTCAATTGAAAATTAGGTTTACCATAGTAGGGGATTCTCTGTGGGTGCATGTATGACAGGGTTTAGTATATGTCGACACGATCTGATGGGAGCCAAATTTTTACAGTTGAAAGAACGGATACGGAACTCTTTGCAATTGCTGAGCGATAAAAATTTGTTTTGTACAGACTAACAATTGTACCCTACTTTTTCTTTCCCTTAAATGCATAACTGGCCTTGGAACTGGGGCAGAATTTGCGTTTTCTCTTTCGTTGTTCATCTCCTGTTAGCTAAAGATTCCAGTTTGGGGGCGAATGCAACTTGGACGTTAGGACTTATGGCCAGCAGTACTCGACTCTGCATCATGCCAGACAAGAAAATTACTGCTGGATGTGAATGCTTCCTTCACAACAAGGGTCCTGACCTTACCCAACAACCGCCCTCTTGAAACTATAACACAACCTCGAAACCCTTACACGGTAGTGTTTTGCTAGTCCTAGGCCCTACGCACCTCATTCTTTTAAGATTATTGGTTGTGGTTATTATGAATTTACATGTTAATGGTCGATGTCATTTCAGTTTGGCAACATTTCATGTGTCAATCTTTTCTAAATCCACTACTCTACAGGTGATAAAAGAGTTACGTAAGTATAATCCAGAAAGCATTTATACTTTGTGGGTTATAAGTAGACCTTTACACACCTGCTTTTATGCGCATTCATCTTCTACTAGCTACGCGCAGCCGCGGTTTCATTTAGCAATTTAAAACGAGACTGATCAAATTTATAATCATTTTAACAATAATAAATTGATACAAGATACAAAGGCAGAACTATTTAAAAACTAGCAGAATATTATTTGTTGATAGCAAATAGAAAGCCAAGAACCATCTTGAGCTACGGAATCCTAACAAATCACAAACATCTTTGATTTAGCCATATTCCGCTCTTTTTATTGTAAATTTTATAGTATATAACTTTTTAATTTTGTAAGTAGTTTTTGCAGGGCCAATTGTAAAACATTATTTTGACTGAATTTGTACCCTGGGTAAATAATTTTAAAATGAAATGAAAACATCTAGAGCTGCTCAAACAAGTCCCATCTTGCTTCGAACAGTTTTTTCCTTATGAGGCTATGACACAACTAGAATCTTAGCTGTGAAAAACGATAGCATCTCTCGCTTTTAAAATCAGTGTCAATCACTTGTAGGATAAAGATACACATACTGCGATTGGCGTTTGCAAGGGGTTGTCACTGTTGCAGTTTTTCATTCATGTATGACGATCAGTGCTGTTTGAAAAGCCTTGTGTTACCTGAAGAGCTATAGAATTACCTGCAAATTTCGTTAATACCAAACGTGACTCTGAAGTTGGAAAGGTAAATCAACTCGCTGGAATTCTCTTTCATAAAAATTCTCTCCAGCTGGTAAACAATGTAAACTTGAATAATTTTAGGAATCAGCTGACTACTTATATCAGAATCAGAGGTGACTAAGATCAATTTCTGTGGTTCAACCCCCCCCCCCTCTCCCTTACAGAGAACTCTGTGATTCTTCATTGAAAGCATCCGATTAGTAAACTAATTATCAGTACAGCTAATTAGTATTCTGTACAAGAGCCTTCAGTCAAAAATGACTTAATAAAGCCGCGGTTCTACTGCCACAAGACTACACCTCTGCTACGTCATTCGTGGCTTTGCATGTATTAATGTCCATTGGTATATTGGAATATTTATAATTTTCATTTTCATTTTCATTTTGTTGTTGTACCTGTTAAAAGAAGGAACAAGGTACAGTTCGTTTGATGAATTTTCTTGAAAAGGCTCTAATGAATAGAACAATCCCACAGTTGGTGTAACGTAATTGCCGGTTCCACACGGATCATCTCTGAGCAAGTGCATTTTCAACGGTAACTCTGCAATTCAAACGCAGTAAGGTTGCGCTTGCTTTTCAGCAGGTAACTGGTTGCCATATTCACCTAAGGAGAACATTCATTAGCGCATCGGGCATCGCTGTCAAGCGTATTAAGGATATGTATGGTAGTAAGTGTGATTGACAACAATGTTACCAGTCGTCACGCCTTGCATGTAGCTAGATATCAAACATTCTTCTGTCGAGGTCTATATCAGAAAGAATGAAATTGTGGTATCGTGGTTTCCAGCTAATCTAGCTCACGAATTGACCTATTTCTAGCGCCTCTATTTTGATCACCATAGAACTACAAATACGAAGGATAAAATGACAATTGTTAGGCCTATCAATGTTTTAAGTCGTTGTCATCTAGTGGTACTCAATATGGATAATTTAAGTTAAGAGAGTTTTAAGAAAGTTCGTGATAGAAGCTGCATGCCAATTCAGGATAAATGCAAAATAGAATTTTTAGTTTTATTGAAAAATAGGTACTCCGACAAAACATTTTTTCATTAAAGATTGATAGGGATACTGAATTAACTTACGATGTTTTCTATTTACAGGAGCGTATACAATTTAGAACAATACTACCACAATAAAACGTAAAGTTCCTTCAATTAGCTTTATTCATAGCAAAATTGAAATGAAAGGAAATGCATCTGGATACCAGTTTCGTTTGAAAATGAGTACTTGATGCTGATTGGCAAGGCAAGGCACTGTGTTGTATCACCGACTGCTAATTTGTAAAATTGGCATCATATTGGAACTCAGCTAACTGTTTGGTACTTCTGTTTATGAAATAGTACGTATAAATAAAAAGAAGGATGGTTTTTGATTGAAGGGTTTGTGAAGATCAGATGTATTCCTGGTTCTATTATGATGATCCTACCAGGTATACTTTGTATCGAGTGTTGGCATTTTGAGGACGACATTTTGTAAACAGGTTATTACATCGCGTTACGGGGTCTGTGACATTAGAGTTTACGCATGGTGATAATGACAATAGTAGATGTAGTTTAGAATCTTACGAAAGCAGTAGTTTAGATTTTCTTAATCTGTAAGGCTTTTCTGTTACAGGTGGACCCAAACCTTCTCAGTATCAAACGATGTCATCATACTCAGTGCCTTACCTCGGCTATGAAAAGCGCCAACCAAGGGAGCCAAAATGTGCCAGATGTCGAAATCATTCCATAGTATCAGTTCTCAAAGGACACAAACGATTTTGTCCATTTAAGGACTGCCAATGCAACGAATGCAACCTCATATCTGAGAGACAACGAATAATGGCTGCACAGGTACATTTTCATGTAGATTTTTAATTTATCAAGCAGTTAAATGCAGAGGTCATCTATTTGGAATGTCAACTGGAAACACTGTTTAGGTGTTATTGCTTGCAATTAGTTGTGAAGCGATATGCATAAAAGCTAGGGAGAGTTTGTTCAGTTTAATAAATGTATTATTGAAATGAAATAAATTTAATAAGTTAATTATTTGTCTGATATTATCATCGTTTTAACAATCCTAACTCTGTTTCACTTGAACATATTTCAGTAATTCTTTGCTCAAATCAACAGGTTGCGTTGAGGAGACAGCAAGATCAGGAAGAGCTTGGCATGGTGCAGACTTCAGTTAGTCAGCGAGAAGAAACTCCTGCATCTCGCAAACGGCATCATGAAGACACTTATCCCGTTTATCAAAATGAAACAATGCCCGTACACATGGACAAAGGTGTGTTTACTTCTTCAAATTTCATTCTGTATCTGTATTACGAAGAACTTTCTCTTCAGCAGTGCGAGTATTTTTCACTTCACTAAAAAGTGTTTTGCAATTCCGTAAACAACTTACACTTCCGTAAACAATTGCCTCTAAGGGAGCATTAAAGATAAATAATGCAGAAGTTAACAAATAGCGTCACAATCATGCGAATCATGCATGCATACTGTTTGTTGGCTATTGGAGGGGCACTTCGATACTCGAGCCGTACTAAACAAGTTTCTTTTATATAGCATATAATGTTTATATATCTTTTTACAGGGGTGTCAGTTGAGAGCAAGAGGCGTCTGATTGAAACTATGAATGCATTGGAGAGACCGTATCCAATGAAGGGTAATGGAATGTCAGTACATCATGGATCGTTCTCACCCTCTGCTAGCTATGCCAATGCTGTTCCTGTCAGTGCCAGTATTGAGCGTCACATGGCAAATTCTAATCTGGCACAATACCCACACCATATGGTTGGAAAGGGACCGAGACATGAGTTCGTGGGTGAGAAACAGGTTCCCCTTGATTCATTGTTTATAAAAGTACTTCACAAGATCTTCCCCCACCTGAGCAATGATGTCATCAGTAGGGAGCTTGCATACTTTGGCAACGACTTGACAAAAACTGTAGAGTTTATGCTTCGAAAATACCAAAGTGCACTCGAAGACACTCCAATATACACCAATGATTCAAATGCAAACCATGAGCATCACTTTGCGAAAGGAGCATACATGCACGCCCCAGAGAGTCCAAGGGCCTATTCAAGAGAATCATCACCTTCTAGTGGTATATCAGGCTACTCTCCAGGTCCTTCGCAGCACTATACTCCAGTTGTTTACCCTAGCGATGCTAAGTACGAGCAATCATTGAAGCAGTATCATGGAGAGGGTAGGGACAGCCATTATCAAAGTGAGACAGAACATAGATTCGATCGCCGAAGTCGTGGCGAAGATGTAAGAGATGACAATGTACATAATCACAATGCACAGTATAAGAATGGGGTTCTGAGTTACGAAGATGCATTGCAGATATCAGCTATCAAGAACCGAGAAAGCAGCAAAAGCCTGCGTTTGCCGCCTGCAAGGAACGGCCAGGCTCACGTTGATGTGAATGGAGACCACGTAGAGCGGGAATACCAGGACCATTCGGTGTCGACGTCAAATGGTACTGCAGCTAATAATTTAGAAAAGGAATTATAGATTATCGTGGGCGTAGGTCTTACATTCATGGAATGCCGTACATCTTCAGTTTGTACCAACACAGACTTGCAACATGGTGAATAACAGCGTGGACTGAATGTAGACCTGATAAGAAAAATTTTAAACACTGTCGATTGGTATCTTACAATTATAAAAGGTGTGCCATCACAGCTCTATCGTTCAAAAACAATCACCGATTTGTCGTTCTTAATTTCAATATCAGAAACATCTTTTCTTATTTTATTCCTTAAACAAACTATTCTCTAAATGCCAGACAAGAATATATGAAACATTCCTGGCCAAGGCAAATCGGTAATATTTTTGACTTAAATAAAACATTTTTTGGTAAGGTCAATCGGCAATATGAAAATATGTCGGGTTGCATATTTAACATGCAAGCTAGACGATGCCTGAACTGAAGAATGTTTAAATATTTCTTTCTTCAAATTTGAACATATTTTGACAGATTGATGTTTTATAACGCTTTGTAATATGAGCTGCACAATATCACTTCGTTTTTAAACAGCAAGACGTATGTATCATGTAAATAGAAAATAATGGGTATTTTTTAATAGTTGTCTCTTTTGATGTACTTAATGCGTTTCTCCTGTCTTCTTCAAAGCTGTTTAATTTGTATTTTAATTACGGAAATAAGATGGATGTTTAACGAAAGTGTAGGCACCTTTCTTGAATCATTTTAGCTATACAGTACTTTGGTATGAGTTCTTTTAGCGTAAACTCTGCCTGCTTTATCAAGAAAATGAATATACACAAACATAATAGTGTTTTTCGAGAGATTCCTATACTTTCTTTGAAGCCTAGCAGAGAAAAGCATATAATTGGAGTTCTGGCCATGATATCATTAAATATGGTATCAAATTGTCTAAATCCAAAGAGGTGGGCCCATGTAACTTATAAAGAATAAACTTTTAGAAACACAACAGAGTTCAATAAAAACTATCATACCATAAACTCAAAAACTTCAGAATTCTTCTGACTGATTTTTGATGTGAAGAGAGGGACGAGGTAGCTACGAGTTGAATTTGCTTCAGGCACGAGGAGGAGGCCAACAAAAGATGGCAGTACTCTCCTCTACACTACAAATATCCATATAAACGGCCAACAAATCAATCTTCTTTGATTATCTTGTGGCTATAAAATGCTGAACACCGATTCTGCATGTAATTTTTCATGTCAGGTCAGCCCGTAAGGCAGGTATGCCTTTCCCATAGCTTCCTGATTACACACATAAACCCTTCAGCACCAGATGATCCTACTGAGGTTCCAGCTCAACTACGGATGCTATCATCTTTTCTAAAATCCGAGATCTTTTTTATAAAAGTCAGCTACGTAGATCTAAGAAATTATAAGTCACAGCCTCAATTAACAAAATCCCTTCTCTAATTAACAAAGGAGGGCATTGAAATCGAAAAAAGAGGCCGCTTCAGTAGCCACTGCAACGAAGGGATGTTTGATATAGCCTGCTTGTTTGGTAGTGATGATTCTTCCAAATGTTAAACCCCTTGCGGACAGATGATAGATATCAGTTGACAGATGTTGAGCCCCTTGTGGAATAACGCTTTCAGACAACTGTTCAAGTGAAATCATAAGTTGCCAAAAAATGCTTTTGGATTGTTTCATGCATTGAACTCTGAATGAGTTGACTTGTGTTCTTTATAACTGGTTTACATGGGTTTAACTAAGTCACTCTCACATCTATGCCATCACTAATGGCTATCTAATGAAAGGACCTAATTACTTATTTCTATAGGCGCGAATTGAAAATAGATCGAGAAATGACTGAAACTGTCTGGGTGTACGTTTGGCCAGTGGCGGATTTAAGTGGGGGGGGGGCAGTTGGGGCAGTTGCCCCTCCCTCGACGAGTTGAAGCAAGTCTGGCGCCCCTTTTTTGGAAATTGTGTGCCTCTTTTGAAGAATGAGAATCAGATGATAAAGTTTCTGAGACCGATAGTTTAATTTGCTTCAAGGATTACTTCAAAGTTATGTTGTTTATTCTGAAAATGGGTCTAAAATTGTTGTATACAGCGTACTCTCGTCACCAATTTTTGAAAAGTTTTCAGCGCCCCCACTACCAACTGCCCCTCCTTCAAATTTGCCCTGGATCCGCCCCTGCGTTTGGCAAGCGTTGTATGTTAAGGCTTGGCAGCGCTCTGGCAGAAAGTGAGATGGTCATGGCGAATTGAGACATCCTTTGGTGCCATTTACTTCAATATATAAGGCTCGGCGATGTCTAGCGAAAGGATTTGTAAATTGAACTGTGATTTCAAGCCGATGAAGGCTATTGAGTATCAAAAAGAAATAACGTATACCACACATATGATACAATACTCTTAGTTATGTGACAATAAATAATTATTTACAAACAATTTGATTTGAGCTTTTTATATTAGCAGTTTTTTTTATTAGGTTAAAAGGGTTTTCTGCTCCATTTTAGAAGCAACAAATGAAAAACAAAAATAAACCACCTGAACTCATCCAGTTGGCTTCTCTGTACTGTCCAGATCTGATATAGATATTCTATCACTGTGTCGAAATGCAGGGAGTTGAGATTTTAAGAAGTTAACCTCCTCTCTCAAAAGCTGCCTCTCTCTTAAGACGGAGTTGTACTTGTTCATTAATGAAATTGCCTAAAAACAGAAGAATACAGAAGCAAATTTACGTGAGCTCATTTTCTTGATTTTCACCGACAAGCAAATTGTAAATGAGGCACAATCTTGTCAAGAATATTTTGCATGTTACAAAATGTTTATCTCTAACACAAAACTTACATTCTGGTAGGAAATATATGGGCCACTTATTTGTTTTTTTAAAAGATTTTGATGACACTCATCCCCCCCCCCCTCAACGCATATTATTCCATACTGCAATAATTTGGTCCTTCAAAATGTCCTTGCAGGAACTTTCAACAATACTTTCCATTTTGCAACTGACGCAAAAGAGGTCATCCCCATTTATCAAAACCATGTTGACCAACCATGTTTATTTCACCCGCCAATCCCCCATTTATTCCCAACCCCAGGTAAGGATACTGAACAGTAAATTTTCTTTGACAAGGAATGTTTGAAGTGCATCGAAATCCCTCCTGCTAAGAATTAAACAAATCACTCTTATATATACGTACATAAAACTTGTAAGTGTTTACCTACAAGAAACATTTTCATGTAGTTCCTTTTACTTCAACTATTTATCAAAAATGCTAATTTATTAATTTTCTCAACTTTATTTCTCAAATCAAAGAAATAAATTATAAAATTGAATGGCAATAGCAGAAAATTTCAAAATTCAGATCAGAATTTTTTGGCCTTCTATTTCCTAAACATAAACGAGCAAGAATCTTAGTCAGCATTCTATTCATTTCACATGTTGTATAACATTACCTTTTCAGCATATTTCTGAATTTGGACCTGCGCAGCAGCCATTGACTTTTCCAGAGCTTCATATCGTTCACGGATTTTAAGTAAGTGATCAGATAGGTTCCGCTTTTCATTTGATGTTTTTTCTAACTCCCTTTTCAATTGCGAATTCTCTTGCAGTATTTTGGACTGGGTAGCTCTGTGGAAGAAAATAACAATGTGGTAATAAATATTTCATTTCTAAAATACGGAACCCAAGGAAAGTAAATAATTGAAGACAATATATTTGGATTGGATCATACAATCTGTAAGAATTCAGCTATATCTGCCTTAAATTGGCTGAAATATAGGAAATGACGGACCAGAAATTGTAATTAGGTTAAGGGCCATCTCGGCCTATGTACATATAATTTAAGAAAATGTTCACACAAACAATAATTAATATATTTATTCAATGGCCGGTAAACCCTCACCTGTTTTCTTTTTCCATCTTCTCTTGCTTTTCGATCAGCTGTTTGCATTCCTCTTTAAAGTCTTTCGATATTTGTATCTGTGATTCTAATAAGGAGCTGAGCTCTCCTTTAGTTGCTTCTAAAATAAAACGAAACGTATTCAGTTAGTGCTTATGTACCCATTCAAATAGAAATTTCTCTTAAATATTTTGTTTCGTTTATGTTGGAAGAAATATTTTGGAATAGTAGAGAAAATGCAACTAACCAAAAAGAAAAATTTCTTCGTACAGTGCAAATCACAGTTTTTCATATAGGTTTACCGAATTGAACGAAAGTAAAGATCTGAAAGATATTCAAGATTTCATCATATGCAAAAAATACGGCAACGCTGAGGCCAGAGTCATACCGTATTTTGTCTCTGATTCACGTAAAGACTTTTCTAAATGCTGTTGTTGTTGTTTACTTGCCATTCGCATTTGTTCTTGTTCGTATTGATGAATACTGCTTTCTTGGTTCCTTGTGTTCACTTCTGCATGTAACTGCAAAGCGGAAAAGTATGAAATAAACAAATAAAGAAAATAAGCAAAGTAATTTGTGCGCTATATTGAAATGATGTTTAAAAGCAAAAGAAATGAAACAAATGAAAAATTAAAAGGTGATCTTAACGTTGGTTAAAGGATACCTTAACGTTGAAGCATTTCATGCAATTCGATCAGGTCACAACCCAAAACATTATTATGTTAGAATCTCCCCCTGGATTAACTGATTTTCTTTTGAGTGTATTACCCGTGTCTTTATAGTCTGCAGTTCCTCTGTGAGGCTCAGGCACTCACTTTTCGAAGCCTCAAGACTCTGTTCCGTGTCTAGCAATCTTTTCTTCATTGCTATCAGTTCAGAATTTGACCAGTCAAGTTTCTAAAAAGAAAAAAGTCATGGATCGATTTGCTAAATTTTCAATTTTGATAAGTTCTTCAGGTATAAGTATGCAAAAAGATAAAATATTAATCTAGAATATCTAACATTATTCATTTTCATTTACAAAGCAAGTTCACTTATTTTTCAATCTCACCAAGGACCGAGTCGATCAGCTAGATCCACTAAATAACTACATAATATATCATATTACCTTTTTGGTGTACAGAACAGGACGGTTCTATGCTGCTACTCCGAGTTTCATGCTTAATGTGATAATTAGGCAGCTTTTCTGATATACTATGCTAACTAATAACTAATAACTTTACTAACTAAACTTAAAAAATCTTATGAAACATTACCTGTTCTTGCACCTTTTCTGAATGTTTCTTCTCTTTGTTAAGTCTTTGATTTTCTTGTAAAAGTAAAGCGTTTTCTGTGTTTGCCTTTCGCAACGCATATCCAGACTCGTCTAATTTCTGTCAAATAAATTACAAAAACATCTTAGTTAGGAGCAACATCAAATCAGTTCCTGAACGTTTGAAATCTCACTGAACTGATATTCTGGGCAAACAAAGACAACAGACAAGAGGCAAAGTACAACTTCTATCAAGTATGAACAATTTTTTTGCGGTACAGAATTTGAAAATGGCTTTGAAAAAAGCAAACATTTTACGACATACTAAAAGCTTTTTTGTCTGACACACCTCAGAGCAAAAACGTCAGAATAAGGTTCCGAAAGAACACGATGGTTGTGGATCGAAATAGGCCAATCAGAAAAACGCAAGCACAAGACCGGTATAGTTGACCAATCAGTGCCGTGAGCCTAAAGAAAAATAATTACCAATGAAGTCCAAGAGAGAAAACGAACTCCTTTTGTCTACACAATGGCGGCTTTTTCATTTTTATGTAGATTGACTCCAAAACTGCTAGATGGAAAGACGACCGGGCTCTGCCAATTATCCGGAACATGTCGTCATTATAGAGTTTTGCACAATCTGGGTCAACAATCACACTGGCACGGATTGTTTACAGCACTAGGAGAGCCCTTCCATCCATTCAAAAGGATTGCGTTCCTACCAAACAAAAAAGTTCCGTCATTTATGAATTTACGTGCCAGTGTGATTGTGGCTACGTAGGACGCACAACCCAAAGATTGGGGGATAGGATAAAACAACATGTTCCTTCCAACATACGAAACAAAACTGCCCCTCAAAGAGAACAGCCTCCTCGATCTTGTAGGTCTAGAAACACTGTTAAAACAAGTGATTCTGCCATTGGTCAACATCTTTTAGACAACCCAGATTGTGCAAGACTCTATAATGACGACTTGTTTCGGATAATTGGCAGAGCCCGGTCGTCCTTCCATCTAGCAGTTTTGGAGTCAATCTACATAAAAACGAAAAAGCCGCCATTGTGTAGACAAAAGGAGTTCGTTTTCTCTCTTGGACTCCATTGGTAATTTTTCTTTAGGCTCGCGGCACTGATTGGTCAACTATACCGGTCTTGTGCTTGCGTTTTTCTGATTGGCCTATTTCGATCCACAACCATCGTGTTCTTTCGGAACCTTATTCTGACGTTTTTGCTCTGAGGAGTGTCAGACGAAAAAGCTTTTAGTATGTCGTAAAATGTTTGCTTTTTTCAAAGCCATTTTCTATCAAGTAGAAATCGATAATAAAGCCCAGGCTCTACGTACCTTTTCCATCTCTTTATCATGAGCAGTAATCTCTGTCTCAAGTTTGTCAAGTGTGGCTTTTAGGTCAAGCTAAGAGACAATGAGAATTATATCAGTCAAGCCCCTACTCAAAACGGGGTTAAACGTTATTTCAGTACGGTTAATTTCGCAAGGGGCATTTGAATTCTAGTCGATTTCGATTTAGACTTAAGTTTATCAGGCAATCACAAAAGGCGGGTTGTTTATCCCCTGCTCGCTAATAATAATGGAATGGAGGTCTTTTCTTATGTTTTACCTAGAAATAACGTTGTTTATTGTTTTAGTATAATAGATTTAAGGTAGATCGAGTGAATTGTGTCTCTTAACTAAGACATGCTTTCTCTTCAAAATTTTTAGGAAAATTTCCTTTGAGATATAACGCCCGTCGAATGGCTCTTGGAATAAAAAGAATGCGGAGCTACATTATAAATGCACTTTTGCTTCATCTTAAATGCGTGAATGTATCATTTCTGCATATCTTTTTTACAATACCTTGTCATTAAAGATTCTATTAAGGTTAACATCTTAGATACTTACTTTTTCTCTTATTGCACGGTCCAGTTGTATTTCAGTTTTAGATGATTTTTCGCTTACCTCCTCAAACTTAAGGGGAAAAAATTAGCTAAGATGAGTTAGAGCTAAGAGGCCAAAGCAAAATTAAGCAAGAGGAGAGAATCTTTCAAATAAGTAATAATGGAAGGTTTAACATCAGAGCGCAAGGATGAGCCAAAGCATTTAAATACATCTGCTGGTCACCTCTTGGGTAAGGAACGCGCTATCAGCTAGAATTACAAACATTCCAGTTGCATAAATAATAAGTTGCATAACGGTGATGCAGCTATAACACCTTACGTAAGCGAAATATATTTGTTGTTTGAGGTTAATAGAAACCACATGAAAACCGAGACCATTGACATGTTCATTTAGTGCTTGTCTCGCTTGGATACCAGCCTCGTTCAACTGATTTATGAAACCAACAATTTAACCCTAGATTCAAGCACCTCATTGTGTGAGGGAATCACATCCAAGATGCTATCAAGAGGGCCATTTTTAAAGTTGTAAATTTTATAAGAAAGAGGTTAACAACGTTTCATGAGACCCAGATTGATGGAAAAATGGACTTTGAACACATTTTCGATATTGGAGATCTGGCAACTATGGGTCATGAAAAGCTTACAACAGGTGGTTGCCTGGTAGTTTCAATTCTAAAGATATGAATGCATTGCCCACAAACACATCACTTAACTTCAAAGTTAACAAAAAATATACTTTCTTAATAGAATGTTTAATTATTGTTTCAATTGCAGTGTGTGTCGAGACGCCAAAATTAATGTGAGAAGCAAGCACCGCAGACTTTTAACTCGAATTTGTCACAACGTGTAAACAACTCTTGATTAGCTCTCATTGGCTCGCAAGGACCTTTGCTTAATTATTACTAAACAGCGTATCAATCTATCAGTTTGTTAAGTATTCAAGTGTATTCTATATCTAAACCTATGGCGAATCGAATGCAAAGGAAGCGACATTGGATGGTTTCCCGGGCAATCAGTAGGCCGAATCTTAGTTGCTATGTGTCAGTCGACCTTGAAAGCACAAAACCCGAGCAATCCAATAATTGTTGAACAGGTCGTTTACTCTTGCTACTTTAACCAAATAACAGAGATAACTGAGTTGGGTTATAACAAACATTACTTTAACATGACGCAGCTCTTTGGTGTATCTGTTTTAAACATTTGCCCGCCTGTTGACAACTGTCATATGTCGTTTCGATTAGTAAGAAAATACAATTATGCATATTTAAATCACCTCCCTTAGCCAAAAACATATTTTTGACATGTACTTCAGACTTTACAGAATTATACAGACAATTATCTTGTGTACTAAATCTTGGATTCCTTTTCTCTATAGAATGCTCTAAAGAGTACCAAAATGGACTAAAAATAATATGCTTTTAACGAAATCCTTACATTAAGTGAGAAAAAATTGTAACTCAATAATGTCAAGCATAAATTTTCTATCAAAAATTACTGATTTCGGACATGCTTTAAACTACATTTTACATTAAATAAGGGGATCTCCGGTTGATGCTCAATAATAAAATACCAGTGCTTAACTATGTTTAGTTATCAACTTGAAACCGAGCGATTCTCAACTGTGATAATCATTTTCAGTGGTTTACTGGCCTAAAAATGCCACTTATTATTAAATAACGAAGAAAAAATCAATAATTTATTTCAAACTTCATCGATTTGATTGCGAATGGAATATTTGGTAGATTAAATATCAAATGCGAAAAGACAAGCAACTTGTTGATATTTGTATTCATAGTACTACGCGTAGCTAGCCTTATTTGTTCCTAGGATAAGGCCAAAAATATTGTATCTCAGTTGTTCCAACACTCTTGCCAACATTACTTTAATAATATTTTAGATCAAATAAGTTTAGTATTAATCCTCATATATTTTTAAAAAAAAACTTTCAAGAAGACAACTTACCATTTCTTTGTATTTCATTAATTTCTCATCACCTTCCACTTTTAATTTCAATTTCTCTTTTTGCATAAGCTCGTTAGACTTGTTCAGTTGACTGTTGCTTTCTTCTTTCATCCGGGCAATTTCCAACTTTGCTTTTTGAAGACTGATGTTCAGCTATCCAAAGCAAAAAGACTAGGTATTAACACAGGTATAAAATTAAAGGTAGGCATTGGTATTTCTGGTCAGTGTGTAGCTTGATACAATAGTGGTTATATCATAAAAATGATATTGCTATTAAGGATAAAAAGGTTTTAAAGATGAAACTTTCTTTTAGACGTGTGGAGCCCTAGGGGCTTTAGGAACTGTTTGGCTTACAAATATACCATAAGATATAATTTTCATGTTGCAATGAAACGTTTATCTAAAGGCGATGTTGTCAGTGTGAGTATTCAGACCCACGATTCAATTAACTGTGTGTATTGAGGCCAAAATCTTTATAAAATTGGTTCTTTCAAAACCATCGTTGTTTGAATTTAAAGATTTGCGCTACTATTGCTACTTAGCCTTGAAAAAGTAGAAAGAGTACTAAATAGCCGATGAGACATACTTCAATCTAAGAAATATTTTCAAACTTAAGAGTGTAGTTTGAAAATTCTCGATAGAAAATTCGGTCAATATTGTTGTCAATTTTAAAAATTAATAAAGTCATCCCGAGTACATAAATAGATCTGACACATACCTGCTGTTTTTCTAGCTGAACTTCCTCAGCAATCTCACAACTTTTCTTAACACGGGCGAATGCCTCCGTTTCTCTCCTTCTTAGCTCGTCAATTGTTTTTCGTTGTTTACTTGCGACTTCCATTAATTCAAGGTTTTCACTAAAACATGCGCAAGGCGGTGTCAAGCAGTTATCTTACGGACTAGAGACATTACAATTAGACTGTTCGTTTACAAAAATTGCCATGCAGATAACTTCATTATGAATCAAATCTGAAGATTTTAAAAAGGAAATTTTGAGTGGTGATTTCTAAACCTAAAAAATTAAGACATCATCGCTTTTACTGCTTTAGATATCTGAAAATATTCTTGAAAACTGAAACGGAAATATTAGTTGTGATGTGAAATAGAACAGTCTTTTACCTATTGTTTATTGAAAAAATGCGATTAACGTCTACTCCAACAACGAAATTCTCGCTTTATCAAAAGCTATTATACTTCACGCACTAAAATATCTAAATATATAACTTTTTGGCCGTACAAAATTTGTAAAACCAAACATTTTCTAGAATACTTAAATCTTTTCCGTTTGGCAATTATATGTTTGCCGTTTGCCGAAAAATCTGTAAAATGTTTTTTTCAAAACTACAACATTTTGTGAATAAACATTGTCGATAATTCTTGAGAAAAAACTGCATTAGATTTTAATTTTATTAAGATTGAGTAAGTTTGTTCTCTTTTTATTCTGGAGATTTACCAAGTAGTTTTGAACCAGACTTTTCGGCGCGAATTTTGAACCGGGTGAGGAGTTGCGTAGTTCGTATTTGGTACTCGACCTTCTTTACTAAATACCTATCTCACAATTGATGGTTACAGTTTAAGTTAATATAGGTATGTTACGACAGCACCTATAGTTAAGAAAATATATTCTAAAAACACTATCACAGTATCAGAAATAATCAAGAATTAAAAGCTACCTTTCCATCCTCTTGATCACTCGTTCATTCACTCCAAACTTTCGGGCACCAATCACACCTTCGTGGTGGGCGCATTTGATACAAAGAAACCCATCTTCCTAAACAGAGGATTTAAATTATTTCCAATATGCATAAAAATTAATTTCTGTATTATCACTTCACAGAGTTCATCAAAGTGGCAACTCTATGTTTTCAAAGGCCATTGGTAAGCCGAATGATATGTTCACTAATAAATCATTTGATTCTCCACAATACAAGCTCTTAAATCTGAAAGTAACAGAAGGACTTCCCTTAAATAGACACAATACGTGAAAATAAAGAAACAGGTCCTTAGGGCCTAAGGAGAAATAAAAAATAAAACTTATGCGCCTTTTCAAAAAGGGGTAGAAAATAGATACAGCCAATCAAGAAAAATGAAGAAGAAAAAGTTATCTATCGATATTTTCAATACTGGTCCAAGAATAATTTTTGCTTTACCTTGTAATTCAGTATATCTTCCTTTTCCAGCTTGCTGTAAGTTGATTTGACAAGAGAATCATAAATCAAAACAATTTTAAATTGCGAAGCACGTATAATTTTTCACAAATAGGCCATCAGCCAGATTCTCATAATATTGAGAAGAAATTCAAAAGCAAGAACAAGGCAAATCGCTGAAGAGGAAAGGAATAAAGCAGAAATGACATTGTCAAACAAAAGTGCATTTTAAAAACCAAGTTAAAATATGAGCCATGCAGAATATAACGGAATTTTTTTGCACGTGTGTAATATCTAGGTGTATGACTTTGGAACATAACAGAGCAATATACTGTAATATTACGCACGTTTTATCGTTTTCTAGTTTGCTTATCACCAAGTCTTTTTCCTTTGACTCCTTTCTAAGAAGTAAGGTAAACTTCATTGTCATAAAAGTCTAATTTAAGAGCTAGGGCTTAATTGTTACAAACGTATAAATTCCATTAAGTCAAATATATTCGTTTTGCCTATGCAGTAGCACTTAAGTCATTTTGATCAAATGTAGCAAAGCACACTTTTAAAATCAAGAATACGTCATAGGTAGTTCTATGAGCAGTGCTTCAAACTTCGACTCGATATATGTGTGTTTATCTTATCAACACATATTCTTATTAATAATTCTAATTTCTATGTTTCTCTACAATCTTGGGAAACAGCTGAATGTCTATATATTAAATAAGCATTTTAACGATTGGCTCGATATAATAATTTTGTGAAATGATGTTCCAAAATGTAGAATTTTACCTTGCAGCCTCTAGCAAACTTTCCAGAAGTTTTGTCTTTTCCTCTTTTATTTCCGTCAGTCGCCTCTAAAACATCATACATACAAAAAATTAATAAAAATGAGACACAAAACAAGAAACAAAAAATTGCAAAGTGTTCTAAGGACAAAGCATTTTAAATCATACACAATATCTCTCTCAGAGGCACTAACTGGATAAAATGAGACCTTTCATTGTTACTTGATACACTAATCTTACTTGAAAAGTCAATAGGCTCTTTTTCGAACGTTCTTAAAGTTATTTATCTTTAATCACATAATGCTATTTATGCGTTAATGTGATCTATATGATGTAATTATGGTCGAAAATTGTTTGACACAATTCATACACAATTAAAACACAATTCTATCTTGTCGAAAGAAAACTTTGTGGAAATATCAAACAAAAAACTAATGTATTTAGGATCAATTGATTTGTTTAAATTTGTCTTCAAAGTTACTAATGTGAATTCACCTAAGCATGCGAAATTCGCAAATACAGAACAATCGTCTATAGAAAATATGCGGTGGCACTCCCGGAAAGCTTGTTTAAAAAACAGAAGAATGAAATGCCAAGAAGATCACAGGAACTAAAGAATGAAGTTATTGTCTGTTAAAAGTAGCAGCTACAAAAGTAAGATAAATTTAGAGAAATTTACAATTTTATTATCGAAATTCTGGCAATCAGAAACTTTTCTTGCCACTGAATCAGGTTGATCTTTCGGAAAATTTGCATTCTGTGGCTATATGTAAAACAAAATCAGGTTTAATTTAAGAATATTTATACTGACAAATGAAGACTAAAATAATACCCTATTTAGAAAATATTACCAGCAGAAGTGTTTTGATCTGGAATGTGGGCGATATGTAAACGAAGAGTAAATACATTAAGAAAGTTTCTCCGCATTCGAATAATTTTTAAAACCGTTTTGAGGAGACTAAATCTTAATAGTGCTAATTAATAGTTTTTTCTGAATTTTAAGACTTACTTCTTTTTTACTCCTTAAAATATCATGTTTTTCGTTATTTTGTTGTGTTTCACTTGTCTTTTCACAATCCAGTCGGTCTTCTTTAGTATGTGTACTGTTGTTTACGTCATGGGTTGATTGATTGATGTCTGTCTGAATACCGCAGTCAATCAATGATCGCTTTGAATGCGACTGTCAAAAATACACAAAAAACAGAACATAAGTTTAGATTTGCACTTATAAGCAAAATGGTGAATTTCCACCTAAAATCTAAGCGATCAATTGTCATGTCAAATAAAACAAACAACAGAAAGGGCTAATTAGCACTTTGCATCACACAACAAGGCATTGTATCTTATTTTAAGAACTTATCTGTAGGGTAATCTATACAATTGGTAGTGCTGACAGCAGCCGTCTAATTCTGAGATTCTGACAATAAAGGGTTTCAAAAGCGTGGGAGGGGACGGAGAAGAATTACAGAGACGATTCATTTATAAGAAAAGCACAAAGAAAAATGGGAAAAGATTCTTCAATTTCTCATCTAGAAAGCCCCCGTGGATAACACCTTTTTGAAAATGGAAAATTGTCAAGTAAGAAGGGAAAAATTTTTCTTAAATTTTTAAACATGGGGAATCCAACCGCAAGAAGAGTTACATTTATAACAAAATAATTATTTGCAACCTCTGATGCAATGTAGCTTCCATTCAAATCACTAAATTCATTTTGAATTCCATCGATTATTTGCTCATGCAATCGACTGTTTTCTTCAATAACGATTTCTGCTTTTTGTTTCAACGTCGACAAAGCTTCCTAAAAAAGGAATGTAATCGAGACACTATCAGTAATCTTTAGCAGCAAAGAGAATGTATCCAACAGGAAGAACCATATCTTTCAATACAAATGGTTTCAACTCTAATTGTACATTCCACAGCTCAGATGACGTTTAGCTATTTAGCATTACAGTACATGTTGTAGGTTATTTCACAACATAGCATATGACATTGACTATCTAAAATAAAAAAACATAAGATATGACATTTGTCATCTAAAATGATGACTAGACACTTTTCATGGTGTGTGTATAACCTAGCACTGATTGCCTTGAATTCTTGCTTCAAACTATTATGACACCATTTGTTAAAAGATTATTCTATATTTACTGCCATATAGTATTAGATTTGATCACTGTATATATATCATTTATCTCAAATAATAAGGCCTAATTGTGCTAATTTTTTTTAGTGCTTAAACTTTTCTGACTACATTTTCTGAACAAGGTTAAAAACTTATAAAAAAATTTGGCAAAATATTTCGAACACAATCACTACTTGAACATCATGTTGAAGTTCACTCAAAAGCGCTTAACCCTCAAATGACATAATCTACTGTACTCATTTTTCTTCAAAAGTGAAGATTTTGTCCCTACCTTGTAATAATTGACTTGGCCTTCAAGATGTTGCAGGAGTGCATGCTGATCACTTAAAAGTGGGGCCAGTTCATCTGGCTCAGGCATGTCAGGTCTAACAGCAACAGACTGCAATGAGTTTTGTTAAATTGTTACTGTCAGATATTGAATAATAGAAACTATGCTTTAAGAAATAACATAATATATCTTGTAATAATATAATATACAATATCTTATGTAAAAGAAATTCTACCAAACAATTTCTTGAAAACTTGAAAATATCTCCATATCAAATTTGTCCTGGCTATTCTCAAAGAAAAGGTTTCAAGTACTCTCAGTAAAAGGTGAATGGTTTTCAACTTCAATAAGGTTGCCTTTCAACTTTTCTGACAAAAAATATTTAACACCTGTTTCTTCTGTCTAACAGAATTTCACCAAACTCAAACTGTGAAAAGGTTGTCACAAGAGATTTTCTTGTGTCCTAAGTTCCACAAAAATTGTTTATAAGTTATAATGAAAAATTTATATTTTATTTAGCTGATAATGCTAGAAAAAGGTCTGGGAGCCTATAACAAAGTCCTGAAAAGGGTAAAGAGGAAGATATTAGAAAGAAAGGGAGTAAGATCAATTTTGTTTATTTTATTTTAAGACAAGTTTTAATTTCCCATATTTTGAACAATATTCAGAAAGGAATTATTAAATAACCAAGGTTGCTACTTGCATAAAAGGGGATTAAAATCTTATGTTTCATTGAATTACAGTGAATTACAATAAGTAATGTATGTTGGAGGGCATAAAACAAAGACCTAAAAGAGTAATACCTCATTTGTCTTTCTTCCTTTCATTTTATCGTATTTGTGGATGAGGTCCTTTAACTTTTCCACTAAAGATCAAAGAGTATGATATGCAAGACAGAAAAAACGGCAAAAATCAAAATTTTGATATTAAAAATGGCTTATGATATTGAAAAATTCATACTTTGATCAGCTTGATTGAAAAGAAATAGTAAAATCTAACCACAGCAGACTAACCAATCTTAGCAACAGTCTCAATTGCATATAAATGAAAGCTCTAAGCAAATCACATGTTATTGATGGATAGAAACAATTTTATCTTATTTAAAATAAATAAACAATATTCACCAGAAGCAGAATATGGACTTGACTGACTAGAGGTAAGTTTTGGATTTCTTCTGTTTGGCGTTTTGGTTGGAGAAATCTCCAGTTTTTGCCTTAGCTCATCTAGACTAGATTCAGCATCATCTGTAACAAAAAGGTCAACTTTTTCAATTTTGAGTATGTGCTCATGCAGTTCATTTTTGGAACTTTCTTGCAGTCAAATATGTAGTTGCAATGTCATTAGAATTATGGGCACTATAAAAATGCCTAGGGTAAAACAGGATTCTCCACTTGCTAAAGGGCCGTTTATATGATCAAATTCAGGTAAAATTTCCATCACATTTTTATGTGCTCACATAATGATCGTGCAAACAACCTTAAAAGTTGCTTTAAGTAACACAAAGCAGCAGGAATTGGTCCCTTTTAGCTGCCTAATAATCTGCCATCACAGATTTTTCATTTGACCAGCATTCAAATAGAAATGTCTGTGATGCAATATTTTCAAAGGCACCAACAAAAAGCACGAGGCACTAACTATGTTTGCGGGTGTGCGAGTGGAAAAATGACCTAAGAAATCTTATTTAGTCTGCCCTTTCTGCCAAGGCTTTATGCAGCAGCTCCTTTTCTTGCTCTGACTTGGGTTTTTATCAATAGCTTCCCTGTTTTCTTGGCTCACAACTTCAATCAGTGAAACCTCTCACCTACTCTAGACTGCTGATGTAATAAGAGTAGAATTCAATAGCAAATAAACATGAATCTGAATTAAGTTTTGGCCAATAAAATGCCCGCATGATTTGTTGGCGCCTTTGTAAAAATTGCATCATAGAAATTTCCATTTGATCGCTGGTCAAATGAAAAATCTGTGATGGCAAATTATCAGGCAATTGAAAGGGATTATTTCCTGCTGCTTCGTGCAACTTCAAGTAACTTTTAAGGTTGCTTACACGATCACCTGTGATCACATAAAAAGTGTGATGGAAATTTTACCTGAATATGATCTTGTAAGCCGGCCTTAAGACAATAGCAGCTTGCAATAGATAATTTTCTTTGGGTGAAAGAAGATAATGATGTCATTTCTCTAAGCCAAGTTGCTGGCTATATGATTTTAAATGTAACACATTGGTTTTCTGCAGTTGCACCATGTAAAGCTATAAAATATTGGGTATAAAAAATTCACATTCATAGAGAAAAAGGAAGATTCTCTGCATGGCTCTATCTGTTAAAAAATACAGAAGTAACACAAATCAAACATGCTAATATATTTAGCTTATTAATAGATTAGGAGTATCTGGCAGAGAACATCAAAATTGCATGAACGATATGTGTTTCAATACATGATATGATTCACTAGAAGGCTTTATCTACTCCTGAAAAAACCTTTGCATTGAGATAATTTGACACTGTGTTTGATATTTGACACTGTGTCTGAAACAGGGCAAAATTTATGTAAAGTAAATTAGGTTGAGCTGAAAATAAAATTTCATCCTCATTCTGACTCTTAATAACTGACTTTAATGAAATGGATGAAAAATTTCAAGTACTAAGAGCTTACAATACTACAGTGTGATCTATGAAAATCTAGATTCAAAAACCAAAAACTACTTTGAACTTTACCTTAATATTTTAGATCATGGAGACTTTGAAATTAGTTGTGATCAGTTCTTTAGAGGAATTAAAACTGCCACAGGTCTAAACTTAGACAACAATACTAATATACTTCCCTCATAAAAATAACTGGAGAGCTTCAAATTTAGATGCAAATCTGTTGTTAGAAAATATTTTTTCTACATATTTCAAAGGCTGTTTTCATGAAAATTTTCGAGAAAATATTTGGCACAAATGTATGTTGAACAGAAAAAGCTCATCATTCGCAATTCTATTTGAATCTCGTCTTGGGAGAGTCAAGTTGTCATTATCCAGTTATCGTAAGAAGAAACGATTGTGTTAAACCCTATATGTGGGCCATATCTTATACAATTTTCAGAACTTGTTGCAGGCCAAGAAGAATTTGACTGCACAGCAGGCAGGTGGCCCGCAAGGCTGTAGTTTGGACACCCCTGGGTTCCAGGCAGAAAGCTCAGAAGTTTTGAAACAGTATAGCTTCTTGGGACTTAATCTGGAAGGGTTTCTCAAAAAATATTAATTTTAAAGTAAGTAGTCGTTATCACAAGCCTGAATATGTTTTTGCCTTGAATGAAGGGCAATCGAATTGTTGGATTTTTCAGATACTTTTGTGAAGGGTGTAAGATAATATTTTTGTGGAAGATAAAAAATTGCCACTCATTCAATTGACATCATTTTTTACGAAGTGGTCAAGCAATATAAACAAATATAAGCCAATCATGTAGCATTTTATTATAAAAGCAGTTTCCAGTCTATTGGTAGTCTAAATATTTAATCTAACTACTGATGTGATGCCACCAAAAAAGAAGCCAGCATATGATTCGATACTCCTTAGAGTAAAAATCTTTGAATAATTACGAACAGAATTTTTATTATATTGAACCTATTTTGCACTTGCGTGGCCTGCTTCTTAGTCATAGTGATAGACTGATATCTGTCTGATTTAAGTGCCTGTGTTCCTTTTAGTTTAGGCCCTTTGAGTTTTTCAATTATTTATGATATTGTCACAAAATATGAAGAGAGGTTGTTGTTAAGTGAAAAAGTAAAATCAAAAGCCTTGCGTCAAAAAATCAAAATAAAATGAAGAAAATTACCACGCGTTTGTCTCTCATAATTTGATAGTGATAGAACTCTCGACGACGCCATTTTGAATTTCAAAAAGGAGGCTTAACGGCGCGAATAAAGTAAGCCTCCTTCCCCGCGACAAAGTCCGATCGCATCCACCAAAATTTACAGTTTTAGTACAAATTGAATTACCATATATAAGCCCCCAGTGGGCTAATTCGAGGATTTACGGTAATTAAGCTATCATATATCATATAAAAATAAAATCTTGCTCAAGTATCATATAAAAATAGAATCTCTCTAAGCAGTTTTGAAACCTTATCTAGAATGTTCCATGATTTTCATATACATTTACCTTCATAACTTCTGTCATGAAAAACGTCAATTTTTCTTATGTATCAATTTTGTTATGTTCAAATTCAAATTTTCCAATCTATTCAAGAGCTTCTTGGTGTTGCTTTCTATTAGAAATATTTCTTCTCAAGAATTGAAAGAGAAACATAATTCATTTCGACGTATCTTTCCAATCAAGCCAATGTTAATATATCTAAGTCAAACTCCTTAAATGTAGATGTAGAATACAATAAATAAACTAACCATTGGTTGCACATATTTTATGTTTACAAGATAAAACATTTTCTATACGAAAGTCGTTTTATAATGGAAGTTTCTAAGCCAGAACCCCTATAAGCATACCCTATTTTTTAGAATCCCAGCTATCAATACTTCCAAAAAGCGTTTGAGAAAAATTATGGAAGAATAAAAAAGTAAGCCTAAGTTCCAGCTCCCTGACAATTGAATCCAATTGTCTTGTCTTCTTTTATTCAAAATTGTACATTTTTATTATCTTCTAAGGAGGCTTCTGTTGGTACCACGCATAGAGACGGGAAGTGTTCCTCCTGAATGTCCTCTGGTATAGTATGTTGTCTAGAGGGCTGAACAGCAGCGTCTTTAATTCTGTTGAAGCCATATACGAGCCCGTAGTGATACAGCGCAGACAAAATAGTTGATTCGCTGCCATGTTCAGTTAATTTCTTTTTGTTTTCACCCCAAATAATAAACTTCTTGAACTTAGGTCTTAAAATCCAGATAACCAAATGTCCAAAAGACTGTAGTATTCCTTCTTCTGCTCTTATATTCCTTAGAATACTGCAACGGAAAAAAATGAGCCTAAAAACAATAGTATCTACCAAATGAATTAAGAAGGCCATTTAACATGAAAAACATTTTGCTTCCAGAGGGTAGATAGGATCGGTGGGGAGTCGTTCGGTGTAAGCAACTCCCTATTCGCTTTGCTTGGGCATATCTGGGAGATTCTTCAAAGTTCTTCCAATTTGAAAGACGTTTTCAGCATTGATAGGTACATTGCTTCACGGCCCTAGACCCATCAATCCAAAACACTATGTACCTATATGGTGTTACTGTTAGAAGTTATCTTTTAGCCTAACTTGGCCCCATTTTCATTAAACTTCGATCCTTGATTGAAACCTCTACCTGCGCCTTGAAAAAACTAAAATTTTACCTTTCATTTAAGTAGGAAGCCCTTTTTAAAACCACAAAATCCTCGTGTCTCTTGACCGCCCCTCTCCTTTTCCGTACCGATTTTACTCCTGCCAGAAGAGATATTTTCGCGACCAGGACATCCTCCTTTTGAAGCTGTTTTCTTCTTCCCGGCTGCGGCTTCAGCTTCTGCTTCTTCTTCTTGTAATTCGGCCTAAAGAGCATGAATTTGATAAAATTATTCCTAAGCTCCTGTAACATAAAACTCCTATACATTTTGAAGCTAAACTCTTTGCAATGAAGACATCTACAACAATGTTTTCCAATGTAACACAAAAATGCTAAGTTATTCATTTTAGTTGTTGAATATATCATCCTCACCTTTCGTTGCTCTTCTTTCCAAATGTCATACCATAAGTAAGCGGCATAACCCACGATAGCAAACGTTACCGTTGTTTGTGCGATTTTCCAGAACGTATTCATCATTATTCACTAAGAATTCCAATCTTTATTTAAAACAAGTATATCCGATGATCTTTGCAAATATGCAAGTTGTCGTGAAGATTTGTCGAAATACTTTGCAATAAGCAGAGATATGGTATCCTCTCGTTGACTAAGATTTGAGAATGAATAGAATCGGTATCTTCATACTATAAATTTCAATTTTCATCAATATGACGTCAAAATCACAACGCGCAACATAAAATTGACGTTAAATCAATATCTTGCTTAAACCACCAAAATTATTTGTCAAAACGAGATTTTTGTTGGATACTAGAGTTATTTTGATACTGTGGATAGTTTTTCAGCTTGGGGGAGCTAATAACCACTTTTTCTAAAATTCAGAACAGAAATAGCTAAATAGAGTTTTAGGTATAACCCCCCCCCTCTCAATCCCCACTTCATGGGAGCAAAGACTATCGACCAGTTTTTGCGTAATTGTCATATTTGTTTTAGGCCCTCTTTGAAAATTCTTGCAGTTTGAATGGCTTTTATCCGCTCGAGGAGGCTTTGAAAAGAGAAGCGAGGAATGGCCTGGTTGTTTTTCTGTTATTGCACAATTGTTTGCGCAAGCCTCAAGTTCAAAAGACTGGTAAATTCAAACGCATGGCAAATTTTGGTAAAATTTTCAACCTAGTGTAAACGGGTTGAAATTTACTTGGAAAATCTTTGCACGCCACAGAGTGAACGGGGTCTCTGTTGAGAAAGATCATTTCACTTTGTCAAGTTTATTTAGAGATCGCTACGTCCAGTCTAGATTTCCATTGTTTAGAGCAATGACTTTATCAATTTGTCTGAACCGTGGCCGGTGGGCCCCCTTCAAATACTGGCAAAAAGGGCCCCATCTTTGCAGAAAAATAGTTTCATCTTAGGAATATGAGGCCTTAAAATGCCTCATTATGAACATCACGGATCACCTAAAAACTCACGTTGAATATAGCGATAGCATGTGGTTGCAAGAGGGATTGGGTCGAAACTTAAAAAAGTACGACCTGTGTAGATTACGAGAGGTTAAATAATAGGGATTTGCAATTTTTAACATGATGGGATTTTCTGGAACTTTGATTTTTCATAGACCAATGCTCAATTAATCTGCACAGCATTAGTTGTAGAGTTCACTTGAACTTTTGCCATTGGCGCGGGTCAAAGCTAACAACAAAGTAAGGAATTTTGTGTCAGTAGTTAACTTTAAAACAAACTCGGGGTTAACAAATTATTCTACTTAAGCCATGGTACTAAGATAATGCAATGCGAATGATACTTAAACGGGGACTGCTGCATCGTCTTAAAGATTCGTCTACCGAATAGTCAATCTTTTTACATGTGCTTGACATAAAAAAGATGTCAAGAAAATAAGAAGAACTAGCCAAATTGCACATAATAGAATAAACTTCGAGTCCCAAGTGCTTCTCAGAAAATAAGGCAAAGCTGATATGATGCAAAATGGGAACAGGACTGATCACTGGTTTCTTGGAATGCAAAAGAAAAATTAATCTTCTGATAGAATTTGATTGAAAGGGTTTTTGAAATGATAAAGCTAAAAGTTTTGTGAAAAAATTAGTACTACATATGTTATAAGCTATTAGTGGTATTAGTGCTACATATGCTATGTTGCTCAGAAATTGATCGATTATGATGAAATGTTTACCTAACCACGCCCTAATTTTCAGACCATACCCTTTAGTTCCTCGTGGCCGGTTGAAAATTCTGAGCCAGTCCGCTACTGCCGGTGAGAAAGTGCATCGTATGCACATGCGTATTCGGGCAAAGGCTTGTAGACAAAATTTGCCATCTCTTGATGCTTTACAGCATTTTATCATGTTATGATCATATTTGATCTCAGAAACAAGATTTTAATTTTCACTCTTCTCATGGCACCCTTTGCTCTAAATTTGATTCGTCTTCTTTTATATGAAGACTGGCTAATTCCCATAAGAGCCACAAACGGTCCTACATCAGATGCTGGTTCCAAACAAACCTTTTCTATTCAAAATGGAACATTTGGGTACAAGAAATAGGCTAGACAAACACGTTCCTTTCCGACAAAATTACTTTTTTCACTTTATTGTCCTGACAAGATTACCCTTTCCTAATGTTTTGAATTCCAAGGCCGGGGAGGGAGGAAAATATTCCCCAGCATTAAAGGGGGCACGTTTTCAGATGACTGATTGTTGAAATCAGATACAAACCCAGAGGAAAACCCTGAATGTTTTCAGTTGTAAACTAATGCACACCTTGCTAATTCAGACACAAAGAGATCGAAATCAGCTTTAGTGACAATACTGGATGTCAATGATGCGGAAATGATGTACTGATCTTGATCGCAGTGAACCAGTTTCACTTTGGTTGCGCTTGCTTGAATCTGTCGTAATTAAAAAGAACCAGGACTGGCCAAGCGACGATCAATAACATGTTTGTTTTGTTGATATTTAGTCTTCTAGCGTACCATACGCCCGTGGCATCTGGACATCCGCAATGCTTGGACTATCTTCCACCGTTCCAATCAGCCAAACCACTAGGCCTATGCAGAAAAACATCTCAGTACGGCTGCTGTACGTCTTCAAGAGATAGAAGCCTTCAAAATTTTTATGATTACGCGAGGCATTATGGCAGGGAAGCTGGAGCTCCCAAAGAGTGCGAAGAATTCTTGCGCACTATAATTTGTGCAGAGTGCAGCCCATACGCAGCACATATTTTTGACGCAGAAACTCCACCGGCAATCAAAACAAACTATTCAAAGAAGGACGAAAGATTCCCTGGCCTATGTTATTCATTTTGTTTCAAGTCATTTAAAGTTTGCCGCAACATGCTCTTGCGATTGCCTCTGAGACCAAGTTTTCGGAAATTCATAGAGTATTCTAATAGCAACGACTTTTGTCAGTGGGCTGTACCAGCAGACAAAGATTACTGTATTCCTCAAGTCAATGATTTTGTTATAAGTAGAAGTGCCAAACAGCCACAAAAAGACACCAGAACAATGTGCGTACAGCCGGTTTTGCATAAGCTATTCAACCCTCTGGCTGCTGTCCCAGCTAACGATGGAACAAATCGTCTTTTTATTGGAGAGCAAAGAGGGATGGTTCATGTTATTGATGTGAAAGGAAATTTGCAATCCAACAGACCATTTTTAGATTTGAAGAGAAAGGTACTAAATTCTGGGCAAGCTTGGGATGAAAGAGGTTTTCTTGGCATAGTGTTTCATCCAAAATTTGCTAGCAATGGAAGATTTTTTGTCTACTACTCATGTCAAGGTATTCAATAGTTTAGAAAACTACAATCTGTATCATCTTGTTTGTTTATTGCTACTTTAAATAGTGATTCCACCATTATGAATTCTCTGCGTTACATAGCGAAGCACTATATTACGTAATATTTTTAAAATGATATACGTTTTCTTGGTTGCTTGGCGACATACTTCATTTAAAAAGCCTTGAAATATGGTGCGTTGTAAACCAACACAAATTTTTCTGGTTTTTCTTTTATGATATATGTCTATTATTGACAAGTTATTTATACTGGATATAACAGAGCCACAGAATAGATATTAAATCTCTTTTCTGTGACAGAGACATGGCTTAGTAATAACTTTTAACACTAGATAAAACAGATGCTATAGTTACTAATGAAGGAAATGAAGCTGGTTGAATATCTTACTTATTACCCATCTTGTGGAAAACATCATGTTGCTTAAGGAGATGTTTTCCTTGTATTTGTTCACTTCCTCGTTTTAATAACAGATGACAAAAATGTCAGTCAGAAGACCAATCAAACAGAAGATGATGATCGACATTGGTTTGACTCCCCGAAGCACAAAATCAGGATATCAGAATTCATTGTGTCCAGTTCTGACCCTAATGTCGCTGATTCAGAATCGGAAGTCGTCATTTTGGAACTGGAAGAGCCCGAGGCCAATCACGAGGGAGGAATGATCTTTTTCGGTGATGATGGCTATTTGTATATTGTTACCGGTGATGGTGGTGGTGGCGGAGATAGGCACTGGTCAATAGGGAACTCGCTTAACATGTAAGCCAAAGTAGCATCCGGTTAGAAAGAGCTGAACCTCCCTAGGTTTCTTTTCCTTTCAGCTTAATACACCTTTGCTGTAGAGCTGAAGGAGCCAGGGAATAAAGCTCTTTTTTCTTTCTTTATTTAAAGTTGGTACAATCTCCAGCTATACTCAAGCTATTTGTGATCATTAAAAAGGTATAGAAAATCAATCGAAATAGGGACTACCAAGAGTGTACTTCTATGATATGAACAGGGGGCTCTAAACATATATTCAAACATACCTAATAGATAAAGAGAGATTGGTTGCTTTTTGCCATTAAAAAAGGGAATCTCAGCCAATGAACCCCTCAGCAATAAAACCCTGGTGATCATTACCCCTATCTGCTACATCGATTTTAAGCCTTTTCTGATTCTCTATTAAAAGAAATCTTCACAAATCTGGTAAACAACCTTAATTATCCTTTTCGTTTTAGGACAAATTTGCTTGGAAAGGTTCTGAGGGTCGACGTAGATGTTTACGATGGACGTCGGTACAGGATACCATCAGATAACCCTTTTATTGGAACGAAAGGGGCAAGGCCGGAGATTTATGCTTATGGGGCAAGAAACATGTGGCGCTGCTCGAAAGATCGCGGTGATCCAATTTCTAGGAAGGGAAAGGGTAGAGTTTTCTGTGGAGATGTAGGCCAGAACAAATTCGAGGAGATTGATATAATCGTCAAGGGTGGAAACTATGGTTGGAGAGCCATGGAAGGGAACGAATGCTACGACAAGACCCTTTGCACTTCTAAACTCATGAGTAAGTAACTCTACTTTTTATGTTACCTTTCTAGAAAGAAAAGTAAGAAAAAGTAAAGTTGGAAAAGTAAGAAAAAATATCAAATAGTTAGAAGAAAGGCTGCGTGAGGAGAGGGGGTGAAGTCCAAGAGACAAGCCTTTTTTCAGGCCTCCTGGTCTCGACAGAATGCTTCTATCCTTAGTAAGCTGCCTGGAAAAAACGTAAAGTCGATTCAGCATTCTTTAAAGAACTGAAATGCCTTTTCATTTTTTTGACATCTCGAACCTTCTCGATTTTATTCTTACTTCAGTTTACTTTGATATCTACCGCTATTCTTACTTCAGTTTACTTTGATATCTAATTTTCTACAAGAAATAAGAGAGTTATTTTTTTGTTCTTCAGTTGTATTTTGTTTCTCTTTCTTATTTATTTTCCTTTTCTTTATATTGTCTTGTTGAGCATACCCGCGGAGCGTAGCCTGCGTGCGAACTTTTTAAAAAGGAGAAAATGTCTCCAGTTTGTAAAGCCTGCACGCGGGCTAGCGGAGCGCCGAGGTCCGCATCTTGACAGTCCTAGAAATTAAAATGAGACTTTCAAAGAATTGCTTTTAAAATTATCAATGTATAGAGAAGACTATGGCTTGGTAGATCCTTGTGATAAAAAGCTATCGCTGGGTCAAATAAAGGGTGCGTAGCAATTGAATAACTTTCAAAGTATTTGTGTGGCATACTTTTTAAGGAGAAGTGTTCTGTGCTGTGAATAGTTAGTTTCATAAACGATACAAGATCTTAGATTTTAGATAAAATGTCTTTGGTAGCAGGGGTTTCGCATCACGTTAAAAGTCATCTTCTCTAATGTTCATCCTTTAAAAACGAAATGCTTTGTTCCGATGACAAGTTGCAATGGAGCTCAATAACTTCACCATTTGATTGCGTCGCTGGAACATAATTCTTCATGCTTGTGCCCTTGTGTCCGGTTGCATTCTTCAACCTGATGTTCGGGCTGTATCTGTCAGCTGTGCTAATGAGTGTGGTGTTACCTTTTCGTCTGTCGGGTTTACAACGAAGGCAGATGATATCCCAGAATCCAGTTCGAAAAGACCTGTGTCTTAGGGCATAGATTACTGGGTTCAATGCGGAATTCCCATAGCCAAAGAGGAAAGAAATGTTGGCAAGTAGAATGGAATCGGCCGGTTGAGAATGCCAAATGCTATGTAGACGACAAAAGGCAGCCAGCAAATGATAAATGTCAATAGTATTATGACAAGTGTGTTGACCAAATCACTTTCTGAGGTTGTTCCTGCGCAGTCTGTGATGGCATTCGCTTTCAGCCTCCGCAGATGCTTTCTTGTCGTGCAATAGAGCCTTGAGTAGCAAAATACCATTGTTACCAATGGGATAATGTACCCGAAATTCAGCAGCAATATCATGTGCGACAATGTTGTTGTATTTTCTGGAGCTGGTGTTGAGCACTGATGCCTGCCAGACTTGTATACATATTTGCTCCAGCCAAACAGAGGCCCAGCAGCAAGTGCTATAGATATCAACCAAACAAATGAAAGCATGATCATTGCACGCTTTTTGGTAACAATACTCTGCATAGCATACACAACTGCGATGTACTTATGTATGCTTATTCCACACATAGTCAAAATAGAGCTGATGAAAAATAGGACTAAGGAAAAACCGTCAATGTTGCAAACAGCTGCGTTCCGAAGTAGAGTTTCGTCAATTGCAGCTGCGATAGCTAAAGGTAAACAAACTAGGCCCACTCCTAGGTCTGAAAGAGCAAGGTTTGCAAGAAATGTACCCGTTACTGATTTGAGCTCCTCGATTTTGCGTACGCCCAGCAGTATCAATGTATTCCCAAATAATGTCAATACCATCAGTAAACACATGATGATGATTCGGAGAATCCGAAGCCATGCTGCATGGTGTTGATGTTGCTCACTGCTTGTTCTGTTTATACTAGTCCCTCCTTCAATTGTTGTAATTGTAGCCGTTGTTAGGTTCAACATTTTGCCACGGTCAGTAGTATGCTTGCTAGAGAAACAGGCTTTCTTATCAAACGGAAAATCTCTCTTTTTGCATGTATTCTAAAGGCCTTTTGCGTATTATCAAATCAACATTTTCTTTCTTGTCAGTGTATCACCCTAAAGTATTTGCATCGTATCAATGTATGATGATATTCGTTACACACCAGGTAACGCCCATTTGATAGCGATTTCACTTTGTTTACACCTTGCTATTTCAATTGCTGTCTGCCACAATCCGTTTACTCAATGCATTCAACAATATTGAACGATTTTTCACGATCAGCTGTCACTGAAATCTTGCAACGTAAATCTCTTTACTTACTAGGCCGAACCTCATTCTCGCGGGATAAAATCAAAATAATGGCTTTAAATAATAGCAAGACGCCCTAGTAAGACGCCCTAGTTCTCAGCTCTGTTGCTACTGAAAGATTCTCCCACCAGACTGCTGGTATCATGCCAGCAAGCACTTTATTGACCATTAACAATGAATAGGCAACGCTGCTTTCTGATGTTTGATGGGATTTGAAAATCTAACGGCTATGTTATCAAACGGTCTGGATTCCTTCTTTATTTCGTAGGGTGTTCCACTTATTTTAAAAATCATGCGAAATTTTTTAGAACAACAGGGATATTTAGAAAATTATCACTAAAACAAAGCAATTTTTACCCCAGGTTTGCAAGATTTTTTACTATTTGATCACGCCGTTATATTTACGATGACATTGAATTTCCGTCATTTCTCAGCTCAAATCCTGAGAAATCTCTATTATTATGTACTCAAATCCTCAATGAGACCATCTCCTACATATCTTTTCTCAACTGCATAAGCCAGGATTATTCCCAAAGCTCCATTCAATTATCTATCAACACAGACATCATTAAAATCTTCTAAAACAGAGCCTATTTCTAATTCAAGTGAAGCACACACATTCACTACTGGTGTCGTATATTAGAATTTTGCTCCGACAAAGTTGAGAAGGGTTTTGTTGGTATGCGACATACATTGCTTCTATTTTTTCATTATTAATACCACCATTATAAAATGAAATGCTATGTAAAAGCCTTATCAATGGTAATTGCTCTACGATTCGATGAAATAGAAGAGTGATTGGTTTCCTGCAATGATATTGTTTAGTTACGTCACTGGCTTTGATCTTTGTGATTGAATGAATCAACAATGGCCCGAATAGCAAATTTGGCTCTTATAAGCTGAACTTGACGTAACAGGCTTATGAATTTTAATAAAAGTAATGTCGAAAGAATACAGGATTAAGAGGAATTCTATAACTGGCAATTAGTTGACAGTTTCAGGAGTTTGACAGAAACTTTTCACGTTCATTGAACGAGAGCAGGGGCGCAAATTAGGTGACACTCCCCTAATCTTTCTAACCAATCCGTCCAGCCTCCATAATTAATTTGAGAAGTCGTTACTTCATATGCGAGTCGGTCCTTCTTGTCCGGACATCCCTATAAAGTTGATTTGATTTGCAGCCCTAAACGAAAGATAAATCATTTTTGCAAGAGATTCGTCACCTCGTCATCTACTTGACTACAGCCAAAAAGATCGGTTGTTCATATTCAATTTACTTGCGTCGAAAACTTTCTCAAGCAAAACATTATTTTCTTCAAAAAAGTGTACAAATCATCAATATTGTACGTGTCTCTGAGCACAAATTGTCGAGGTTTTTTTTACCCACGAGCTTCTTCCAAATTTATGGACATATAGAGGATATATGTATGTTTTTCATACGGTTTGTTATAAATGAATCAAAGGCAGTGTTTAGAAAGCAGTGTAACATCTTCTTAAGGGGTAGCCTAAACTGGTAAACTACAAAGCACGCTGATATCAATACATACATTGTACAAGCCCGCGTGCAAACTCTACCATTCTCAACTTGGCTCCACTGTTTCCTATTTCCTACCTCTCCCATGAGTTGAATTAAAAATTCATTGTCATAGTTAAACTCAATTGGAGCCAAGTTGAAAATAGTAGATTCTGCATGCAGGCTGACACCGTACATTAAAACAACAATCTTTGACTCGTAGTTGGTTTTGTTAGTACAGATTAATGCAATGATTGATTTGGCTTCAGTCGTATACATGTACATACGTAAGTGACAACCGCAAACCTGCAATCGAACAATGAACCACAAGATAGGCAAATCTAGAGTGATAATTAAGTTGTCAGCTTTGCTTTACTGTACTATGACATGACAGGGTAAATGTGTTACGAAGTATTGGTACTGGCCACAATTGGTGTCACTGTGCTTCTACTTTCAATTACTATGGATGTTAAATATGAATTATTGACTAGAAAATACTGGGTTAGTGAAATAATTCTAAACGTAATTATGTAAAAAGTGCGGTGACTTGTGTAAAATTTTACTCGTAAAACATGATTCAAATGAAAAATGGTGAATTTCAAATTCAAGCATGTGAGAAAGCGGAACATTTAATGAATTATTGATTAGAAAGAAATCTGAAAAGTGTACAATTATTACCTTTAATTGCATAAAAGAAGCGTGTTCGTGATATTCAATCAAATATTTGTAAGGTCATGATTAGATATTTCCCAAAACAATACCTAATCAAACATCTTATGCTTTAATAAATGACGCAATAGCCTTAAAGACATTTGATAATCATGTAGGCATTCAACGAATTACTAACAACATTGGTAAATTTATGTGACAGAAATAGCAATTAAGTTCCATAAAAAAATGCACGAATGCTCAAACTCCATCAAAACAAGTGCATCTTTAGGAAAACAATGCCTAGAATGATTTTGCCACATGTAGAAATTTGGCATCTCTGTAACCATTTCCTTTATAGCCTCTGAGTCTTATTTTCTTACTGACACCGATCACCTACTTTCACGCCCTCTTCGAGTAGCCCATTCTTTTACCAGTACGTGGTTTCATTAATTGGATTTCAAAAAACGCTTTTCTAGACTAAACCAATTTTCCAGTTAGAACATTTGGCTTTAGAACTTTAATAAGCCATTTTCAACGAGGCTTCATTTCAGAGAGCTGTTCGGTAGAGTTTCCAAAGGCATCAAAAGCCAAAATTTCCTAATTCACTGAAATTCGTACGTAAGACAGAGAAAGATCATAAAAAAACAAAATTATTTTCAACAGAACATGTTTTTTAAGCATGACTCTCTTAGAATCACGTGAAGATTGCTCTTTTAAAACGGAAACAGTTTCTTGACTTTGAAATAATTTCAGTTCCCTTGTCGTAGAGTCTTTTATATTCTAAAATTATCTAAGACAGTTTTTTATAAAAAGTACTATAGGAAATGTGATCTTTGCTTGAAGTGGATCTTATATTACCTCAACACTGTATCGCATAAAGCTATCACTAAGTTATTCTGTTTTGTAAGAAAAGTACACAAATGCCTGGTTTATTCTGGTTTGGTTAAAACTTCCCTTTTTCCGACGCATAATAAATATACAACTTGGACGAAAACATCTACAATTGGTGAATCCAATACACCGTAACTAGATGAGACGCCTTCATATTGTATGGACTAATATAATCGTCAAATGTGGGGTTTATTTGAAATGTTTTCAATATGTTTGATCTTTTGAGGAAAGGATTATTGGTCAGGCTCTAAATCTTCTGTCTTGTCAATTTATCGCCCTAGACATCGCATGTTAATGGTCATATAGGTAGATTTTCAAAGACATGTTTCTCTTGAAAAAAATTCATAAATTTGTTGCTAGTTGATCTACTGTAGTCAAAATACCACAGTAAGCAACGTTGAGTGGTGCGCCATAAACATGCTTTAATAGACAAGATACAAAAAGCAGAGTTAGGCAGCTAAGTCATCTCCGACAAGAGCACCAAATCTAAAACAAAATGTTTCTAGAGAGCTATACCATCAGAAAGTAATTTTAAAGATAAATTTGCTATTTTTCAGAGTCTATATGTAATAACATGTTATGACTCAACAAGGAACCAGTTGGAACGAAACCTAGGAGACGTAGAGAAGTGATTTTGAAGATAAAAGAAAAGCACTAAGATGTCTTGTTCATTAACAAAACTTGCATACCATATGTTTTATTTTATTTTCCATCTACGTAGAGGATAAGAGGAAGGCGGCCAGCTAGACATCACAAATTGATTATCTGTGTTGTTAATAATTAACGAGGTCTGGACAAAAGAAGTGTATTGTTATTACTTGTAGCTATGAAATAGCTCTGATGGTAGTTAACTTCCTCAAATCATTCGCTGGCAACGGAGATATAACATAAGAGTGTTAATATGTTTTCTCTTCTACAATATATACAGCCTTTCTTATAACTCCAATTCAGATGGCAGCAATAGAGACATTAGATTTGAATATTATTGATATGAAGTAATCTCTAGTTACAAATGGCTACAAAGAAGATCAATTATATTTCTTTAGAGACAGGGAAGGTCATTGCAATTCTGCATAACAGTTAATGATCAATTCATGTTTAAAGCATCTGTAGATTATCGTTATACTGACTTTTTCCCACTGTTTTCGTTAATTTCCAAGGTTATAATCAGGTTTTCGTTTGAGAAGTTATAATCAACTGGGATGATGAGACGTCACTTTTATGCAAGAGGTTAAAGAATGCATGTCATTATAAGCAGGATACAAAGACGACGATTGACGATCACATATAAAGTTCTTTTGTAGTGAAGAAACTCTTTTTAAAGAAGAACAGGCTGGAAAGGATAGACAAGCAGGAAAATGCATCGAGATTTCAGCTGGATAACAATTGTTCAAACGATTGCTTTTATCAGCCTTTCTGTGATGGCAATTTGTGGAAATATTCTCGTGTTATATTGCACTTCACGAATAAAAAGAATGCAGACAGTTACAGGGATATTTCTTATGAATCTTGCAGTCACCGATCTTGGCGTAGGGCTGATAAGCCTGCCAGTTTCACTTGTATCTGCGCATAACCATACGCTTCTGTCCAATAAATGGTTCTGCGACCTGAACGGAGCCAGCATGGTGATATTCTTACTATCATCGCTTCTTACTCTAACATGCATCAGTGTTCAGAAGCACATGTGTGTCAGCTACAACATGCGATCACGGTTTGACAAGAAAGTTGCAATACGCTGCATAATTGCCTTATGGTTTATTTCAGTTGGTTTTGGTCTGGCGCCTGTAGTAGGATGGAGCTACTATGCAACAAGCAAAGATGGTTACCAGTGCGGACCTTTTGCTTGGGAAATTTCCGGAAGAACCTACAGTGCTTCAATTTTTATAGTTGGCCTTGTAATTCCTGTCAGTGTTATGAGTTATTGCTACGTAAGATTGTATAAGACGACAAGACAGCATAACACAAGAATGAGGGTAAGTGCAGTCACGTCCTCACCTAAAGTTTCAGTGCGCCAGCAAAGCGACAGTAGACGCACGAGTCGACAAGAAACACGGATGATCAATACGTTTATCATAATTGGGATAGTCTTCCTGCTTTGTTGGTTGCCTTCAGGAATACTAGTAATGTTAGAGTTTGCAAAAGTCGAAGAGCCGCTCGAGTATGAAGTGTTTGCATTAACGTTGGCATACGGAAACTCCACTTTGAATCCAATCATATACGCTTATCGGCATCAAGATTTCCGCAGAGGGTTCAAGAACGTTTTGAAGATGTGCATACCAAAATTCTGTAGAAGAGAAGATGATGAAGCACGTGGAGTAGAGATGCAAGTCAATGCAGCTACAATCAAGCAAGGCACATCATCAACTTCTCTGTGAAGCAATAGTAATGGGTCTGGTGGGAATTCAGTTGACAGGATCTCAACAAAAATGGTGAATTCATCGCTGGTCCGTCTTGGAATACATTTAGAATTTGCCGATAGAGTATATCGTTTTCTGATGACGATATCTAAACAATGCTTGTAAGTCTCTTCTAACTACATCTGTCGCAGTTTTGCTACTACCTGAATCCTTCACTCTTTGATGGGAAAAAAGAAAGCATATGTAAATTAATAGTTTTGATCAGACCTGCCAACTATAATTTTGACCAAGATTGAAAGAAAACAAGTATAACAAGCAAAATTCGGGAGCTTTCGAGCTGGAAGGTGATAAGGACAAACGAGGAAGCTGTAGTCAAACGCAGCCATTGGTCCTGCAAATTCTAAGACTATCAAAAATGCTGAATATTTTGCTGCACACAGAAAACACAATTTTGTTGGATGCTCTCTTTTACTTTCAATCTTGAAGCAACTATAATCTTGGAAACTATTTATTTCTGAAAAAACAATGATTGACTCTGTAATTATTGACAGTGCTTGTACGTATATGACAAATGTTGTGCCGAGAAACCTGAAAGCAAAGGCTCAGGACCCGAATTGCTGATGCAAACTAATGCCAAAAGTTTGCGCAGGTTACCATGAATCATTAACTACTTATAGTTTCATGTATATACTAATCGCTTCAAATATATAATTCCAAGCAGATCAGATTGGTAAATAAAGGCTTTGTTAAATATAATTTCATTAATGAGACTGCTCGAGCTGAGTATGCAATTTTATCAAAATTGAAATTAAATGCAAAACTCAAGTCGATCATTGTTGAGATGGAGGCAAAAATCATAACGTTGTTGAGTTGCCTCCACACCCATATTTACAAATATTCCAAAACTTTGCATAATACGCTATAAATACACTATAAATACACAATACAGAACAACACAGCATAATACAGCACAATACACTACAATATAATACAATACAACACAACACAACACAACACAACACAACACAACACAACACAACACAACACAACACAATACAATACAATACAATACAATGCAATACAATACAATACAATGCAATACAATGCAATACAATACAAATACCGTACAATGCTTCTAATTTATACTGTAAATTCTGTTGCTCCAGATTTCTTGTCGAATTGGTGTATTAAAAGTTGATATCAAAACTAAAAGCACCGTTTTTAGCATTTCAAGCACTTCAATAAAGAAGTTCATTATGTCTAAAAAATTTAAGCAAAAATCGAAAATTATCCCTAAAAATGCTGAAAGTTTCAACATTAACCATCCTGGACAAAGTCTTTGGAACATCATGCTGTTTATTCAAAAATAGCTATTCCCGGTAGAAAACACCGCTAGAAAGCAAATTTTCAAAATTGCAGCTAGGCTAATGTTTATGAATTATTTTCTCAGAACACAAGTTAATCGTTCGTGCTCCGGTTGGTAATCAGTTGCTGCGAAAAATGAGACCTTTTTCCTACTTTCATGCGAATTCACCTGTGATAACCTAAAACCAAACTGCAAATGCCTCGATATTTTTGCCAACGATATTTCAATGTGAATTCCCTGCGAAGTTCACGTCGTTGAAATATTGGCTTGAAGCAACATTCTTTGAAAGGGGAGAGGATGATGCAATAGAAAATGTTCAAATATTTAGTGCAGTGACTGATAGACTGACCCTCACTGACTGACAGAAAAGGTACAAGCATTCTTTTGACTCGGCTCAGCCTTTATTACGTCATCACTTTGATTTTTAAATTTCTCCTTTTGCATTTATTCCTAAATTTGTCACTCTTCATGCATGTCGTCTAGGGTTTTGATTATCCAGCATCTCTCATAGTCGAATACAGTCAGAGATATTCTTAACAAAATTGTCAGAGGAGCACGATAGAGAGAGGCATGAGTTTCATCGATTCATGTCACAGACGAGTGTTCATGATTCGACCAAAAGTTATTTTATCTGCGTGAATTAGGTATGCGGGGAGATGGGTAGTGGTTGGTAGGTTTCGAAAAGTTTTTCTCAACATAAAATTCGATCCAAATCTTGTTTCTTTGTAAGGATTTCGTAGTCAGGCCTTCATATTTTTACATTGCCTATTAGAAATTAATGAAGTCTTGAAGATTTATCGATGATATCATTTATTGAGGGAACTGCACTAAGATTTAAAACAACATTTCATAAACATTTTAAAACATCTGAACATAAAATTTTGCAGTCAAAACATTTGATATGAAACAAAACCTGCTAATGGACTTTCTCTCTGAGGGGCAACGGCTCTCCATTGACCTTATTTACGACGCTTAAAGCAATACGGACAATATGTCTTTAATTATTTAAAAATGTTTAATTTCCTTTGCATTTGAAACCCGATAAAGAACACAGGGCTATGAATCTTCAAAAGCAACCAATTTCAGTGATATAACGTTGATTGGCAGCGCAGAAGCAGCAAAGAATTTCCTAAATATATTTCACAAAACATAATAAATTTTACTGACAACTGGTAAGAAACATTTGAGAAAAAAGGATGGAAAAGACACATTGAAAAACACATGTTATTGTGTTTAGATGTAGTGTTTTCCTTCAAATTTATATTGAAAAACGGAATCCTATGATATCAGAGAAATGCCGCATAATATCTGCAATGAAAACTGCGAAGATTTGTTTTTCCAACATTTAAGGAGAAACAAGATTAATCTAGCATTCTTTGTCTGCACAGATCTGGTCTACAATACCAGATAACTTTTATTCCATTCAAAGAAGCCTGCTTAACTTCCAAAAAAAATCAATTGACTTGTCACCCATTCACAGTGTCCGTCTTCGTTTGAATGGTGCAAACGAAGAAATGAAAACACGTACCTACACCTGCAGTTTGAGAATGTTTCAAGTAGTTATACTTATAGAGTACTTAAGAGATGACGTCATAAAAATCAATTCTATAATCTAGTGAGAAAATCCATTATGTATGTCTAAGAATATATTATATTTTTGGAAATTTGTCTCTTCTGACCACTTATCCTGAAGGAACACTTTAAAATACCACTAAATGTGCAACATCAGTTACAATTGCTATAAAACAAGTCTTATATTTGTATAATCTTACCGAATTTTTAAACTATTTAACTGATTTTTCATTTTCAGTGGTATTTGAAAATGTATTTAAAAGTCAAAAATTACAAAAATATAATTTTTTATAACATTGCACTCAAGCACTCTATTGCATTATTTTTTTTTTAAATGTTTCCCTAAAATTTTAGCAGAATCAACTTCAAGATTATGCAACTATTATGTTTTGAAACTAATTATTATCATTTATTTCTATAAATATAGACTTATAATTTTAATGACTTTGACTACCCAAATTATTATTAATGGAAAATGGCAAACCTATCAGAAAAGAAATTACGAGGTTTCAAAATTGTATTTGTATTGTACTCATAATAATCTCTAAGGGTGGTTATAAATTTCAATACATTTATTTAATTTTAATCGATCGTGATTCTAAAAAAAACAATGGAATTGTAAACTCCCTATTGTGCAAAAACATATCAAATAAAAAGAAGTTATCTTTTTCAACGAAACGCCCATAACAAAATAACAGAAGGTAGAAGCCATTTCATTTAAATCTTCTGCCATCACAGTTATAAGCTGACGCGGTGCCACCAATTCTGTACCATAATCGAAGTAAGGGTTTTGAACTGTATTGGTACAACTGCAGCATAATTGAGATTGTGGCCTGTCGCATGGACAAAACCTTGCTTTCCAAAAACAAACAACACGAGTTATCTTGTGGCAGTTGCGACAGTCTTGAATCCGAAGGATCTATGATTTTCCAATCTAGATGTCATTTGGTTAAAAATGCTTCGAGTTACAACGTTTTTAGTGCAACTCTCTTGGGTATTGATCACAGTATGCTACTTTAATTGACTCTGCCCTCTTCCAACATCAATAGACAAACGGGATTATTTCACTTCATTTCTTGCCTTTGTGGTTCTTCTACGTTATCAAATTAATGTTTCCGAACTATGCATGTCTTGTAAACGAATATTCACTGTAAAAGCATTTCTTACACAATGCTCATCGCCTGTATGCTGATTGTCTGTATTCTCGGTCATACGGCATAATTTTAAAATCGAAAGTTTGAATCCCTTCCGAAATTCGCGATGTCTCATCGCATACAAAATAGGATTGACTGCTGAGCTGGCAAATGCAAAATCTAATACTATGTCTTCTAGATAGGGTGGATAATTTGCCTGTGCTATTTCCATGCCCATGTAGATAAAGCACGGAGACCAGCTGATAAAAAACAATAGCATCATAAGCATTAATGTTTTTACCATACGACGTTCAGCTGCTGAGACACCGGGCCGTTTTGAGAAGCGCGACCGAGAAATGCCACTAGCCTTCATTTTGGACATATGCGCTCTTAGGAAGATTAGAATTTTGCCATTACAGTACATCATAGTGATTGTCGGTACCACAAGGCAGCATGTGAGTGAAGCTGCTTGATATGTAAGACCTAGCAGATATCTTCCAGACGGTGCACACTGATGGCCATGGGTACTATGTGCGTAAGAATCCCAGCCAACAGCAGGCGCTGATGCGAACAGTAGAGATATCGTCCATATTGCTAAAATGCCATACAAGGCATGCTTTCTAGTAAATCGTGGCTGCAGCGAGTATCCTATTGTCATATATTTTTGTACACTTATCACAGCCATTGTTAGGAGCGAAGAATCTAAAAACAGTATCAATGAAAATCCCGTCATGTTGCAGAATAATCGACTATGCACAAGATCGTGATCAGCCGTTGTGGCAATGGCAAATGGTATGCAGAAGATACCAACTCCAAGATCTGTTGTTACTAGACTTATTAACAGAATGCCAGTTGTATTTTTCATTTCTTTAATTGACAATAGGCAATGCAACATCACAATATTTCCAAAAACAACTATGAAGAATGTAAGCGTCAAAACCACAATCTGGATCGTTTGTACTGCTACCCCTTGGTAGCTTTGTTGTTCTAGGCCATGTGAATCTGGCATCATTGTTACATTGACCATCCCATGTAAAGTGTACACAGCCATACCCTACTAGAGATGGCGATGAAAAGATGGAACCAATAGCTATAACGCGATTTGCATGCATCTGATTATTCAGCTGTAAAAGAGACTCGTTTGGCATTTAATCTGCACGGATTTGAGCATAGCAACGGGCTGAGAGATGTATATTCTTATAAAGGTTTTGTCGGTACCGTCTGATACTCAAATGCCGACACCTGTATTTCAGTATTAACAGCAGCTTGATTCTATGAGTATGAAAAGCACATATCCCTACGCTTTTTAACAAGCGGATGAGATTCAATCGAATTATACAATATGACAGTTAATTGTTCTTCCTTTTCTTTTTTGTACTAAGTAAAAGTGCTCTGACACCGAAAAGGCAGTTATGATAACCAAGCGCTGCTCGTAATCGGCACAATGGGCATGAATTAATTGAGCGCAAATTCTAGTTTTTTTTGCATTACATGGGCTTGCCATTATGCCACCACCTAACTGTTATTAGGATTTTCACAGTAAAGAACACCATTTGTTTTGTTTGTCTTTTTGCGATCTATTGGAAATGAAGTTCTTGCTAGCAGGTATTTTGGTATCGACATTTTTTGCTAATTTTTAATTCACAAATCTTGACGAGTTGTTTATTAGTTGACATTCCAGTATCTTCAGTCTGATGCTGTCATTATTGAAACCTCGTTCCCATGTAAGTGGGAAAAGAGTCTTCTTAGACATCAAAGTTTGCCGTACCAAAATTTGCCGTACCATTCACACATTCACAACGATGCCAAAACTGAGTACTCGACAATTTGGTAATATTTCCTCATCATTTATCTAAGCTATTTGATAATTGCTAGTACAACTCTCAGTTATTTTGCCACTTTAACTTTGTTTATCGTTCTTTCCTGCACTCTTTTGTTATAATTTTTCTTTTTGAAAGTTTCTCATCACCAGCCAAGCTGCTTTGAATTATTTTATTTGGAAGTGTCTCTCACAGCATTATACATTGTATCTTACAATCATAAGCGTAAGATACCCATGAATAAGGCAAATTTTAAATATGTATCCATATTATAAATATATCATAGAGTTGAAGAAAATAAGACTACATGGTTTATCTCTACAAGCCTGTTTCGTGAGTAACTCACTCTTCAGGAGATGTTTATATATATAGATATTATAAATATATATTTATATATATAGGAAATAGGCTGATGATTCCTCATTGAAAGGATGAAACGTGTTCCGGAAAATCATATATATATCATTTTACTTATTCCAGTTACGCATCTGGAGGAACAGATTGCAAAAAATAATTACTACGATTCGCGTTAGATTGACTAGTATATCCCTGATGGAAAGATTTATATGCCAACTGTCAAACCATGCAGGTTTAACGCCCTCAAACCAAAGAATAGAGAATAGGGAATATGTAACCTCCCTTTTTTCGTTGCTCAAACTAAGCCATGCAATGACTTTGCGATAATACTGATAATTCAATTACACTTTGCGGGTACTTTCTAATTTGATTTGAAAGCTTTCAAATGAAATCTAACATAAAGTCCTTTTGCAATACGTGTTTGCCTTTTAAGAAATAGCTGAAATATATATTTGCCACGTCAGAGAACAAATTGGGAAAACCAAGCAGGTGCTTGTTAAATAGGCAAGATTTTTTGATGCACATTCCGGAAATTGTGGAAACAAACAGGCAGATATGACGTTAAAAATGGCATATTCCATAAGTAAAGGTTTTCAAATCTGAAGTTGATCATGCTTTTTTCCAGCTGTCGATGGCAAAATCACGTTAAGGTTCTTTTCTGTTTTTAAGAGAATTGCTAATATTTTTAGGACAAAAACCTCTTTGCTTTATCAATGCGAGACTTTGGGAGAGGTTTTGAAGAGTTTTTTTGGCCCCAAATGTACCAAAAGCACAAATAGTGAAAAGCTTTCATTTTGAATAATTGCTTCTATGATTAAAGACGCCAAATGCTTTATCATTTAACTGGTCTTCAGTCATACAAAAAACGAACAAGGTTTTAGGCAGAGACACCTATAAAAAAATATCAATGAAGAACAAAGATTCTATTATATTTGGCTGAACTTATGAGCGTAACTGCATCGCCTCGAGGTCGGCACCAGCCGTAGGGCACAACAATGCATTTTTCAAACATCATTGGGAAATCTCTGTTTGTCGTTCATCCTGAAACTAGGTAAATCCTTCTAATCTTAACTAATGCAATCAATGGTTTGGCTAAATCATTTGTCAAAAATGCATCCTTTTCAATAGTTAGCTTTTAACACAGCGGCTGTTTGCGTCATAAAAAGAGCCTGGGTCTTACGTCACGTGATTTGACAGCAAATACTATAAAAAGATGAAGACGATTGCGCTCGAGAAAAATATGTTTAAATAATACCTGTAATAGTTTGCTAATAATACCACCATGAAAGTACACGGTATGGACTCTGTGGTTATCAGTTTAATTGCAGAAGTCGCTGAATCCAGGCATTTGTAGATGATGAATGAAGGTGAAATAAATTTTGATTGCGGTAAAGTAGATGAAATAGCTCTTTTCTCGAATCTGTTTGTTTTGTTTTTCTCAACTCCTGAAGCCTAGACGTACGAATACGCACTCCAGAGCTGAGTTTTTCTGCTGAAGATGACAAATTTTCTCAACGATACCCTAAATACCACTCTAAGTCCAACAACGACACTGACACCAAAAGCAAACCACGAGCATCAAGAGCATCACGATGCACTTTGGTTTTTCTGGCTACAGATTGTTCTTCTTAGTTTATTTATGGTAGTCGTAATTATTGGCAATTTTATGACATTGTATTGTCTAACTACGATCAAGGAAATGCGGACCATCACTGGGATTTTTCTCACAAACCTGGCGATAACTGATCTTGGTGTAGGCTTTATTGCACTACCGCTATCACTAGCTGCGAGTGTAGAGCACTTTCTGCTGCACAAAAGATGGTTCTGCATTCTCAATGGAGTTGGACTTGTTCTGTTTGTTGTTGCATCGCTTCTTACACTTGCTGCAATTAGTATTCAGAAGTATGCAACTGTTGGATACAGATTGCAGAGTACCTTTACGAGACGGAAAGCTTATTGTACAGTATTGCTGATTTGGATTGTCGCGTCAGTGTTTGCGGTAGGACCTGCAGCAGGATGGAGTCGCTATTCGTTTAGTACAGGTGGTCACCAATGCGCCCCTTACCTCGATAATGCTTCTGGTGATTCATACTTTTTAGCTCTGATTGCAATTGCTATCGTGTTTCCTACAATTACAATGACATTCTGCTACTTCAAACTCTACCAAATGACACGGTCCCATCTCCGTCGCATGAGAGCAAGCGCAATTGTGCAAGGAGCTAGTCGACCAGATTTGGGCCTCCTTAGTGCTGTTGAATCCCGTCTTGTACATACATTGATCATCATGATGGTCGCATTCTTCTTCTGTTGGCTCCCCGTTATCTTACTCTTTGTTTTGAAAGTTTCTAATGTTGAAACGCCACACATATTCGAGACACTTGTATTGTTGTGTGCGTATGGCAACTCGGCAGTGAACCCGATATTATATGCGATGAGACAGCGTGATTTTCAAAGAGGATTTCGAAAGATTTATCACGCAATTTGCAGAAGTTATCAAATAGAGCAGGAAACTAGTCATTAGTTTTTGTAGCCGTTTTTTGCAAGGACAGGGCAGCGGAGAGAACGTTAAATGAAACTAAAGAGTTTTATTGCGCCTGTTCCTGAATACATAACCATTGCAGTCGTCAGATTTTTCGTAACATCTTGTTCGAAATGGAGATGCGGTTAACGTTATTGTTTAGAAAAAATTGAATCAAGAAAATCGTTAGCACCACCGCTGTGATTTGAAAGCTAAACATGTATTTTGTAATATCTTATTTATATCTCTACGTTAATTTAGTTTATTTTAATTTGACTTTATTTGCATGACGTAATATCGAGATGTTAGTATTTTTCACCTTTACTTTTGTAATATTAGGTTTCTAGCTGTATGTTATTATCAAGAATGGATTCATTATACCCAATACTACGTTAAAGTAAAATTTTAAGTAAGAAAAGGAGTGCAAATTGGCGATAATAACAATAACTATCACGACAATAATATTAATAGAATGACAAAAATAGTAGAAATAAAAATTGTAGGAAAAAACAGGAATAAATGAAATACTAAAGATGAAAATATAGTAATGACAATTACTCGGTATTTTTTAATACCGTGCATATTAAAAAGCTGTTTCTTTTAAAGATCCAAAGACTAAACGAAGTTGAATTTGACATTTTGCTATATTCACATATAAAACATTAACACGTAAATATGCAATATGAAAATCCTAACAAGTGCGCGTGCTCGTTTTGCAGTAAGTAATCTGTCTCATGAAATTCTTGAAGTTGCTTTATGATAGTCTTAATTAGTGTGTTACTGAGAAAATTGAAGGTAAAAAGAGCCGAGGAAGACCAAGACTAACATATATTTCTAGCTTGTGCAAGTGTACTGGGTTGAGCGAAGTAGAATTGTTACGCAACACAAAGAATAGGATTGTGTGGAGGGACATGATCGCCAACGTCCAGATCGGATAAGGTACCCACAGAGAGAGTGTTTGTGTTTTCACTATTGTAAAAACCAACATTAAATAATCTATACAATACAATCAATCTAAATAACCTTTTGATATCATTAGTACTAAATGCTTACGCCCTTTAGACGTCACATTGCGCTTATTCTTCAAAGCTACATGCTCATATACAGTTTATTCTTATGAAGATCTGTTTGCCTAGCGATGGTTTTGACTCTTAAAGATATCGTTTTGCAAAAACAGGAATATTGATTATATTATCGCTACCATTTCGTTCCTACCACTAACAACATTATTCATTCTAGAATTCTGCTATTTTCTTTACTTCGGTTGATAATTGCCTATCTCAAGCTATCGAAAAACTGCCAAACGTCCTTTGATATAGAGCGAAAAGTTGGCAATAAAAACCTAGCCTGTAAAAGACATGCAGTTAGCAAGTTAGCATTGTCGTCTGTGTGCAGGCGATTGTTGCAAAAAACTTTTGCAGTTTTTATATGCTGCAAACCTTGTTGAAAATGGCATAAAAAACACCAGAAAATTGGCAGACGATCATCAACAAAAAGTGTCGTGCTATGTTGTGTTAGATCATCACGTCCCAAAATAAGTGTAACAGGAAGTTTTTAACATACTTACTAGGAGGCATTCACCCCTGCAGCCCCAGTGACTTTCCATTGTTTTAAACAAGATACTATTGTCTTCCTCTTTACATGAACAAAGATCTGCTTCTGCAGCTAATTCCCTTGGAATATGCTATGCAGTGTAAGTCGTTTTCAATGCACAAAACTTTGAGCCACGAAGGCTCAAGGCACAAAAAGTCAATGGAAAATAGCTTCAGAGCTTCAGAAAAAGCTTCAGTATTATCAGTCAGGCATAGCCCTATAAAGATATAGTTCTATATACTTTACACGACCTTTTGGTTTTTAAAATATAATTCATCCAGGAACACGGTGGACCAGTCTTTTTTCCCAAAAGTTTGCTTAAACGTTTTTGTCCTCTTCAACAACAGCAACGTTATTCTTGTTCAGCCACAGATGATAATGACCTTGATTTTTAAGAATCAGCAATGTTCCAAAGAAAATTTTTTCGCATGTGGTTTCATTAAAAAAACTTTTTTCAAGCAACGATAACTTTTTAGTAGCCGTGAGTTCAAGCAAGGTAGCTGGAAACGTTTGCTTCATTTCAAGGATACAACGAACTGTTTAAAGGAAAAAATCAGGCGTGGATTTAACCCCAGCTTTCCTTACTACCTTCTTATAAAAATCCCTGTTATTCAATTTGTAAATGTAATGGCTTAAAAGTTGTTGGAAGTAGCTGAAAGTCTGCATCTTAGATTCTCTTGCCTCTTCTAACTCTTTCATGTGTCGTCCTTGCGACTGCTGGAATGCTCCTTAGCTGCGACGTCCACGATCGCATTGCTGGTAAGGTTACATTGAAAACATCAAGGGGGAATTGCTTAAGGAGTCAGACTTCAAATTATGCGCTATGGCTTAAGGTACGAATAAAGATGATGTGGTACTTGATACACGTTCTACATATTTGTGTTAAGTTAGAATTGGAGTTTGGTATATCGATATCTTTTTGTTGGTTGCAGAAAACTACAAACCCCCGATTATTGTTTACAATCACACCGTTGGTAAATCTATTGTCGGTGGCTACGTCTACAGAGGGTGTCAGAATCCAGCATTGCAAGGGCGCTATATCTACGCAGACACTGTCTCTGGGTATGGCAATAACACGAATTCATTTTCTCTATTCGTTGCAATTATATTCGCTAGAAATGAATTAATATTCTCATGTCAAAGCCATAATTTTTAGAGTAAAATCGTTAAATGAACAACGATCGTTTAAATTAATCTTTAATATTTTGCTATATTGCTTGGTCGTCTGTTTTTGTTAAAGTTTTACATTATGGAATCGATTGCAAAAATTGAATACAAAGCGCATTGTTTGTTTGTATGTCGCTAACGGTTTTTCTTTTAAAAAAGCAGCTGTTTTGACAAAATTGTAAAGCGATAATCTCACTGCCATTTATTTTTATTGTAAGTCGTATGTTTGCTGCGGAAGAAGATTTGAAGACTGGAAAGTGGATCTCTGAAGAGATAGTGATCGGAAACCAGAGCATGTGCAACAATGCATTGCAGGATCAGCACGCACCGCATATCTTGTCATTTGGCGAAGATGAAACCGGTTGGTTGAATAGACTAAACATAGCTTAAAGCTGGCATTAACCTAAGAAAAATTTCATGTGAAAATGCAAATAGTTTGCTGCTTTAATACTCTTAACAGCAGAACTATATTCAACAAACAGAGATTTCTTTGGCTCTGAAATCGTCACTTCACATAAATCTTGCATGCTAGATAAAAGTTCCTGTATGCTAGATTATGGCATGTTGTTGTGTATTGGAACTGACAATCAAAATCACATGTTACCAATACATTTTCTCATAAATCCGTGTATAAAAAATAGGCAAGCGACGCTCATCCTGAAATACCGCGATGTCAGTTAAATTATCTGCCGTCGCTTTCATTACTATTCGTTTCTCGGACCGGAATGTTGCAAATCTTTCTGTGAAAACTTCAGCGCGACCTTCTATTCAGGCTTTTTCAATCTATGCGAGAAAATGTCAAGAACTTGGCAGTTTCACGTAGTAAATGTATATTGCAACGTTTTCAACAGCTTTTCTCTCTCTTCAGGTGAATTATACTTTGCAAGTGTCTACTGGCCCTCAGCGTCCCAAGCTTTTGGTGCACTTTACAAACTGGTAGACCCAGTAAGGTATATACGCATTATTTTAATTAAATATCTTTAAATCTAGGTGCAGTTGTGTCAATCAAGGAAGGACATTCAAGTACCTTTGCTTATTCATAAAACTTTCATGAATGATTAATGGCAAAATGTTTCCAAAAATTATTTAGCCCAATAAGCTCAGAGGGTATCAAAGGAGAGAACGGGAAGGGTTCTGATCCTCAACGTTTTACGGAACGTAAGGCCTGTGACCTTTTTCCCAAACTTTTCGAGAAAGTGCTCAGGAGAGATAAGAAGATAGCCGAAGAAATTTTCTATCAAGAGTACAACAGCTAATTATAACAGTCAAAATAGCATTCTCTGGAAAATAAATTTAGTAAAGAGCACTCCCCTCGTAGGAAAGGTGGGCATCCTAAGATGATGAGCACTTTGTCCAACCCTATCTCCTCCGCATTGTACAAAGCCAAACCTGTAAAAGGCGTAGGGCTCTTTAATAGATCCCCCCTTGTCGTATTTATCTGAGCTTCCCCTCCTCTCCCCCCAAAAAAATCGCTTTTTCATTTTGTCGACGGTCTACAACAAAAAAATGAAAATTCTTCCTTCAGCCATTCAGCTTTTGTCATTATTTCATTGGATCATTGCTGTTTTTACAAATTTGTATTTGTCCTCTCTCTGACAGACGGAGCGATCCTGAAATATGCAGGAGCTTTTCTTCCAAGCCCAGAGTATTAAAGAACGTTAAAAAACGCAAAATTGACGACTCTCAAAGTGTAACCGGTGAATACAAAAAGCCGAAACTGGAATGCAATGATACTAGATATTTCTGCCGTTTTATGAATTCGCTGTCGTGGTTATGCAAGAGGCATCGAATTTTGGGGCAACTTTACTGCAAGAAAGCATGTGGATATTGCAAACGTGTTTTCTAAGAAGCAGATGTTTGTCAATCTCTAGCTTCCTGTACATACCTTTTTAAGCTTTCTTTTAGTCTAAACAACCTTCTTATTATCACTGTTTGTAAGGCTTAACCGAGAATGCAGCATTTGTTGAGAAAATTCGAATCTCTTAATGTATTCACTAAACCTATTTGTGTATTCAGTAAACAAAAAGCTAAAAATCTATTGAATATCAACAGTTGCAGAAATCCGCATCTCATTTGCAAAATCAACCGATGTTAACTTATCTATTATTCTTTAGAATTTGTTCGAATTAAAAAAATTCATAGTTTAAAGAAACTTACATGTTGGATTTTGGAATTTTGATAATTCTACTCAGCTTGTATTGCCCTCGAAAATCTGAAATAGAAATGGTGTAGGGTCAGCAAAATTTTGGTGCGGGTTTTTTGATAATTCAGTCCCACGCTTTCAAGCGTGTTAGTGTTTTCACTTGCAAGTTCAAAACCTGGAAAAGATTACGATTACCAGCATATTGAAAAAATACAGTATTCTCTCCAATCAGCGGACACCGTCGGGGCACGAGCAAGGTGTCCGCTAATCGGAAATGTCCGCATTTTGGAAAGTTTTGCAATGTAAGTCCCAAATTTGAAAATAGATCCGAGTTTTTTATTCAAAAGGTGTAATCAGTGGTGGCGCAAGGGGAGGGCTACTGCCCCTCCGTCGGAAGCATCTAGCCCCCCATCGGAGGAAGTTATTGGAAAGAGGTTGAATCGTGGAGGTGGCTATGGTCTGGAGATTCCAGTAATTTACCACTTTCATGGACAAGAAAACTTAGTAAACTGTGCTGTAAAGAAGCTCAAAGCTGTAAAAAAATAGATTGTCGAACGTCAAAGTGTTTGAAACAGATATTTGAACAAATATTCGTCTAAGTTTTTTGTTTGCTGGCTCCTAACTTGTTTGTAATGTCCGCTAATTGGAAAGAAAAAAAGCCAAATTGACCATTTTGTGCAAAAAATATTGTCCGTTAATTAGAGTGTCTGCTAGTTAAGTGTCCGCTTTTTAGAAAGTTTTTAATAAGACTTTGACCAGAAAACGATCGGGGAAGAAAAATTTGTCCGCTAATCAAAGGTGTCCGCTAAGTCTAAGTTTTTTGCTTGCTGGCTCCAAACTTTTTTGTAGTGTCCGCTAATCGGAAAGAAAAAAAAGCCAAATTAACTATTTTGTGCAAAATATATTGTCCGTTAATTAGAGTATTCGCTAGTTAAGTTAAGTGTCCGCTTTTTAGAAAGTTTTAATGAGACTTTGACAAGAAAACGATCGGGGAAGAAAATTTGTCCGCTAATCAGAGGTGTCCGCTAAGTCTAAGTTTTTTGCTTGCTGGCTCCAAACTCTTTTGTAGTGTCCGCTAATCGGAAAGAAAAAAAAGCCAAATTAACTATTTTGTGCAAAATATATTGTTCGTTAATTAGAGTATTCGCTAGTTAAGTGTCCGCTTTTTAGAAAGTTTTAATGAGGCTTTGACAAGAAAACGATCGGGGAAGAAAATTTGTCCGCTAATCAGAGGTGTCCGATTTTTAGAGTGTCCGTTAATTGGGGAGAATACTGTAATTATGGCTTTGAAAAAAGCAAGTATTTTAAAACATATTGGCTAAAAGCTTTTTCGTCTGACACTCCTCAGAGTATAAAACGTCAGGATAAGGGTTCAAAAGAACACGATGAAAAATATATACTCAGTTGTGGATCGAAATAGGCCAATCAGAAAAACGCAAGCACCAGACCGTTATAGTTGACCAATCAGTGCTGCATGCCTAATAAAAAATTACCACTGGAGAGAATGAAGTTTGAACGTTGCAGATTTGAATAATTAGGCCTACCTATTGGCAACCTGTTACAAGTAGAAAGATTCAAATAGAACTCCGTTTGAATAAGATGATGCCACGGATCAATGATTGTTTACCGGTGACCTTTGTTGTCACTCTCAAACATATGATTTAGCTAAATTCAAACTTGTTCAGTCGTATAATTTTGGGGAATGCATAAGACGCCCCCGGCAACTCCTCAGCCTGTGAACCCAAAAAAGGTTCTCATCAAAAGGTCCAGGGGGAATGCATCTTACAAGCTGTATCTGTTTAGTCCTAAGCTCTACAAACGATGCTTATTATTAGATTTAGTACATATATATGTAAAGAATTGCTATGGTTGAGCCGCAATATCAACGTTGGATTTAAAGCATCACACTTGAAGGTGTCTTAATGCTGCTTTCTTCAGATAAAAAATGCTTGGCCTATTTGTTGTTTGTTTGCTTTGTCGTCTTGTCGACTTTTTATGTGCTACAAGGAAATCGGAGGCTTTCGACCAAGGCGATACAAAATCATGACGATGAGAAACTAAGCATTTTTTATGAAACTTGGTGTAAAGTGAGAAGATACATGAAGGATTGGCGGAGAATCAAGCAAGGATGCGACGGTCTAATCGAATGGGGATCTACGAAAAGAGGCTGGGACGAACGAACAGATGCTGGAAAAAGCATAGTAATTGCCATGGATATACGACGCACATGTAAGTGGCGCTATAGCTTAGAAAAACATCATACATGAATAGTATTTGCGCTGTTAGGATATCATATCACATCAATTTACGAGTTTGTAGTCAATTGCTACGATTTTCTATGTACAAACTTTAGTTTCAAAATGTGTACCAAAAGGAGGATCTAGATACGAAATTCCATGGTACTAGCTCATATGATAACGTTGTACTAGCCCAATTTTATGGTTATTGCCCATGCCTATATATGTCAAATCGTCAAAGATAAGACTCAGATTTTTATCGTAAAGATAAAACGTAAAACGTAAAGATCAAATCAAATAAAACGTACAGAAATCTTGAATGTAAATTTTCCAATCGACTTTTTGCATTTGACTCAACATACGAAAAACGCTTAAAGAAAAGAAATAAAAGTGGCGTGATACGCTGGGAGTATGAGTAGTGACTTTTTTACAATGATATTTGTCAGATGAAATCGAAAAATTTGTACGAACACACAAAGCTTATATTACAACATTTTCAGAAAGACGACGCCATATTGAAAATCAAAACAGTATTCCTCAGTGCTAAATATAAACATGAAATATTTAAGCAAGTTATTCCAATGATGTAAAAGAGGCGTAAATGTTTTTATTAGGCCACTTTACTTGCAGCTGTTTTATTGTTTTCATCTTTAAGTTCGATCACATCAGACAATCATTATTTTTCCATAATCTCAATTTTATATAATTCAGATTTGCTTTTTATATGATGAATAAATATAGTGTATTGGAAGAAGATCAAACAATCTAGAAATGCCTTACAAACTAAGAACACTGAAAATATCTTTTCCTGTACTAAACAGGATTATTTCCTAATAACGGACCTTATAACATTACAAACATGGCTGTGCAATTAATATTTCTGGATTTCTAGTTGGAAAGCATTCGAATATAACTTATGCAAGCACTGGTGTACCCTGGGTACAAACTCACTCTATCTGCTACATACAAGGGTGTAGTGCTATCAAACTAACAAGGGGGTCTTCTGAGCCCCCTGGCACCACACCCCTAATTCAAACAAATCCATGGGCAGGGAAAATTTACTCCAGGATTACTACTGCTATTTCTTGTTCGTAAATAAAAGCCAAAATTATAGTGACTTTTTAAGGAAAAGACGAGCGTGTATCTGGCTCCACCTCATGATCCTCGACAACAATTCAAAGCTTTTTATACGAAGACAGAAAAGGCTGCTTTATTAAAAAACACGAAAAATTCACTTCGCTTTCCTCTCAAACTCACCACTCAAAAATATGAAGCTATTAGTTTTAATTGAAATTCATCTGAAAGATAATTTTACAACATTCTTTAGAACGTCGGCACTTTGTTTAGACAAAATTCATTTTCTGTTTACCAAAGATGAGTTCAGTCGAGTATGGATTGAATCAAGAACAAGTGACAACAGCGCAAAGAAAATTGGAGGTGATTCATGGCGGGTTCATTTACGAGGACCTTCTTCACCATCAGCCACTGTGTTTGATCATCGAAATGGGACTTATGAAGTTGCCTTTCTTCTCATTGAGCCGGGGACATACACTTTAAAGGCCTATTTGGAACATTCGTTGTGCGATGGGCTGAAGGATCCCCCGGATAACTGGTTCATTGTTGGTAAGAATCTCCACAAAATCTTATCAGGGTGTTTTCTGTAATTTGCAATAACCGTGTAGTCTAAAGTCTATGAGCCTTTATTATATGAATTTACTACACCCCTGCTATTTTGGCAGTTACATCAATTCTTTTATATACAACTTCTCGTGAGCTGTAACACAGGCTAGAAAATTCATACTTGCAGCAGGAAATACCATATTTTATAATTAAACAGCTATAAATATTTCGAATGAACGGCTTTGGAGGAAGAGCTGTTGGCGACATCTATTTGAGCATCAGTGATAATTCATAGCCGACAAAGAATTAGATCAAGACTTCATTAAGAATTTATGGTTTCGAATTGATGTTAAAATCATTATTTACATACTCTGTCTCCTCCTTAAACCTTGAATTCAATCAAGTATTTGAGTATTGTTTCACACCTGAATAACTGCAAGGGCCTTTCTTGTGATTGTACGAATATTTTTCCACGCACAACATTAAACAGATGTTTGGTTTAAAGGTACAACTGAAATTCATAAAATGAAAACAAGACGTAGTCAGTAAATGTGCAATAGGGTGGTTTTCTTTACAGGAAAATTTTTTACCTAATAGGCATTTTATTCACATTGCAATTAAGTGATCCGATAAATCTTGGTTTGTAGAGGATCGGATGACTTTCTGATCAGCGAGTCCGATATAGTGTGCGTTCTGCATGAACAAGGCCTACATGATATAAAAGGTTTCTCTCTACACAGGCAATGCGCAAGGAAAGTACCAGCCACAGGGAACTCTGGGATTGGACCATGCTTACATTTCCAAGAAACTAAATCCATTAAGACCATTGCAAATCAACATCCAGGAACAGGAATCCTTAGAGTATACCCAAGGTTTTTATCAACAGAACATACTATTATACAGATCTGTTTTCGAAAATGTTGCCTAAACAAAATGGAAAGCTAAAGAAAATCAAAAAGCCTGTGAAAAATGCAGCCAATGTTTAAATGGTAGCTGTGCTTACTTGAACCACTTGGCAACACTTCTTCGACTTAGTTTGATGGAATTATTGTAAACAGCACTTTCATATCATGATAGTCTTTACGTGGCATTAAGATACATAGAATTTGTAATAGACCTAATTTTAAAAACATGAAATTCTCTTTGTTGCCTCTTCGGCAATATCATAATTGTCAACCTAACTTGCAACATTTCCTGTTGGGTAGTGACCTTTGCAAAATGTAAACATCAAAATTTACAAGGTTGGGACTTTCATGACTCTATGAAACAAAACCTTGAAAACATGGTAACAAGTAACCTCCACGTAAATGACACCTCTCTAAAGGTGCTTATAAGCCATGAAAGTTAACTATATAGAAATCAAACTGTATATCCTTCTTTTGTGTCACAGCCGTCCAAATGCTGATGGAGAATGGCCACAAAATATGTAAAGATAACTGTAGTTTTATATGGGACGGACAAGGTAGATGGATTGATGACAAGTGGCACCCATACCAGCGCAGCAAATGTAAGCTACGTTTTATAACATAAAAGCTTTCTTTATTTTATAGGCGTGAATAGTGAACCCGTACGAGTGGACGATATTTTAAGTGGGCCAGAAATATTCTATCTGCAAGGCAACCTATAATATTGCGAACGAAACTTTGGAATGACATAAGAATACAGTACTTTGCAACAATAAAGATATATGTACATCTATAGTTGAAATGAAGGCTCTATGTGGGATAGTAAATCTGCAGCCTGCTAAAAGAAAAGTCAGCTTGGTACTAGTGTATCGGCAGGAAAGTCTGTGAACCTTAATTTTGATGCTACTTTGTCGTAACATCAACCTTTCCACCATTTCAACTCAAGGCTTTTGAAGTGAATGCAATAACCCGATTGGTTGCAGCGCTCATTGAGACATTTTTTGCTCATATTTCAGCTTTTGAGAAAGAAACTTCATTACGCCCAATTAACAAGAACCATGACGGGACATTGTGGTTTTACGGCGATTCAGTGATGGCACAATTTTACAATAACATCAAACTCTTTGGAAAACTTTGCCACATGTTCAGTGGTGGCTGTGGACATACCTATAACTGGGTATACAAAATCACTGGTATGACTTAAAATAGACTTGCTATATGCGTATGCTTTTTCGTGAAATCACATAGCTAAATAATACCGTACACCTGCTCTACAGCTAGATTGAACATTCCAGGCACTATTTTTTTCAAACCCCGGCAATGAATGGGCGACCTTTACAGTCATGTGCTCGCGTTTCTGGTAAGCTTACTTCGATCCACAACTGGGTATATATATATATATACTTCCATCTATGTTCTGATAATGACATTCATAATCACTTGTTTCATGAAAAATGCAAAACCCTCACTCTTGTTTTCCCTTATTAAAACCCTTTCAATTCCCATTTTATTTTCAAAACTTGTACATTGTTACGGCACATAGACCTTTCCTAAGACAGATATCCAACCTTCTAGGTTACAACACAACGCGTGCAAAAATTGAGAATGATGACAAGGATTTCAATGTAACAAGAATAACTGACGAGGTTTTGCAAGTCATTTCATCTCCTTGGATCAACAAACCCGAATCAGTCATCATTATGAACTTTGGACTCCATTTTACTGAAAGCTCGTCGTTTTCAAATTATAAAACTTTGATTACGAGGCTGATCAACATAATCAAACACGAAAAGAGGTTTCAGGGCAGAGTGATCTGGCGCACAACAACGGCCCTGAACAAACACAAACTTGGTGGAAAAGACCAGCATTCTAGAAGATTCCTAACGCAACAGGTCAGCCACTTACGAGACCTTTTCATGTTTAATGTGTACAGAATCAAGAAAACGGTCCAGCTTTCCCCTTGATAAGGAACAAAAACTTCCAGACAGAACAATTTAAGCAAGGCACCCTTAGGTGTGACAGTTTCCTCGTGGTCCTTTTCCTCCTCTTGGCCCCTTCTACCTTCCACCTTTTGTACCAGGCCATTTCCTAACCATATATGCAAATAAAGAATAAAGAATTACCCGACAGTGCACTATAATCAGTTCCCATCAAAAATGGAGTAAGTACGTTCTATCCGAAGTTCGTTGTAACAAGAGTAAGTAAAAATTGATTAAAACCAAGCACACCTTTTGCCGGGACCAAGCACACCAGTACATTAAATCAGAAAGTACGCAGTAACAGAGTACGTTTGAAAAAGTGGCCAACAAGAAAAAATGTGCCGATTCTGGCTTATATTAGATAACTGTATTGGTAGGTTCATGTTTGTCTTTAAGTGAAGTACACTATTTCGCCTATAGATACAACGAGTTCCTAGTTCATGAATGAGAGAGTTCCTAGTTCATTTTGTTTTCTCTTGTTTTCTATTACTGTGACAGACATTGAGAGTTCTTTACGCGGTGACTTGATCGTCTTATGATTGCATTTGGCGTCTCACCGACAAAATGATGACGATAATAAATATATCTTTTATATAATAAGCGTTTGAGGCAAAGTCATAATATAGTATATTTTCATCACGAAATTTTTAAACCCAAATAACTACTGAACGTTGTATTTTTTAATTTCAGCGAGTTATCCTGTTCAACGCCTTCGCAACTAGCCAAATGTGCAACGCAGGAATACCAATTTTAGACTTGTTTCCTTTGACCGATTCTTATCCAAAAGGATCTGGCATTGCAGGCTACCAGTTTGATGCTGTGCATTATGAGCATTCTACATTTGCAAAGGCTGAAAGACTGTTGGAGGAAGTGATGAAAAGGAAGGTCATCTAGATTCAGCCCATACGATGCTTCAGTCAAGAAATGAGCGACAAGATTTGCCAGCCCAACTCTGATGTACTGCACTTTGACACGCTTTGAAAGTGCAAGAACATAGGCTTAGTATTTTCACTATTTTTTTCAACTGGCTGTAAGCTACCATTTTTTAACGCTTAATTGCATTGTAGAAAAACTAGCTTTTAAACATTTATTTCGAAATAGTTAGAAAATTAGAGCGGGGGCTAATACCTTGGAAAATAAACAAAAGATCTTTGTTGGGGAGCCGAACTAGAGGAATTTTGTTAATGAGTAAGGCAACCCTCCGTCCTGAAGCCAAAAAGCATGCGCATGGAACGAATTCATTATTACGCGTGCTCTGACTCCAGGCCAGAGGGTTGACTCACTCAGAAACAAATTTCCTCTTGTTCACCTCCTTAACAAATTCATATTCATCATGTCAATCATAAATAAAGACTTTTTTACGATTTCTGTCTATTCTAGATGATTTTATTCATTCGTTGTAACTTAATTCTTGTAACTTTACTTTTTATAGAAAAATAATTGCAGTTTACAATTTTTCTGTACTGTTATATGACGTATACAAGATGACCCTGTGAAACTCTTAATCGAAATGTACATAAAATAATTTAGATTGACGTAGGAATAATTTTTTAATGGATAGTATTGTAAATACATTCAGCATAAATTTGATAGAAAAATATTTTTTTTATTTTAAATCAGCATTTAAAGCCATAAAGATCGTGTTTGTAATTATAGTTTGCAGAAAGCATTAGTTGAAAAAAGTAGTATTAGGCTTTTGTCAATAAGCTGTTGTGTACGAAAATGCAAGATTTTTCGGAATACAAAATTTAGATGCTGTTTTGTGTATTCTACTGCCATTGTCAATTTTCTGGGCTATTAACGTAATTTTTAAGAATTATTTCTACCACTCTATTTTTCCCCTTAAGAAATTATTACATGCTATTAAAATATGTGCAATTTTTAGGCCATTTTCTTCATGACTCCAATGGAATTGTTTTCTACTTTCGGAGCTACAAATAATGCTGCTTTACAGTAATATTATCCAGGGTACAAGAAAAGCTAAGTGTGAGTTTGTGCATCAGCTAAAGGACTGCGCAATAGCCAATAATAAGAGGAGAGGCGAAATAACAAGCAAGATTTCAGCATTTGCATTCATCGTCATCCATAACTTGTCGTATATAATCGACAGCAAACTAATCAAAAATACCTAGTATTTTATATCTACGATCCAAGAAGTCCTAAAGTACATTGCATTATGAATGACAAATAAAAAATGTTTATGTCTTTTTAATACTAGTAAATACGTCATTCACTCGCGTGCAATGATATCAGCACAGATATCTTCTAAAATGCTTGTATCTTAAGCCGCATACGAGGAAACGTGTGCGCTTAGGTCAACCACTGGCATAGAATTCACTTCATCTAGAAGCATAAACAGTTCAAATAGAGGCTATTCCAAATAAAGCTAAACCAGTCATCAAGTTCATCACTATCAGTCCCAGACGCACCCTACGTGAACAGGACGGCGTAGGCTTTGCAAATATCAACGTCGTTTTTACCGGGAAGACAGTATACTGTCTCACTGCATCTAACTATAAGAAAATTCACTGTATTTCTTATATTCTTGATGTTTAAGAGCTAGGCAGCACAAATTTCTTCACGAAGCTAGAAATTTTCAGGAATACGCGGATACAAGGAACCGTTGGCACCAATGCAGTGTAGAATACTGCTCTATTTTTCTTGGAAACATTGTCTTGAAATCCATTTTCCAGGAATCACTAGGGGGATATAACCTGTACTATCCAGGTGACTAATTTACGAGACTACCCAAGGTATTCTTCCAGTAGATCCTCCACAGATCTAAAAGCCGCAGCGTTGTAGTGTACAGCATCCCACGGTTTCTTCACGCCACCAGTGCCTTCTGGGTACGAGTCACTCATTGGGTACACATCAAGGATATCAATGCCATTGTTACACATGGTCGATGTTGCAAAAGCATTGAACATTTGAAGGCGCTAGAATAAAAATGAGACGATAAATTTTACAGATATTTATTTTTCAAAATTTTTTTAAAGATGGTATTACAGAGGATAATTTTCAAAATTAAAGCAGAAATCTAGCCATGGCAAGAATGGCATTTACCTTGAATAGAGTTTTGTTTCGCCTTCTTGGCCTATTTAACTTCAGGGGCCCACCTGACCTAGTTACCTTGGTTAAAAAAATTCTATCATTTAAGAAGTCATTTCTGTGTTCTTTAGCCGTTTGACATCTTTAATATTCAACTCATATGTGGAATCTTTTGGAGGAGTTGGTCGGAACATGGTTGACAAGGACAACTGCAAGGAGTAAAAAATATTTTTACTGCTCTAGATATTTTAGAAAGATGTAGATAAACCAAGAAAACATGGCGGGTACTAGATCGAGGTCTCTATGTTGCTCTACCTTGATTTCCTTGCTTTTGATAAACGTTTCACAAGTTAAAGGTGTGGAAGAAGACAGGATACTTCTCTGAATCTAAATACAAAGTAAAACTGTCAATGTTCACTTACCGGGACTGTCAAAAATCGAAGCCCTTTCGCATGTCTAGCACCTGTCTTTGGATCGCCATATCTTTCTTTAAATAGCGCTGTTGTTGTTTTCCAAATAGCCTTCCCATGAAAGCCTTGTGGTGAGTTATTATGCGTCTGGAGTAGGTCAATAACTCTCTCTATAAGTTTTCTATAGCTAGAAAAATTAACTCCTTGCACATAATGTAATCCCATGTTTATAATAATGACACTATGATCGTTCATGGATGGGTCGCTCAAAACATCATCTAGTTCTGAGATGATTCTGTCTATGCTAAAGTCCTTATTGTCCCATTCAGCTTTTGCCTGGGTAATGTTCATGTTTTGCAGAGCATAAACCCAGTTATAAGTATGATTGCAATGGTCAAATACTTCGTGGCAAAGAGCCCTCTTGGCTATAGACTTATAGAATAAATCTCCGACTGAGTCACCATATATCCAAAGTGTTCCATCTCTGTGATCGGTGGAGTCGCGTTCCTTCCGTGCTAAAACGACACCAATACAGCTTTCATATGAAAGTGCTGACGAAAAAATTTACCCGTCAACTCATTGGCAAAAAACCTTATGTACCTTATGTATCGTACCGTACGATTACCGTACGAGTTTGGAATAGTAAAATATAACGGCTTAAAATATACACATCTCGAATGAAGTTCTTATTTCAATCAAATTATTTATTTAGTAGATCTGTTCCGTATTTTATTCTCGGCAGACAAGCAGTCTGGCTCAATTAAGATGCAACATACGTAAAAATAAAACTCTTGCCCTGACGTCACAGGTAAGAAAAAAATTGATAACCAATCTAGTTCAGCGTGTTTATTGATAACCAATCTAGTACGACCAAATAATTAATGTATCAAAATAACGACTTTGTACATTTGAAAAGAATCTAAATCTAACAGAAAGAGTAAGAATTAGTTGGTCTTTCACAAATAAGTATTCCTCACCACTACAGTGATGTGATGCTCAGATGGCTGGTACAAATAACGTTTAAAATTGGGGAACATTTTAATACAACACAGGGCAGAAAGCTTTAAAATACATTTGATAATTAGATGAAGAAATGCTAAAAAACTGTAATTGATCTTCATGGCTGTGAAAAAAGGTATGGCTAAAGAAAATTGTGATCACATACCTGAAAGATGCTCCTTCCAAATGCTGTCAACCCAAGTCCCATATCCATCCCAAATCATGCAAGAGGGATTCGGGCAATACTTTTCCAAAACTCCATTCTCCCTCATTTCTGGAAAGGAAGTATTGTAGAGAGTTTCTGACTGAAAGGTTATCCCCACAAGAAAGTTATCAACCTATACAAACAATACTGAAACTAAGTAGCTATTAATCGAACAATTAATCAAAAAAGGTAACTAACTAACTAGCTACCTAAATAAGCAACTAACTAACTAACTAACTAGCTAACTAACTAACTAACTAACTAACTAACTAACTAACTAACTAACTAACTAACTAACTAACTAACTAACTAACTAACTAACTAACTAACTAACTAACTAACTAACTAACTAACTAACTAACTAACTAACTAACTAACTAACTAACTAACTAACTAACTATCTAACTAACTAACTGACAGACTGGCTGACTGGGAGGACAACAAACTAACAGAATAACTAGGAAGAAAGTAGTTTTAACCAAGTTATTAACAAGCACGTTTTTCTTTCATTTATTCTAATAGGCAAGCGGCACTGATTGGTCAACCTTTACAGTCATGTGCTCGTGTTTCTGATTGGCCTATTTCGATCCACAACTGGGTATATATATTTCTTAGCGTAGAGTTTTCGATCTATGTTCTGACGTTTTAAACTCTGAAGAGTGTCAGACGAAAAGCTTTAGTTTACTAAATGTTTGCTTTTTTCAAAGCTATTTACAAGTTTTGTACCACCAAAAGATTGTTTTCATTTATTTACTCATCTTTTAACAAGACAAGTTAACTCATTGCCAAACTGGTTAAACAACTAAATACTTATATGAAAATTAACTATCTTGTGAAATTGAAAAAAAATCACTAAATAACAGTTCTCTAAAAATATAGCCCAAAGCTAAGAGGTTGTACCTTCAAAAACTGATACATCAGTTGCATCGACAGTGAAATTGACTCCTCTTGGGAAATTCTCAAGGAGATAAGGATGCTCGGTTCCAGGCAAAGAGTCAGGATGCTGGTACTTCCCTTGGACGTTGCCTTCAAGGTAAACAAAACTTTAATGTCATACAGACAAACAGCCAGGAAAGTGTCAAAGAAAGTCATTAGAATGACATAAATATGAACAGCAAGATAGGATAATATTGATACTTAACTTGTTGATGCAAGTTAAAGTTGTGTTACCTTTGATAAACCAGTCCACAGGAGGATCCTTCATTCCATCGCATAATGTATAGTCGAGGAATACTTCTGCTTCATATTTTCCTGGCTCAGTTATGAGAAAAAACACTTCATAGGCCCCATTACCATGATCTATCACAGTAACAGGGACATTAGCTCTCCCTCTGATATGTATTCTCCAACTGTCACCACCAACGGTCTTCTTTGTACCGTCTTGTGTCACTGATTGGATAAAAAAGGTACTGTATTGCCCAGATGGTCGTATGTCAGTATCAAAAATATAGCTATATGCAGCTGTTGTTATTTCACTTGGTTTCCAATGCGGTTTGTAAGGAGACCAGACAGTATTGTCCTTGCATGGCTCGAGTATTCTCTTCCAATTAATTCTGTAATCGCGTTCTACACACCAATTTCTAAGCAATTTCAGCTCATCCTTTGTCATTAACCACTCTTCTCCATATTTTCTGTAATTAAGTGGTGTGCTTTGTAGATTATTCTCAGACATTGCTAAATCTGAATGAACTGTAGTATCCTGAGAAATCACTGTTCTTTTCTCTTCGTCCTTTTCTAGTTTCTCTACAGCAATTTCTACGGAGAAATTATCTAGCAGTTCTTCCTTATTCTCAATTAAACTTTTCGATTCTTCGCTTGGCATCTCTTTCGGTTCACTGCTTTTAGATGGTCTACTTTGAACTCCAGTCAACGGCTCACTTACAAGGAGCTCTTTTGGTTTCAATCTTTGAACAGAGAATGGGTACAAATTTCTTTTTTTCTGCAATAGTTTATAATTTCTCAAGAACTCCAAAGAGTGCCGTTCATCCTCTCCTTCATATAACTTCATATTGGTAAGGTCTTGCTTATTAGATATCTTCTCCAGCCATGCGTTAATGTTGAGCTTGGAAGCACATATCGCATTAAGCCTTTCTAAATTACTCAGGTTGACGATCCTTGTCGTGTACAGCAGTGTTACTAAACATATTATTGCGACTAGCACCATGTAGAGGTAACATCGCCTCAGTGTTTCATTGTGCATTTTAGCAACGTTACTGGACAGCCAGAGCTTAGCATTAACTAACTATCTCTGGCGCAGGCTTTAAAGGCCTCGTTAATGATATAAAGAACTCAGTAAACATTGCTTGTAGCTTGAAAATCCTATAGAAAAAAGATAGAATTAATCGAGAGAGATGAAGGCCTGCAGCAAGCATTGACGTGTAATTACTCAAGATTATATATTATCAATTATTCCTGATATTGGAGCAAAATTTTTAGGAAGAGGTGACTCAAAAATCCAAAACACAAGCAAATTTAACTTCAAGAAGATAAAACACTTAAGTAACTTAAGTAGGATTATTAAGTTGCCTAATGTTATGAAAGCAAGAGTTTCACGCAATATTCCATTGCAAGATAATGTGCTGCAACTCTGTCCAAGATTCACTTGGTCTTAGAACATGTCGAAAAACATTTGCACTTTAAGATTACATATTTTAATATGTGTTTATTATATGGTCATGGCAACAAGAAGATCAAAGATCGAAAAATTACACCTCCCCTAAACAACACCTGTAATCTAGTGATAATTAAGTCAGAAAGGAATAATAGGTTCAAAATGAATAACAACTCACCGCAGATTCGTCCTCTTTCTCTGGGTAGGCCTGAATGTTTTGTTTATATCTTCTATTTGTGCAGCTGAAATGTTTACGCTTCTCAATTTTCTATTAATTTTGAGTACAAGTCCATCGATAATTAGGCTAATTTCCTCACGCTCCTTTAATAGAAAGAATAATTATTCTCTCATATACTGACCTGGCCTATTTGTTTCTTAATTAGGTTAATTCAATAAGGGGCACTAGACATTAATGCAAGAGGCCTAACTCTGCAGGTACCAGCTGCAACATAATAGAAATGCCCGAGACCTTTCCTAAAGGTCAAATAATTCAGACCTTCGATTATTTTCTTGAATAAGTCTGTTACATTGCCTTTGTCGAAAATTAGTTTTTTTTCCAATATCGTGCAATACTGATCCTGTTTCCTGGCGAATGAAAAGCTAGGCCTTTGATAAGAGAACTGGTAACAAGATTTGGGTCTTACATCATATGCAAGATTAATGAGTACATCCTGCACCTGGAGATACAGTCCCCTTCTATTTTCAGCTTATTGTATCTACAACATGCTTGCATGGTAATGATTAAATGCTGGAAAAATAATTTTAAAAAATGTAAGTTGTGTCTGAAACAGTGGCGTGAAGATTACTCACGTAAGAGAGGAAACCAAATTAATACCAAATTAATAAGTCAAGTAATCTTCGACTGGATAGCAAGAGGTTTGAGAGAAGATCTTTACCTTTGTGTGCCAATAAGTGGGATTCGAAAACAGGATGTCTAAAATAGCTGGGAGCGAGGTCAGATAAAAATACTTTGCTTAAGCGGGCAGCTAGTCAGACCAAATAAGCTGGTGAATGTGTTTCAAATCCTGAATGCGAAAAAAACCAACATCACTCGCATTATATGTCACATTATATTACACCATGGCACCATATATAACTTTGCATTATATTACAATCATATTACCACATAGATCTCAACTCAATTCCAATTCAGTTTAGCCGAAAACATAGACAACTGAATCAGCTGAGAACTACTGAATCAAGTATTTTCATCTACTTGTGAGAAATCTTGCAAATGAGATATAGCCAAGTCAAAAACTCTTGAAAAGTTGCTAACAAAAACTCATCCTATTCGTTGGACACCAAGGCGTGCAGATCTGTCTTTTCTTTTAAAGCTATTTTAATTCTCGTTCTCAAAGAGTAGACCTCAGCAGCAGAGAAGATGGGGGAGAATTTTTACATTTCAGCGTGATAAATGATTACAGCTTTGATAAATGATTACGTAAGAAACGACTCTTTTTTGAAGACCGACATCTACATTTGGGAACAATCTTTTACGTCGGTAGAAAATATTTAATTGACAAAACAGGATCTAAACAAAAAAGAGCTATTGGTAAAACAATTATTCAATTAATAGACGATTCTAAAGTCCCCGCCTCAATACAAAAACATTAGAGGTGGCACCATTTATAAAAGCGCCATAAACGAAGCATTCACTGCTATATTCTCAAGGGGTGACGAAAAACGCCGGTCGGGCGGCAGCTTTCTGTATGATCACCTGGAAAGTGCCAAAAGCGTAACTGCAGGATTCAGATACAACAAGGTGATCATATGGAACACAAAACAAACATACACGAAGAAGTGGAATTCTAGATCGTCGAATGGAAATCGTCAATATAAAATAATGTGCTTGACTTTATAATCTATGTTTGTTACCGCCAAGGATATAGAGGCGAAGGGACTGTAAACGACTGCGAAAGCACGTAAACATTTTTCAGAACGTTTTAACCAAATGTGAAAAATACCAGATAGACTCTTCATCAATGAAAGTTACAAAATTGTTCGTGTGTGGAATCATGCTCAATTACTCTTGAGTTCAAGTTTCGAAATGAAAGATTCTAGTCTGTCCATGTCAGTATTAGTCCACGGCAAAAAACTCTCAGTGCACAGAAGAAAGGAGCAAAACAGGACGAAACATGCTAAACGTAACCCAGTCTCACCCTTCAATTCAAGGGCGTCGAGCAGTACAACAACAGTTTCGAATGAACACAGTTGTGGAGTAACAATGCAGGACCTTAGGGCTGCAGCGATGAATTGTATCAAAAACTCGAACGCTACCCGAAACATTCTACACCAAAATCACATAACTGGAAATATGGTTGGATCGGCGCTTGCACTAGCAACACAAAATTCCGAATCAGGTAAAGAGAGAACCTTGCCAGCAATCTCTAATAATGGTCCTAGCACTGAGGCCCTCAAGCCAAGAAAGGAAGCTTCTATCAATACGAAATGCCCCATTGTCATAAGCTTGAAAAAAACACTTGAAAAGCAAAATGAAAGAGAGCGGTATTGGAAAAGAAAAGGCATGGAATTGCCCCAGAAAGAAAATTTAAAACTGCCAACTTTGTCCCAAAATGCATTATTTCAGCATAAGAAACAGAAATATGAAGATTTTGAGGCTCAAGAGAGAGGAAAAAAAGCAAGAATCAGATGTCTGAAAAGACTGATAATGCCACGTATGTCGATGTATTAAATAAACTATCGAAGAAACTTTGCTTATTTGTGATTGCAGATGGATGCAACTAGTGCAAGATGCAGTTAAAATGATCAACCCCATTTGACGAATTTTGCAATGTAATATCCTTAATTTCTATTGTCTTCAAAAAAGGATTTCCCCTATTGCATACAAGCAAATGAATTTCTTAAGTTTGGCTATTTTTTATGTTAGTCCGTTATGAGATTAAGACAAAAGTAAGCGGGAGTAACATCACCACTCAGATCTCTGTCCTCCCAAAATAGATGATTGGTAGGTTGCAAGAGAAAAGCTGCAATCCCTGCCAAAAGCCTTGGAACACTAAAGGCAAATTTAGCCATCCCCCCTCTCCCCCATAAGAACAATGTTGATTTACAATAGAAAAAAGAGAGAGGTTATTGAGTACGCTTTTTCTTGTGGCCTGTATGACATGACAACTATCAACATTGTTTTGGGGAGAAAGAGGGTGGAAGTAGAAGTAGTCGGGCAAACAAATGTACGTTGTTATAATCGAAACTCTAGAGAAAGTGTAAAATAAACTATCCAGAACTCTATTCAAGCCTCTTTATAGAAAATTCTAGAGGAAAAATTTGTTCGAAAACAGTAGTGAGTAGCCGTGGGCGCTCCCCTAATCAAGAAGCAATGCACTTTTCATCTTCCTTGTTTTTTAAACAACAATTACAGAAATTAAATGGACTTGGAAACAAAACCTTGCAATATATAATGATTATATTTTGCCGAGTGTTGCCAAGCGTTTCACTAGCATCAAAAGGGAAACTTTCAAAAGCATTTAGTCATGTTCCTCTTTCAAATAAAAATCTATTTTTTTCATCTCAATCATTGTCATTACACATTACAATCTTTGTTTATATCGACTGTGCATTAAATTCCAAAAACACAAATTTTCGCACATCAATTAGCAACTAACATCATGAATAACCGTTCGAAAACAAGATGATGAGATCTCAAATTTGAATATTATGTATGACGTAATCTGGAAAATTTAATATTTCGAAAACGATTGTATATAATCTGGTTTGCGTTATTGTACTTAATCTGCTCTAAATTTTACAACTTTTTCATTAATTTCTTTTCAAATACACAACTCAACATTTTTACATAAATTACAAAGGTTACTTTGTTAGAATAACATTGCTTGAAAAAATACAAAATAAACAAAGCAAATGTTAGTAACTATGAACTGCACTAAAATTCTCAATAGGTTAGAAAATGATATTCAACTAATTTTAGTTCAAACAGATTGTGATTTCTCTGAATGGAGTCATAAGATCGTTGGGGATGGGGGGAAGTGGGATGGGAAAAAGTGGGATGGGGGAGGGGGCTAAAGCCTACGCTTTTTCGACAAAACAACTTTTTGGATGGCCTTCGGCACGTTAAACGTTTGTCAAATATCCGAAAAAAGCCCAAATTTGCCGACATGAACGCGATTTGAGGGCCCCTGCCCCAATGCCCCCATAATGACCATCACTGATACTAACCACGACTGATTCTACTTTAATCTGCAAGAGCGGCCTGGGGACAAAACAAGCCAACATAAGCCTGCATTACAGTACTAGGCAAACATAAAACGCTGGAAACTACTTGAATCTAACAGAAACACTCAGCCATCTTTGATAGCTGTTCTGACCAACCTTAGCTCGGATTTCTAATCAAATAAATAAAAAAAATAGGTTTCATAACAACCAACTGGTGGAAACGATTAGCATAATAGTAAGTAACAAAAACACATAATAACAAATTGAAGCAATTTTTAAGTGGAAATTTTTATGAAAATAAAGTATCTTTAGAATACCTGTTCATGTCGAAAATGAAGTTGTCTTTTGTCGTCTTTACTATACGTTTGCTTCTACGATCAAATTCCACTTCATCTGCTGGCATTGTAATTAGAATGTCTAATGGCACGCGGGATTTTTGAAAACGAAGACTGCGACGGATTGTGGCACTGCATCTTTCTTTAAGCTGTCAAGGAAAATATGAAGATAAATTACAAACATAATTTTCATCAAATCTTATGTAAAGGGAAGCAATTAAAACGAAGCCAAATCCTCTTAACTGAATAGCAATGAAAGCAACACAGAACCGTTCTTATATTCTAAAAGCAATGAATCTGTTATTTCGAAGTGATATCTACCCAATGAAATCTCTGGCTCCCAACATACATTAATCAAGAGAGTTCGAAACAGGGGTTTGAAAACTTTGCAAATTCACAAGTACAGTTGATAGGGTTTTATAGTAAATAGCATGATAAACAGTACATAACTTAATCAAAGTTACCAAAGTTTTAGATTTATTGTTTACACTTTAAGATCACCCTACATTTATTCACTTTAGATAAATTCCTCAAAATTTTCAACTCAAACCCAACCAATCTAACCAGATTGTAAATGGCAAAAAAGATTACATGAAACGAAGCATTCTTATCTTCTGGTGTGATTTCTTGAGCAGCTCTGAGAGTGCCTTTTCTAGTAGGTCTTGTGCTCGATGTAGTTGCCTTTGTAGCGGACTTGGAACTCTGAAAATGATGAAAATGCCTTGCAATTACATTGTAACTCAGAATAAAATATTGATTTAAGATGAAGATCATACCAGCAAGAACACATAATGGTGTGTATCGATAATTCGTTGAACAGGGAATTTTTGTTTTGCATTCTGATTTGACTAAACAGATCTTGTGCATTTCCAAATGAGAGCTTAGATTGTGCAGGCAGGTCAAAGGGGTACAGAGTTGAGGCGCCTACTTGATACACATGCAAAGGATAGCTGTGCGTAGCAGATGCAAAGAGAAAAAAGTCTATACAGGTCTTTGGCAATAATGTCTTATAAAAAGTTATCTTTATAAAAAATGGATAGAGATATAGAAGAGGGAAGTTTGGAGAGGCGTAAACGTAACGTCAAGGCAACACCTGTCAAGGGTAAGAAATCAGGGTAAATTCTTTTTCAAAACGACAGCCAATGGCATGGCGGGGATCACTAATCAAATTAATGTGCAGCTCACTTAAGAAGCTCATTCTTCTCATTGCTAGTTACACGTCATAGTGATGGAAACAATCATCTGGAAACTGAACTTTGTAGATGGCTTTTTCCGAATACTGAATTGATATCATAAATTAGCACGTGTACAAATTTCTCTGATATAATTCATATGATACCTTTCTTATGTCTTATATACATCTTACATTCGTGAAAGAAGTCTTCGGAAGAAATGGTCATTTGCAGCAGGTTTATGTGACAAAGTTTAAAGAAATCAAGTATATACTAAATGCCAACCTCGGGTGTCTTTTTCCCTACAAATTGATTGTCGTTTTCTTCTAGTGCTTTTTCTTTTAAAACTTCCGATGACTCCGATGAGCTTTGATTTTCATTTTTATCGGCATCGGTGTGACTTACTTCCTAAAATGCAAGAGCTTTAGTTATTAGAATGTATTTCCTGATTGTTTGATAAAAGGAGGCATAATGATAATATAAAGGAAATTGGAATTATTTAATTTCTGGACGGTGTAGAGTGAAAGGAATTTACCAAGTTCGAATTTGTAGCATCTTGCTTTCTTGTCACGTCTGATGTTGCTTCTATACCTTCATTATTAATGGGTGGAAGCTCTAGGTCTTCAAGAAGAGTTTGCTCAAATTGTGATTGCGATTTCACCACTGAATGTACCTGTTAGAAAGACAAGAACTTTGTAAAAGTAGCATATTAATAAAATACGTCTCTGATTAACAAAACCAGAATTGTCTTCAAGGATGATCCTGAAGTTATCTGATTGCATGATTACATCATTTATATGATTGCACGATAACATCATGATTACAAATGTTGTCAAACATAATCAATTGCAAATCGTGAGCCAAATTTTATCTGAAATTAATCAGTTATGAATCGCATGCTAAAAACATATGATTGTGCCAAAACGCATCTTTACATAAGAAGCGAAAGAAATTCATCAGCTACCTTGCTAGAGCTGATTTTAGCTGTTTTCTTCGCTTCCTCGGCAGATGTAGAATTTTCCAGTAATGTTTTTTCCAAAACAACTTTAAGTGGCTTTAACTCGATACCCTGTGATGAAGATAGACTAGAAAGATAAAAAGGGCGTAAATGGTATGACTTCAAAGGGAGGTATTTTCTACATCAACATTTGTCACTTCACGAATTACTTCTTAAGTGCTTCAAAGCTTACGTTAAGTATATTGGAATGATTACCATGAACCAAAATGCGGTGATATAAATTCCACTTACTCCAACCTGAATGAAAATACAAACCCTATACTAGCAAAAATAATGCAGGGTCTTTGAACAGCATAATTTTGATGAACAGCAAGTTATTATAAGATTATTGCACATAGCTTCCTACCAATTGTAATAATCCTATTAAACTAGTTCTCTAGATTAATTGAATAATGTAAATAATCAGTCATTTGGCCTCTAGGCCTCTGCTAGTAGGATGTTCTTGATAAATCGAATTTACCAGACTAGAATGTGAAGAGTCATTCGTCTTTGTCATGTTCGACTTAGTATCATTATTTTTCACACCATTGTTGGTCAACTCTAGGCTTTCCAGTAGTGAATGCTCAGAAACTGGCAATATGGACTTTACCAGCGTGGCCTCCTAATTAGAAAAGAAGCAAACTGGCATCAATTGTGGATATTTACTGTAGGGCATCAACGATACTACATCACAATTTATCTGCTTAAACTTTAATCGTTGTAACAGTTTATGCTAAGTTGTTTTCCGGTTTCATCGACATTTTATAAAATGGAAGAAAATATATTTAGAAGCTGTTTAACGCAAAATTTGCCCAAGATTTTTCGTTTTATTTTTTTTTGAGCTTATGTGAGCCCTCGACATAAGTCAAAATTTCCAGCAAATGTTGATTATTATCAAGTAGTATGTTTAGAGCAATTCAGCATAACATTTCATGTCAATTAACATCTTCCATTGAAAAAATAATCTGTGTCTATCTTAACTCAAATCTGGTTTGCAGCATAAGCTAGCGAAAACATTTATATAGATCTTAAATCTGGATAAGGATCTTAAATCTGGTTACAGAATATAAGAATTAACATTGATTGTTCACATTTCAGATTCAGTCTTGATATCTCCTTTGATAACATGTTGACCTCCTGATAGCTATTTTGTTGCATACCTTACATGATATATTTTGATTCGTGTTCTGAACATTTGTATTCGGATCTGAAAGGAGTGGCCTTTTGAGAGCAGCTTCAGGGTATTTCGACTTGCCTTCCTACATATGGACAATGTTGTGTTATTCTTTATCTGATAGAAGAAAAGGAAGAAGAACAAAAAAACAGAAGAAGAATAAGACAAAGGGAAGCATGAAAAGAAAAGAAGTGAATAAAAAGGAAGAAAAAACACTGCTTCTGTGTAGTCCAGTTAGACAAAAGCTACTGTCTTAATGGTCAGAATAAAATGTTTCAGATGGAATGTCTTAGAAAAATATCTATCATTAAAGTTTTCTTTAAAAGTGCATTTAATCAAGGTCGAATTTCCGTAAAGCCACTTAAATGCCAAAAGATTCGATAACAGATCACCTTGAATATAGCAAATAAGCAAAATTCCTTTAAGAATTAAAAAATGATTGGATACAATGTGTTATTAGAAAAATAATAATTGGTTAATTCAGACTTACCTTAAAATATTCTTCGTTTACATCGTTGATCGAATTGCTCGGCAGTGGTTCACATTGTTCCATAATTGTTCTTTCCAAATTTTGACTGTTCACAATCTCTATCGTTTTCTGTTAGGATGATCAGTGAATCAAGTAACAAAAGGTACTACTTGGAATTGTACTAAAAGATACTTTAATGATTGGCTCAATACTTTTTTAAATCTACTTGCATTATGTCTTAATGCACGTTGAGACATATCGCACATGGAATAATGCTAAGAAGATACACATTTGTATGATGCAAGAATAGATCTCCAAAGAGCAACATTCTCTATTCTGTGTACACATAAATTAACTTTCCAGATAAGTTTTCTTGTACAAAAACATGGATTGTGGTGCAAGAGCACATATCAGAACCAAATACATTGTGTTTAAGTGCAAATACTTTGACAGGTAGTAGAATGCAGACAACACCATATAATATAATAATGGGTTTGTGTTTCTTATTAGAGAACATAGACTTATATAACTAAAATATATTATCTTAACATTGGATTAACTTAAATCGTCAAGCCATTATTTAATAACAGAATATGCCAAGATCTACTCACCGGAGATTTCGAGAAACTAGAGCAAGATACTTTGGAATCTTTAAATTTGCTAAGGTAACTTGGTGTCTGAAACAAGAAATTTTGAATTGTGTTCTTCTGTGAATTGTGGTGAATTGTGAATCAAGAAATTTCTTCATAAAAGTACAACAACTGATTAAAAATTTAGCATATAAGGTAAAAGCACTACTCGATCGATAATGCTGATATAAAGCAAACAGGACTGCCTTCAGTTGAAGTATGGGGAGAGGGGGTATAGTTCATAGAATGAGAGGTTGTGTCCCAATAGCTGTGTTCAGCAATTTAAATGTAGTACGGTTAGTTATCATTGATTTGGTCAGGTACTGTCCTGTAACTTACGATATTGCTAGAACAAATAAGAAGAGCTTTCATCAAGATGCACCAGATTATAAAACTAGGGAAAATCATTCCCGAAAGTCACCAATGATAACAAAAGATCTGCTAGTTTAAGACCATTAGCATACCTTGAAGACGTATGTACGAGCCAGCATGTATTCTTTTGGCAATGTTAATCTCTTCTCTCTAACATTCTCTCTAATGAATGACATTGGACTATATTTCCTTGCCTTCCTTTTCTTTTGCTTCTGTAGACACCAGGTGGAATATATGCAATAAATTTTAAAAATGCTGCAATATTTGATACACCATGGAAACTTCTTACACTGAATTACGCTAACGGTAATATTTTGGTTTGTACTCTATGGTGCTCAGTTTGGGTTTTTCACATGCGTACATCAGACTGGATAAATCAAACTATTTTCTCTAGTGTGAAGAGCTCCAATGTATGCGAATTTGGCCCTATTTGTATAGAAATTTCTCTATGAAAAATTAAATCATAGGAACTATGCACCCTATTGGCCCATTATCGACAGATAAAACAATAACACATATAAAGATAGGAAGGTAGGAACAATATGTACCAAATTTTACATTTACATACCATTAGTGCAGCTAAAATAAATGGGGATGATTTGCCAATTGTTGAAAGACAATTATTTGTTTCAAGCTTTCTTCCTTCTGCTTCACATGGCTTTGTGAAATCCATTGACACAGCTTCATAGTTTGTTCTATTTACAGCTAAAGTAGACAAATGAAATACAGATATGATCCAACATAGTGTCTTGTTTCTCAAAACTCCCATAGAGTGCAGTAGAGAAGCATAAGATCATAGTGTAGAGCAGTGGTGCTCTTGCACAAGGTGGCTCTTGCACAGAATGTTGAGAAAAACAATAGCAATAGTACAAACTTGCCAATTTTCAGCATAAACAGGAGGGGCTTGGGTGTAGAGAAAAATTTGTGGTTTTTCTAAGACAGAAGAAATCTAGAAGCCATGTACATCAATATGTTATGGGTTGCGACAAAACGTAGCATACCTTTTGGCTCAGGGTTGACCTACCTGTTCGGTTTTACTAAACTATGGAATCACCCAAAAAGAGCAAACACGACCCATAACCAGCCAAAACCAGCCAAAACCAGATTACACCCAAAATTACGACCCAAAATTACACAGAACGACCCAAAATTACGCAAATAGCATCGAGCAGAACGACCGTTTTTCGCGCCTTTTTTCGTCCTGTGCACGGGGGCTGAGAGTGGGAAACCAATAAAATGGAGGCGATGCTGTCCACCCTTCTAGATGCAGACAGGCACCGCGGAGCGTCGAGAAACGTGGGGGGTCTAAAACAGTGGGGGGGGGCTAAACCGTATAAAAAGAGGCTTTTCTGGTAGTTTGATACTTAATATTTGGCATTTTTTGCAAAAAGTATGCTAAAGCCCTCCCCCAGCCCCCCTGCTCCGCGGTACCTGGCAGAGCAGGTAATATGTTTTCTTTTTCACTTCTTTTCTCTTCTTTTCACTCCCAGCTGTACCTTTTCTTTGCCTGTTTCTTTTTGCGTGCTGGTCAGAGGCCTAAGAGGCCAAAATCAACAACGGCATTTTCTGTATAAACCATCCTCATAATGATCGAGTACATTCTCATCATCATCATAAGTCATAACCTATTAAGTACGATGGTTGCCAATTCAGAAATATTTTAGATTTGTCTATGTCCTATGGTGATTCTTGCAGCTTGTTATCATACCAGGGTTGGGCTGGAATTCGAAAAAAAGGCACACTTGGTCCGCTAATTTTTTTAAATTTTTCCCACCTCCAAGTTTATTAAAAGCCCCCATTTATAAATTTTTCCTTTTTTTATCTGAGCAAGGTTTTTTCTTATTGAAATATCCCGGTCATAGGTAGCCAAATATTATCTTGGCTTTCTACTCTCAGCCCCCGTGCACAAGACGAAAAAGGGCGCGAAAAACAGTCGTTCTGCTCGATGCTATTTGCGACGTTTTGGATCGTTTTGGGTCGTTACGGCTGGTTTTGGCTGCTTATTGGTCGTTTTGGCTCGTTTTGGGTGATGGTGCAACAATGGTGCACATCTAGTGCAGCAATGGCCTAACACAGAGGGATTTGGCGTAGCAATGGCTTACCACAGATCAATTTGATGTAGCACTGGCATAGGCTTAGTGTACTTACTTCTGCACTAAAACAAGAAAGTTACGGAGAGGAAAATTGCATAGTTTGTGTTCAAAACAAATGCATCATGATTATTTTGCAACTTTTTTTGCAAGTTGTCCTTCAAGATAACTTGGATCAGATAAAAACATTTCCACTTACTGCATCATCTTTTCATTTTCAAATTACTATGCAAGATACCTACATCTTTATCATCCATAAATATGGTACATTATGCAAGCATTGATAGTTTCTCTGGGCATCCAAGAGAAAACAAACATTCTTAAGGAGTTTTGGGCCATCGCTATTGTGCTCAAATCTCATTTCTGGAGAAACTGGGTGAGCCATCGTTTATTTGCTGATAAGTCTGAAAATTTCCTGACAAAGGACCCCTGCATGGCAAAAGCCTCTTCATTTTTGAAAAACAAACTTGCAAAAATATATACAAAAATAATTGCAAAAACATTCTTGATGTGTTCATTTTGAATGCAAAGCTAATGAAATTTTTCTTGCTTTAAGTTTTTTTGTTGTGGTGCAGAGGTATGCCACTGATATACCAACAGGTAGGCAAACTCTACATCAAAAGGTACGCCAATGACATAGGTCACATTTTGCCACAGCCCATATGTTACAAGTATCAATCAAATCTGCTTTGCAATTTGAATATAACAAACTTTAAAGGAACTGGCTTCCAAAAGCAACTAGGCTGTTTAATGAACAGAGAAGAAATTGACAGACCTTTTATTGGAGAAAGCATTGGGCCATTGGTTAAAGCATTGCTCATCTTATCTCCTCCTTCAAGACAGGTAGAATTCTTTGGGGATACCTCTTTTTCTTGGTCTTTGATTGTATCAATTATCAAAGACTTTTCAATAGACCCAGTAGAGTTCTCTTGGCCCTTGCATGTGAATTGCTCCATAGGTTGGCTGTCTCTTTGCTGGCAATGCCCACTTGTATCATTTACTCTGGAATCAATACTGCTGTTGCATCTCCATGTTGATTCTAAATTGTGTAGATTTCCATTCTTGAGCTTAGGCGCTGTTGAAGTTTGAGCAGAGGAATCTGGGAGCCAAAGTAGAAGCAAAATAAATAGTGAGAGTGATTGAAGACATTATTTGTTTACAACTATGAGCTTATGCCTACAACAGATTTGTCTTAGCTTCAATTGAAAGCAAGGAAATAGTATACAAAAAAGTGAGTATTTACCTTTATTTGAAAGATCCCTGAAAATGTCATCATGCACATTAACATTTCTTTTTAACAGACAAGGACGGCTTCTTGAGTATGTTTTTATGATTGATCTTTTGTTCCATGGCACATTTCCATATTTCACTTTTAAATGATTAACTTTTCTTGGTGTTTCTGTTTCTGTTGAAATTTTCTTCTTCATCCTTGATAGACACTACAAATAACAAAATGGGCTAAAGGTTAATTAATGTATATTGGTAGGATTTCCAGAAAAAAATAGTATATGAAAAAAAAACTAAGCCAACATTTTGAATAAATATTAGAGGCTATCCATTGCAGACATATACAATTATCTTGTGGTTCACATATAATTGTAACTTGGACTACAGTTGACTGCAGGCAGGCCCATCGCTAGCTATTGCGCTCAAGGGGGGTTTTCAAGACCCATTTGCTGACAAGTAGGTGAGCCATCCTTTATTTGCTGACAAGTTTGGAAATTTGTAAACTAGCCACCGCTGGATGGCAAAAGCTCCTTGTTTTTACAATGGGTTTTTTCAGGGGGGTTGTTACACCCAACTGCCCCCCTTAGAAATACCTTTCGAATATATTCCCCTGGAACCATATCAGATTTGAAAAAAATAAGAATGCTTTTTTGAAGAATTTATTTAGGCTCAAAACGAAAATTTCTTTAAGAATATCGAACCCTGCTTCAATGTTCTGTCTTCAGCAGGGAGCAGAGATAATTTTGCTGGCTAACAAAAAGTTGAAGAAAATCTCAATGATTTTCCTGAATCAAAAAGCTCACAAACTATGACAAGCCAGTATCAAACCTTCGTCATTCAACAAGAACAAAATAAAAAATACCCCGAAACAAACAGGCTAGTAACTCAGCCTTTAGTATTTTGTAAGTAGTATTTTGCTATCTTGTTGACATGACACGCAAATGAAGATGAAATGGACCACAGTGAATGAAAAATATGCAAACTAGAGCCTTCGTAATTGACAGATACTTAGTTACCTGCCTATAGCTCACGCTCGCCAATTTGTCTTCTTATAACAGGGTTACTCTCGTTTCTCGAAAGAAACATGTCCGCTGTAAGTGGTCCGCAACTGTGATTACTTTCGTGATTTTTTGTGTATCAACATCGGGAAGGGGAGACTGGGCCGAGCTTTTCGAGCATTTCCCGCCAAATATTGCGTGATCACATCAATGTTTTCATAGCGAGAAGCAAGAAAGAAAAAAGATCTAGGATTGCTTTTGAAAAAAATAAAATCAACAACTATTTATTGAAGATTTTATTTTTGAATGCTTTCTGATAAACGACATTAATGAGAAGCAAAATAGACACAGAAGGAAGAAAAGGTAACAAAAACCATAATCGATCAACAGCATTCACTGCATTTTTGTGAGCATGCATATCATAAGCTTCGTACGATCGTATTTTGAATTTTTTAGACAAAATTGATTAATTTTTGGCATTTTATTCATTTGAATAAGGCAGGGTGATATGCCAGCCTTATTTTGTATGTTTTGAACAATGTTGCGATTTACGTATGCAGTGCTATTCTTAATTGGGAAGATCAAAGCGGTATCATAACAGCCTCCACCAAAGCCATGATGTAATAAAAAACCACATAATGATTGAAATGAAATTTTTTTAACAGAATGTCGTCTGTGATCCAAGATTCTTCAGACCTTCACTGTGTTCCCTGCTCTCCATTCATTCAAAGAACACAATTATGTACTCCATTACGTAGTGTTCCTGACGTTGAAGACGTTAGCAGCCCAAACAATACATCATTACGAACAAAGGGTAGGCAAGGTTTTCTGTATTTATCCGTAAACTGTCATCGATTACCTCGCCTGTTGTCTTTTTTGACGATAGCTTCATAGCGAACCGATATTTGAAAAAGCTTTGATTAATATTTATTTTAGAAAGCATGATTAAGTTGTTTAGTACGTATGGAAAGCCATAATTGTGTCCAGTTTTGATCTCGTTACAGATGTTATTGAAAATTACTGGCTGCCTAAATCAGCATCAAATGATCAATTCCTCCTCCTTTCCCTGGTGTAAACATATCTATTCAAATTTCAACAGTAATTTTGATGCTTCTTATCCAGAGGAGTGTCATAGATAAAACACTTTACTGAAGATTTGTTGACTTTATTGCTTTCTTTTAACCGGCTTTTGACGAACTCTAATGGGCATAAATATTTGCCTTTAAGCTAAAGTTTCTGCTTTTCTAATATAAAAAATTTACATGATAGCACGTTTGCAAAGATCTGCGAAGAACTTTCAACAAATCAGTTCTCCGGTGACCCCACAACTGAACTCAAGATTTACAGAACTATATCAAGTGCCCTCATTAACACCGATAGCAGCTACTTGCTTTCGCATTCCTGCCGCAGGTAACAAACAAACATTTTGAATGCTTCCTTGAACAAAATGACCAAGTTGATTGTTGGGCCTTGTTTGAATGTTGGGGGATGTTTACAATATGTCAAGTATATATTCATCTCAAAGTTGATTCAGTTACGATATCAAAAAGCTGTATGAAACATAACCAAGAAGTTGAATGCTGTTCTTATATGTTATGATAGCGTAGGATTCCATTCACCCTTAAGAACAACCACGGTAAAAATAATTGTTTGCACTGTGTCCACCCTTAAACATTTGTCACTATTGGTACTGATCAAATTGCTATGCATTTTTCCAAAAAAATTAGGTGTTTTGATTGAAACCTGAAAACGTTATCAAAATCATTGAACCCATTTCTACCACAAATTTTCTACTTTACTTTATAATGCAAGCTTTTTGTATATTTTTTCAAATTAAATAAAAATTCACTTGCAATATAAACACGAGTATTCAACAAGATACCTTCAACAAATGTCATCTGTGTTAACACTACATTGCAGAGCAGATGGTTCCAGTTAATTCTCCACTTGAATATGCTACCCCTAATAGTCAATTTGGTGACCAATTGGTACAAGAAACGACGTCTACTACAACTCCAGTTCGTCAATGGCCCAAACAGATTGTTGCTGAAGACCACAAGAGGCCTAAAAGACTATGTTCGATGAGAAAGAAAGAACACATGCAGTCACGGGATAACAGAGAAGAAAGGCCAATCAAGACATTTGATTTATTTTCTGGAGAACAAATATTTCTATAAATTCACTTTAGCAACAGTAATGCTTTGCGTTTCTCAAAGAGTTCAAACAAACAATATTTCTTTGCACGGGAGTAATAAACACAGTTACGTCAGCCAAATTGCTCAACTTACCTGCGCTGTTATTTTAATGTCTTAAAAATAACAATATTACATATCAAGGCCTTAAATGATGCCTAGTGGAGAAAATGCATACTGCTAAACTGCTCGATGACTCAGCAAGAAATTTAAAATAGCCTCCAGTTTCCGTTCTCGGGAGTTTGTTTATATCGAAAGTAAACGATATTGAAAGTAAACGATATTGAAAGTAAACAATATTGAAAGTAAACAATATTGAAAGCAAACGATATTGAAAGTATACTCTAAGCTGACTGCGAAATGCAAAATAACAAGAGAAAATTATTACAACTTCAATTAAGGATTATCTGAATGACAAGTACAATAAATATTCTATATTTAACTAAATTCCAGTTTAATGTGCAAATGAAATACCACAAATAACAAGGTATTAAGATTGATACAAATACTGTAAGGGGAAATAGCATCTTGGTAAATTAATAAGATTATTGTAAATACTACAATATGATGGGCCTCCGAGCTAAACCGATCTTGAAATATTCACAGCTTTATCAACTCATATCACATATCTTTTCTTTATAGCAACCAACATTCTGTCGCTTTTCAAATACTAAAAAAAGCCATAATGAAAATGATTCTTAAGTCTACACAAAAATCTCTTCGCCTTGAAAACTTCTTAGAATTTACCTTTACCGTATCCAATAAATAGTTGCTATGGTATCATTGATCTAATTAAAATGTCCCACAGATAGAGTAAGAAAAATATGTTTGCATTGTACAGATAAACTATGTGTATAGAAACTAAACAAATATAAGATAAAAGTTTCAGCTAATATGAGAAATTGCGCACGAAACCAACATTTGTTTTTATGAATAACATTATATCTTCTTCATTATATTTCTTAACGGAAATACAGAAAGCAGCTGAATATTTTGCCGCTTAAAAACACTAGAAACATTAACAAAGTCTTTAACTCTTCGTATATCAATCCGCTCCTAATAGCAGAGTTTCTTAACTTAAATTTGACTCAATATGAATTATATCCTAAGCGGAGATATATCGCAAAAACCTTTCTGCTCACCAAAGTATCGGTAGCATGTTCACGTCCATACTTGATGTTCATGTTATGATTTTTGTATACAAAATGCCCAGCATCATAGAAACATCAGACGGTGAAGGTACGCACTATTGAGCCAAGAAAAGACGAGTCTCCTTCTGGGTATAGCCTCTTTATAAGTCTCCTTAGAAGTTCTACAGCCATCAGTCCATCGGGAGTCTCTTTGTAGTATGTGGTGGAAAACGCCTCGTATTGTTCAAGTAAATTCATAAGTCTAAAAAAGGGTGAAAATCTTCATGAAAAATCTGTAGGATCGATAGAACGTTGCAGCATCGATGCATGACAGCCACCGATGCACACAAACTTAAATGCAAAAAGACACACACTTCTCTTTGCTTTCAAGAATGACAGCCCCTTAAATGTTTACATAATGTTGAATAAATAAACAACTTTAGAAAACTTACTTATTTGACAGGTCACTTCTTTGAATTTGTGAGAGATTAAGCACAGTTGCGTCAGCTGTTGTATTAGTTTTAGGCTTTTGTAAAGCAAGACCAAATCTGTGAATAGAAAACGTTAAGGGTCTATATACCATTGCTTCATACACAATAGTGATTGACTAACTGATTTTACGTTCCTTTCCTTAAACATTTGTTTGGAAAAGGGAACATTTCCTTGACATATATTGAAAATGGTTTTTGATTGGCACTTACCAAGCCCTGCAAATCTGTGAATAGAAAAAGTTAATGGTTTTTGATTGGCACTTACTAAGAACTGCAAATCGAGGAACAGAAAGCCAATCACAAGTGTCTTATGTAATATTCACAAACATCCACACGCACAATTTATAAACTCGTAAAGTTTTCAGGTCAATATCTGGAAATATTCAGATAATATTCGATGGAAGAATATAGGTTTGACATCCTAAAGCCTGCTGAATTCTTATGTAAAATATGAATTTAGTTATTTTGTATGATTACTGGAGAATACCTTTAAGGCATATTGTATTGGGAGGATCTGGGAATTTTCCTCCATATCTTAAAATTTCTTTTGAAAATTACAAAAGTTTGAGAACAAAAGTAAGAATTTTAATATTACTCACTTGCAAAGGAACCCCATAATCTTTAACAATGAATTCAATTCTGACGTTAGTAACTCTTTAAAACGGCTTTTAATCTTGGACTTGCCTATCTTGTCCTCCAGTTGTTTCAGTGATATTGCTGATATCTGGAAAAATTGAGAGAAGAGTTATTACATGCAACTTATATCGCAATAATAACAATTCCGTTCAAAACAAAATGTCTTGAACTATAGAAAATTTACTTCAAGGTCACCGGGCCCCTTTTTATATTACACTTAACACAAATTGAAATTTAGCTTGCTCATCAACTTAGGAACAAAAAAAACATGTAAGCAAATTTTGGTTTTTTTAGTTGATATAGCAGCTACCATTACAATTTTGCTAGTAATTACGTTCAGTAACAGATTTCCATTAGGAAACAATTTTCAAAATGACAAGCCTGCTCTATCTATGCAAACTGAAGGAATCAAAGTAGTTATGCTTGTCCATATGCTTATCTTCTATTATTGGTTACTATGAATAAACGCTGATTCTCAAATAAACAGCTCCCTTTTAAACACGCCTCTTTTATCTACACACCCTGGGTACCAGAGCCTTATGAATCCGGGGATAAAGTATTGCAGACGGCTGCAGTGGCGAAAAACAGATTCGAACTATATTCTTGAGACTAAATAATTGAGACTCTGGCACCCAAGTATCCACATTAAGATGAAAATAAACGCCACCCTCTAGTAAACACTACATTACATTCCTTAAAAATTAGAGAGAAAACACAGTATAATTTTTACTGGTCTAATTATTGAAAATAGTGTACTTCTCAATTCGACAATTCATCACCACTATTTTATATAAAATAAAAATCAATCAGTGGAAGGTATGTGTGAGCCTATGCTCACTAAGAGCCCCAGATTGCAAACGTAGATTTGGCATACATCTTAAGCCCATATTGTCATTTGCGTATTATTAAGCTTTTCTTTCAGTCTAATCATTGAAAATATATTGCATGTTAATTTGATGATAAGAATAGTTTTATGCCCTTGCTGTCATATTTTATTCATTCAAGGAGTGCGCGTTGAAAACGGTATAGCAAAGTTATTGGTTCATCCAGTATTCCGCGGGTTTTTGAGATCTAGCTAATTTCCATTTAACGGGCACCCTATGGACAGAGCATGGTGTTGACAATAAAGAAACTGCTGAACTTCAACACTTCTAGCTTTCAAAGTGGAGGAGGGTGTTAAGTTTACCCCTTTAACATAATCCTACAGTTTTCGCTGTAATTAAATGCATTTTCTATTTCCACGCTCATTCCCCTTACTGACCCACCAAATCTATATCACCCCAAATACCATACCTTTAAGTTCCAAATTATGTGTCAAAATTTACTGATTATAATAGCAACACTGGCCTCAGTAATGTTATTTTACAGCCAGAATAGAAAATAGCAGTTGGTACACTGCTGGAATTTTCGAGCATCAATGTTTGCCAGTGACAGAATACTAAAGCATGAGCATTCAGAAATATACAAACCTATAATGACAACCCACAAAAATCATAGAAAAAATTGATAAGCATGAAATGGGTGATTTAAATACCTTGAGGTTTTCAAAGGATAACGAGCTTGCACTGAGTTCATCTGTTGCATTTAGAAGTTCTTTGAGCTGCCCAAACTGAGCTGATTCGGTATTTGGGCTACTAGATTCTCCCGTAGAGTTATAGTAGCTCTCTTTGGAAATCAACGAAATCTGTTCTATGCTGCTTAAAGTCAATACCAGGTTCCCAATGATATCATTGTCATCTTCGTATATATGCCTGTTTATGATTGCTGTTAGCATGTCTTCATCTAAAACCTGAAGAATAATCAGTATGATGTTTGTAATTTCATTCGCCTAGTTGACAATTATCATTAATCTCATTCTTTTGCATGCACAATCATTGCCAAGAGTACTTGGAACACCAAGCAATCTGCGTTGTGTTTTTATATTTTTCAATTCTTTTCCCGCATACTCCTATTTAAGCATCCTCTTCTTCCCTAAACAATGTTGATAATTAAGAAAAATATCATTAAAGAAGCGAAAAAGAAAGTGCTTCCAAAAGCGTCTCATGTCTCAACAGCGTAACGTCATAACATTTTTTTACATCTGCTTTACTTTTTGAACTTTACAATATCATTTTATGTTTCGTATTGCAAATAAATGGTCATTACCATATTTCATCAAAAAGAAACAATACGAACTATACAATGCTATGACAGAAAATGATGTAAATATTTGTATTTAGTAGAAAATGCAGAAATGTACTGTCAAAAATGACAAGGCCCATCTCACCATAACAGGAGACGATCTCCATGACATTGCAGAGCATATAGCTATTGACACGAAATCTAGAGTCAAGCAGCACAGACTCATTGACTTTATAGGAGATCGAAGAACAACTCCGAGGGAGCCAGATTTCTTTAATGTTCGCTGGCTATTTTCGAAACACTTCAAACTCGATCGAACGTCGTTGATTAGTCTAAAAGAAAACGATCGTGAAATGATCTCAAAAAAGAAGCAGCTTCATTAAACAGGGCGTTAGACGTTCTAAAATAACTCTTAATGTTTGTAACAATATAAGCAAAAATAAATTATGTAACATTGAATTTTAAGAATTTTTTTGAAAGGGTTTTAAATGGATTTCAGCTCGAGGATTTACAGCTAGATAAGCAAAGAGCAGAAGAAAATGCACCCGACACGGATGGATCTTGTTATTAAGTCGGAGTAATTTTCTTGATGTTTCTACTAATTTTTTTGGGTAATTTTAGAAGCATTAATACAAACAACCAATTCTATATATCGGAACTCTATTATAATATATTCTTGGCAACTACATTCCCTCTCTGCTCAATAACAATGAATGAATGGCAAATAGAGCTTGAGATTCAACTGAATTAGCAACAAGGCGAAAGGGTCATTTAAAAGAGCAAATGATGACAAACTCTTAAAGATGCAGCTAAAAATGATAAACAAATCATACGTTCTATGATCTTCATATGATGGAGATATCAGATGAGCAACCCTGTAAAACAGATAAAGGTTTGAATAGGATTAAAGTATCAAGAATAAAGTCAATAAAAATGACATCGACAACAATAAAGACAGCAACAGCAAAACAACAGCAACAACAACAACAACATTAAAAGTATAAACCAAACGGAATCCTGAAATCTTGTATATTCTATTTCCTCAATAGACTAAAAACATTGCTTCTGAACCATAAAATTTTCGCATAACAAGGCTTATGGTGTCATCCATAACTCTTAACTAATCCTGGTATAGGCTTCCAAACACTTTTAGCTAGTAAAGGCAATTGTTCAAAAACACAACTTACATGCCAATGCTTCAAACCTGCATTCATTAATTGAAGAGCCACTGTAAGCAGAATGTTATTTGACAAAATATACTATTTTTAAATGAGCAGTCGTAAATAACGATACCCTAAGGTGAGTTTAATAGAAAATCACATTAAGTCAGATATACCCTACATCACATACCCTAGAAAGAAAATGAAGTCACACATACCCTAGATCCGCAAGATACTCTGTGGTTAATTCTTTCTTTCCTTCCTAGAACAATTATATACGTAATACATTAAGTTTATTTTTTAAAAAGAGGGCCAGTCATGAAACTCATCAACACTACTCTTGCAAGTGTGAAAAGCGTATTATATTGAAAACGATGAACAATGCAACGCGTCGAGAACAAACGATAACAAACACATAAATCTAGATAGCTGATATTTTGCCCCAACAATTTTAGATAGCTGATACTTCATCAGAGCAAAAGTAGACGTAGGGTTACAAAGATTGTATAATGTGCCAATGATAATTTATTTGTAAGTGTAAATTACAATAAATGACGAAAATCTTTTTATGACATCTTAATCACGCAACAAAGAGACTACTAATGAAAACTGCAAGATCACTGAATCGAAACATATCTAGGATTGACTTACGCGTAGCATGTTTAGGCAGATCAAATTGTGACTAATATCCATTAATCTGACTGGCTGCTGCAAGATTATCTCTGAATCAAGTAGCAGGGTTAGCACATTGCTGACGCAAAACTCATGAAGCTCCTCGATTCTTCTCACCATATCATTATCTGTTATCCCTGAAAGCTATAAAAGTATTTTCAGTGGCACTGCTGAATCACTGTCTGTTATTGCTAAGAGCTATAAAAGTATTTTCAGTGGCACTGCTGAATCACTGTCTGTTATTGCTAAGAGCTATAAAAGTATTTTCAGTGGCACTGCTAAATCACTGTCTGTTATTGCTAAAAGCTATTAAAATGCTTTCAGTGGCATAGCGTGTAAGCATTTAAAAGGCTGTGAATTATCAATAAAACATCACAACCTATTTTCGAAAACATCGTTTAGTTTCAAGAGAGCCAGTATTTCTGATGATTCAGACTGAATTGCCTTGGGACAGAATGAAGATTTGACATGGTCTTCTTCAAAATTTGTGTCTAAATTTGATCCTTTCGAAAGTTTGAAATGTCTGATCGGACTATGATTTTAAAATCATGAAAATATATTTTCTTGTTCATAGACAACAACTGCATTATATCTTGAAACAAAGTTATTTAAACGAAGCTTTTAATTTTATTACTTCAAAATTCCGAAAGTATCAAATTTGTTTCATATCCATTTTCCAACAAACATGAATAGCTCTAGAGTACATTGATACAATGATAACGAGCATAAAAAATGTAGACAGTTTCTTACCACGTTCTGGTTTTCCTTTGATGAACAATCTAAGTCATCTAGGCTGATGCTTAAAAATCTAAAAAGCAATTACATGGTTAGCAGGGGAAAAGACAGACAGACCATATATGCTAGAATAACAGGATAGGTTTCACAAAACAAGAATCACGACTCTCTAGAAAAACGTTCTGTACCGAATAGAAAAACGAAAAAATATTGGCCTACTTTATAGATATGAGCAGCAGCATATCTTATCCTTGATAACAAATTTCTTACATATTTATCAAAGAGATTTTACACATTCCTTTGAAAATTCTTCTAAAAAATATTTTTTGTCTAACTATAGCTACAATGGGAATCCGCTTATTACGCAATTCTTGCTATTACGAACTAGAAGTTCAAACTGTCCAAGATAAGACTAGCATTTGAAGGCAGCCATTGAAGTCTAGCCTCGATATCAAGATGAAGTCGTGATAACAACGATTCAGGTTGATGAGTATAAAGTCTGGGTACAAAGTACAAGGGAGCCTGGGTGCAAAGTAATTCATCATAAAAGAACCTTGTTGCGAATGATAACAAACAGCAAACCTTGTAGATGGAAAAAGGGGCAAAATCTCTAATTTTATTGATGCATAAGATATTGCGGTGACAGGATCCAAAACATCAGCACATCTGAAAAAAAACGTGGATAAATCTTTCCATAAAATGAAAATATATTCATCAAAATCAAATATCTTCTCAGGTTCTTTTAATTTTCCAAGCTAACGATTAGCTCGTAAACAACCTTAGTCTGAGACCAGGAAATTTTTATGAAGTATTTCACGAATGAAAAAAAAGAAATAATTAACATCCAATCTAAAAGCTTCACGAATAATCCAATTTATCACTGTAACAAAAACCCGACATAAAGTGAGTAACAACTATTAGCTATTACAAAATAATTTTAATACCTCAACGATGGAACTAATTCTATAAAACGATCTTGACAAAAGCTGTGGAGTTGAAGCAAATCCCTAAAAGAAATAAACTTGTTAAAAACAATATGCAAAAAATGGGGGATTTACGGACGATAATAAGGCAGGATGAAGAAAAAATCGAGACATCTACGAGATAAAGATATAATAAAATTCCAAGACAATAGCTAAAAACGAAATTCGGATATATTCATATCATGGTGAAAATTATCAACTAACGACACTAACATAAAAAAACAAACCAGCTTTTGATTAGGGGGAGTGACTAGAACCAGCAAAAATGTACGCGGAAAAAACAAAATGAAAAGGGAGTTACCCGCAGAATAAATATATCTTGAGCGATGAATACTAGTTATTTATTTCCTTGTTACATTTTTCGCCTTGCGAGTAATTCTCTTTATATATACTGTAATGCTAAGCGTCCATCTGCGTTGTTCCTTCTCATTGGTTATCGTTCTTTTCATCGCAAGATTCAGAGAATCCGGGGGACGCTCTACCTAGTGTTTTTTCCTTTGATAGAGAGCATTGCATTCCTGTTTGGCTTTTATCAAATATAAGAGTTGAACCTAAGCGTTCATTACCTAGAATTGTAGCCGGTAAACCTTTTCTGTTCATCAGGAAGAAAAAGCTGGGCTGGTATGAAAATCTGCAAAAAAGATTCAAACAAAATTCAATGAGTAGGAAAAAGGGAAGTGATTAGGCATTAAGCCAGAATAAGAATCGATAAAACTTGTAAAGTATACTTCAAAATGTATAATATGTTAAATAGAAAATATCCTTGATTGAATTACTCCTCACCTGGTTGATTTTAAATCCAGACAAGACGTCGATGTAATACAGAAGATATTCCTGAGGTAGCAAAAAACAATATCTGACATATAGTTGTTTTTCGATTGCAAATTTTCACGGAACTAGAGAAGTGCTAAATTCAAAGACGTCAACAAGATTTCGCTATGCGATCAAACTTTCAAAGGGGACTTAAAATGAGTAATTGTAGGAAACTAAAAGTAAAAAATCCTCGGGCGTTTCTCTTGGAAGTGCAACCCTAAGGTAGCCATAGGAAAAAATTTTAATGAGAAAGGCATAATTTTTAGACATATTTATGTAACTTTAACTGCCAGTCTTCTGATATGGAAATATGTTCAAATATTAAAGAAATTCCATGGAAAATCCATAACTTATTATACTGCATTTGTTTGCATTGCTGAGCGATGAGGACTGTACACATGGCTAGTATACCAAGTCTACGGCATAGATTTCAAAACATAGCAAACATCTTACAAACTTAGGCAAATCTCTTTCCCTAAAATCCAGCTGCACGCCTCTGATTCTTGTTTCGGGTGCATCCGAAATCTGTTCAAAAGAATCAAAATTTATCAACACTGATAAAGAACGGGATTTTGAGGTATCAAGCACAGGCATGATCATGTGCTAGAAAACAAGGGTGCATTAGAAAATTAGCATTGAGATTTGAAAATAATGTATTAAGAAAGCTTTTATAATTAATTTGGGCACAGACATCTTAGTTTGTGCACGGGAATTTGGATTTCTGGAACCGCTCGTTTCTTTCTAGACTCAGAAAAAGGAGAGTACTTGTAGCTCGTAGTAAATATGGTTGAGTTTTCTTTCAAACTGGATGCGAACCTACTGGGCGTAATTCATGCCCTGAGTCACTTCCAAAAAAATTAAGATATTGCATGCGAACAGAATACTGACGCGAGCACAGGGAGAATTATCCAAAATCTTAAGCAATAATCGTTTTCTAATCATCGAATTTGATACCCATCCAAATACTGTGCTTTGGCATGATAAAATATTTAGAATTTGAAAAATATCTTACCTGTAAAAGTGGTAGACCTTTTCCTTGGAAAATCCTAAGGCACTGTACGAAGGTATTTAAAGCATAAAACAATGCCTTCATGCCTCCAGCAATGATCTTCACCTGAAGAAGACAATGTAGACACAGATTAATGCTATTGCTCGTTACATTAATGTTTGAGCGTTCTAAAACTACCTTCGAGTGTTTGATAGCAATGCAATACAATACACTACAGCTATACAATATGCTTAGTAAGAATGTCACAAAACACTAGAGTTCTTTACATACGACGGTGTATTATCGCGAAGCAAGTGCACCAAAGGGCTAGGCCAATGGCCCGAAATAGATCACCAGAGAAGATAGTTCTCGACAAATATCTTTTCTACGATTTCAGCAGTATATGGTGTACAAAAATTAATTAGTATATAAAATATGGTATAGTCAATGTCTACATAATCAACATGTAATAGTCAAATCTTCTTGTACCAAATATCGCTTAGTCAAATCTTTATTTCATTGGAATGTCAACTACCACACTGATTTGTCTTTTCTGAATAGAGTTCTCAAGTGTGACGTCACAAAAAACTATTTTCAGAATTTTTTTAATTTTGACCACATAACACAAAAGAACACCATAAAATACTTCAATTTATGCAAAATCAGTTAAATTTGTCAAAAATCGGACGACCTATGGCCAATAGTAGATCTGAAGTTTGCTAACAGCTTACTGTTATTTTGGCTCAGTGAATAAAGTTATGAACTGAGACCAAATTACAGAGGTTTGATGGGGTCAGAGCTTGTGCTCAGCTGGTCATATCTCAGCCAATTCATAATACCTTTGACTGATTTTGCAGATTTAGAGGTATTTTATGACGCGCTTTCAGGTTATGGGAAAAATTTCAAAAATTCTAAAAATATACTTTTGTGACGTCATCACTTGACCACTCTATTTAAACTAAAGTGTTTGTTATGGTCCTCGTGCCAAGTATTAAAAGCCAGTAAAATATTATTGCAAATCGGCGGAGATATTTCTGTTTTGGATTAATTCATAGAGATTGGAGCCAAAACCAAATTCTAGTGATGTGAAGGGTAAGGAGTCTGTGGCCATTGGGCAATTTTCAGTCAGTTTTATATTCAACTGCTTTTACAAAATAAGTACTCTTTCATAATGTTGTTTTAGATTAAATTTATTTCATGGAAGCATAACCTAACTACTTTACACAACATTTTGTTACGGTCAATGATGCTGATTCTATGGCTCACCGCTTCTGTATCTGCCAGAGGATTGTATAAATGAAAATTGCAAGTATGGCATTAAGAAGTGTGGTTACTTAATCGGAATGACTATTTTTTCAACTTATATAAAATATGTAATAAGTAGAAATGTTCCAAAAAACAGAATTACAGCTTTCTCCTGAACGTTCTCTCTAGCGGTCATAGCCTTGAAAAGTTATCTCCAGATAGATGGCCGCCATTTATAGGTCTATCTGCATCACATGACAGCCGGTGATTCACACTACCACTTACATAAAGTAACTGAGAATAACGGGTAACAGCATTCATAGGCAAAGGAACGTGATCACTAAAAATTATAATAATATATCAAACCTTTTTTGTAGAGATACAGAGCTTGTACTCCTCATCATCAAAGATCGTTGAAGAGTCGATGAAACATTCGATGCAGCCTTTAATAGAGCTCGATGATGCGGTATCTAGAATAATCATGACTTGGTATCAATGTGGTTGCAAAACAAGAAAAATGAAATTAGGAACAAAACATGCGATTGACATAATCTTAATATCATATTGCAACATTATAAAAATTGAAAGATAGACAACAGATGGATAACAGAGGTCTATAAAATTGCCTTATATTGAGAAACTTATAAGAAACGTATATGTATATGTAGTATTATAGTTGAATTATTAGTTATATTAGATACATGTCATATCCCAGGGGGCAGTCATGTTATATTGCTCCTCCTGGGTTCCGTCCTTGTAATGTAGTTTAGTAGTTTGTACGTACTGTTTTAAGTATTTTGTTGTTGTAAGTTTTTATACCGAATATATATATAAAAAAAACTTATAAGAAAGTGAAAAATTTAAGATACTTTATGCACGGCTTAAAAGTTCCTTTTAGACTAGCATTTTTAAGTGTTACACAAGCAAAAATCGAGAAAAAGATGGCTAAAACTTTACAACTAACTGTAGACACATATATAAAAAGACCCTTTTACATTAGCCTCCACAGGTAAAGGTAAAGAGTTTCGATAGGTAAAGAGTTTCAGCAACCGTAGGTAAAGGAATTACTCATCTCTAAAAATACTAAGTCTTTTTTCTATCAGCTAATTATCCTTTTAAGCATTCTTAAATTCTCAAATCATTCTAAAAGTACTTTTTCAGTTGGTTAGTACTTACAAGGGCAAGAAATTTCTGCTTCAAAATCGAGCCCAAGGCTCTGTAATTTCGGTTGTAGAACTTGCATCAGTTTGTTGAAACAAGTCAAATGAGCTGAAAGTTTAGAATATAGACGTAGTTAAATAGTAAAAGCCGCATGAACGGGTCCAAAAAGAAATGAATGGTCATCTGGAATAAAGAAGCGCCTAAAATTGGTATAGCAACAAACGAACATTATGTTTTTGTACCTTGAAAAAATGGGTAAATACGAAAACATACGCTTTTCCGTGCTAAACTTCAAATTTTGTAGTAGCAAAAGCTTATTTCGCTAATAACGATTCTTTAAGATATTTTTTTACATAAGAAAGCAGAAAAATAAAGCCAGACAACAAATGGGCCTGTATATCAAGCAAAAGAGTTATTATATCAGGCTCTGTGTCCAACGAGATATAGATTAAGTCTCACATATAAATAAACGGCTTCTTTTTACCTGAAGACGTGTTTCTGGAAACCATCAAAAGGAATTTAAGATTGATTGGTGGAACGTAGAAAGTTCCTTTGTACTGGAGAATATTTTGAGGCGGAGGCCACAGTTGTAGGACACCAGGATCCAACTTCGTCATAGTAGGTAAAAAAAGTCGCATAGGTGATTTTGGAGGTAGAAGAATGGGCTGGAACTGCTTTTGCTTTGGGATACTTTCAGTTGGTGATTGCTCTTTCAAGTTTTTAGAGGAATCGTGATTACTTTTAGAAGCACCGATTGGTGTTGAAAGTTTCAGTTCTGTCGTGCTTGCAGTATCTTCAAGAGTTAAAACCGTCTCTTCTAAAAAGAACATAAAGCAGTTTCGAATAACAAAAACTTCTTTGCATACTTACATTTATGAAAAAAGAGTGGGTCGATAAGTATGAGCGACAATCTCTTTCACTGAGGCTCCGGTATTCAGGGTAAGAGTGCTTAAATGGTACATCATAGTCTTTAAAAGGTTATTCTTCTTTAATCAATATGATAAGACAGTTAAGCATTAGGTTCCTATAATCACTTGCATAATCTGCCCAAAAGATTTACCTTGCTCTCCCTTTGGCCACTTAATTTTTATCGATACCTAGTTGAAGATTAATTAGCCTTGATTGAATCAAAGGTCAAGAAGTCTTTTTAACTTCATCAATTCAATCTTAGATCCAAAACAGAAAAATCTGGTATACAGATTTTGGTGCTAGTATATATAATTCGTGCTAAAAGGATTGTTTCAATTCTATGTGTTTCCAGTAAAAAATTTGTTGCAAAGTGTTTTACTCTTATGCTACATCCTTATATTAAACTGATAAGAGAAAGCTGATGGAAGCAGATACAGTCACAAAAATACCTTCTTGATCCCTGTGATCTCCATTAACATTACCGCTATTTGTAAGCAAATGAACCTCGAGTATCGTAAGAATATCCTCCTTCCCAACGGCAATGTCGTAACAACTTTTCCCTTCCATAGCTCTAAGAAATGCAAAGAACACAAAATGAAATGCAAAGTTTGATAAAAGAATATTACAACGGGGTGACACCCTAAAACTCGCTCAATACCAGTTTCTTGAAATGTAGAAACTCATTGGATGTTTTTGGACCCTTTGGGAAATGCTGGCTGTTCTCACTTATACCAAATTCGAGCAATGATTCTAGAATAATGGTAACTTTGTTTTAAGTTCCTTAAAGCTATGAAAGACATATTAACTGTACAACAAGTAATATTTATACAAACAGAAAACAACTAAAATCGACTATCTGGCATTAAACGCTCTTACCCTTTAAACGGAACGATGTTGATATTAGCACCATGATTAAGTAGTTCCAAAACAATTGCTTTATCGTCACGAATTATAGCATCATGCAGAGCTGTAGAACCATCACCATTGACAGCATTGACATCTGCGCCATACTCTATTTCAAAACAATATATAACAAATCAACAGACTCTGCCCTAGATTTATCAGTAACAAAAGTGCCACAAGGCTTAGCATATTTTGAACTGAGGTTCGTCCAAGGTTGCTAAGAAAGCACTCAGAGCCCACATATCTATCCATAAACACTAGTCTGTGGTCATGTTCACAAGTGCCGCTTGCTCGTATTTCAAAGATACGTTAACGGCATAACGCACTTTCAAACAAATTCCCATTTTAATAAAACAGCGTTATAAACTTTAAGTGTTCTACGTTACCTAGAAGTAGTTTAATCGTTTCAAGATCGCCAAAACTTGCAGCCCAGTGGAGCACTTTGTTGTCACTATCTGCTCCGTCACCTGCATTGACATCAACACCAGCTTCCAACAAAAGACTAACTCTGTATTGTCTAAAAATGGATTCAAAAAAGCAAATAGGTATTACAGATAAAATTTAAGAAAATTCTCCTTTGACTATAATGTCTAGAAATCCATTGCAAAACAAACATTCTTCAGGCATCAAATTACGATGGAGGAATTTACTTTGTAAACTAAAAATTGCATTAAAAACAAACACCTGTTTAGGGCACAGAATATGACCAAAATTATCTTGTTATTGTTTGGCAAGCTGATTTTTGATGACAAATTTAGTAAATGACAGCTAACAGCAATCTGACAAAGTAGACCTGTCTTTTCTTGGCACTCTAATAATTTCATAATTATATATAACGTTAATCAACTTGTTCATATAACATTACTGGTTCAATCTTTCAATCCTTGCTTCATGTCTCTCCTGAATTTTGGTTCCTTTTTATCTTAAATTGCCAAATTGTCTTCCTTTTCAAACATTTTTCAATCAATCAAGAATCAAACATTTTTTTCAATCTTTTAATAGTGCTGAAGTTGGAACGTTTTGTGATGGACTGATAGCATTGCTGCACTAAATATAAGTTGATTTAGACTTGGTGACCTACTTTGACTGGGCAACAGCCTGCATCAGAGCACCAACATAAGCATTTTTCATTTGTTCACTTTTGCAATAATCTAATGGTGTGGCTCCTTCACAGTTCTTCAATGTAGGATTTGCACCAGCAGCCAAAAGAGATCTTACCATATCTGCTCTGTCAAGCTAAAGAAAAGATATTTTTGAGTCACATAAGCAGAATAACTTTTCTGCCTACTCTAAATTACAAAAATTGCTAGCCCCTGAAACAAAATACATGCAATTAAAATGTATATTCATGAATATTTTTAACTTCATACGTTCTCTTAATAAAAAATTGCTGGAAGTAAAAGAAACTGTTAATAGTTCATCCAAAATAAATATGATAAGTATAGTCTGATTATGAAAGAAAATTAAAATTATCCTGCCTCTCTTCTTAAACAAACCCTCACAATTTTCATAAAAAACCTGCTTTAAACTAGCATTTCTTCTGGAAAATACAATAGATCACAAACTGCTTTAGTTCACAGGAGTTGTTGTTTAGTGTACACAAATTAAATGAATTCATCAAACTGGCATGTGTGGAGAACAATGTAATGCAAATCTGTGGAAAATTTTGGAAATTGACAATGCTGTAAATTGAGTAAATAATTTATCGCTACAGTGGTTGGAACCAATTCTCCCCTGGCTATGGGTGTGGAAAAAATATGGATTCAAGTTCATAGATTACACCTGTTAAAAGCTAGAAAAAAGAAAATCATAGATAATTCATTTCCACTCATCTTTGAACTCTACTCCTCATTTTCCCTTGGACATTTAGTATGCTAGCTTTGCATACACCATAAAAAACTTTGGAATCTTCAAGTGGTTGCTCTAATAAAATGCAACTTTGGGCTTACGGAAGAAAATGGTGGGTCTCCTGCCTGCAAAATTTCTGCCACCAGTTATGAAAATTTGAATTCTAATAATGCAAAGACCCTGTGGCATATTCAATGGCTGTCAAAAAGATACAATGAGTGCAGATGAATTGTGGTCAAGAAAAATCTGTGTGGCCCCCAATTTAGAAGGAAATGCTTTCTAATAATACTATATTTTAAGAACAAAAATAGCAAGAAAGAATGGTTGATATAAGCCTTTACACAATAAATAAATCCATGTGAATGATTTACACACAACCTCATTGTGGTGATCTTTAGAGAAAACTTTGGGCATTGCCTTTCAACTTATTTAAATTGTAAGCATTATTCCTCTGTTTGACTTTTCCGACTTAGAAATAGAACCAAAGCATTAGAAATGCCTTAGCACACACAGAGCAAGTCAATGAGAACCTGATGTTATCCATGAGTGCATAATTAAAACTGAAATGGGGGCAGGGGCTAATAGACCCAATACCTGCGTATAAAAAAATGCATCAGACTACGACTTACAGAAATAAAGAGGGAATAATGTTTCAAGTTATTAGAACTGCCATTTGTAAACATTCCAGAGGGTATTGATACTGGGGGTGAAAACTCTGAAGAGATTCAACAAAAGACTATGATTAATTAAATTATGAATAATGCATTGTTATGGATAGTCCTAAAACAAAGGAATAGTTAATATAATCCTAAAAAATAGGAAACATAATTTAGAAGCACTGAGAATGAAGAAAAAATTGGAGGAGATTTTTATTAGAAAATTTTTTCAAAATTGCGAAAGACATTTAGAATAAATTTAGTCCTAACCTTTGTAGCATAATGGAGCCCAGTTCCAGCATCATTATCTCTAAAATTCAAAAGCATTTGCAGTAAGTCTAAGATTTCTTCTTCATCTGCGGGCACTTTCTTAATGCCTTTGTCTGCATCATCATAATCATCATCATCAAGAACATCTTCTTCATCTCTGTCTAAAAGCAGAAACATTATCATTAAATCTCACACTTTCAACATTGAATTTCTGTAGCAAAGTCACATTTAATTCTATTAGGACTTAAAACAATGAGGAATGTTGCTATGCCAAAGAAATTTAAATGCATGCTTCTGATCAAACTAGAATGGTATAGTGTGACAATAAATATACCTAGTGGGCAAAAGCATTGCACAGGTTTGGCCAGTGGCAGTTTTAAGGGGGGTCCAGGGGGGCCATGGTCCCAGGTCCCATACTTATGGTAGCCAAAAGGAGCCCACACCTACGAAAAAAGATAGAAACTGTAAAGAACAAGGGCCCTGCAGATGTATTTGGCCCTGGGCACTGCAGTCTTTAAAACCGCTGCTGGGTTTGCAAAATGAGTTATGGTGACTGCGTTGTAAGCAACATGTTGTTTGAAGCTTAAACCAAATTTGTGAAGCCATTAATGCATCCTTTTTTACTTAAAACCAATCAAACTAAACTTTAAACCGTTGGCTACTTTTAATTCAAACTCTTCAGAGATTTAAGAAAGTTACTTTATAAAAAGTAAAAAGTTTTAACTTTCCATAGGACAGTCTTACAGCTTTGAAACCTTTGGGAGATTTACTAAAATGATATTATTGTCGTACCAAGCAGTGGTGGACACCCTGGGGGCAAGAGGTTGCAGTGTCCCCAATACTTTGGATAACAATGGTCTTTTGTTCTAAGACAATGGGAAATGTCCTCCCAATATTTGACCAAGTGTCTGCCCCTTGTGCCAAGTTGGCCTTGTTTTGTTGGAAAGTGGCAGATTTTAAGCCATTTTATTATGCCTGCTCTTTCGCAGCGATTGAAGCACTTTAGTGTACATGTTTATTGTGGGAATTTTGCTCTTTAAATTCAATGAGATGAGGAAATGTTGTTTTAAGCAATTTGCAGCATCATTTGCTCCCTTAAATAGCAATTGGTTAGAAAAGGTGGGCTTGATAATTTGTGACACATTTTATTGATTGAATTCTGTTGCAACATATCATGACGCACCAGCTGTTGTTGGGCCTGTTGTTGAAAAAAATTTATGAGAAAAATGAGCAGTTTTAGACACTGAAGCATAAAGTAAGTATCTCCAGTTAATTTCTATAAGAAATCGCAAATGGGTGCAAAGATTAAATTTTTAATGCAAACATACAGGTACCTCAATCATCATGGCTCAATTTTTGTGTTTTTGCAAATGTTGATATTGTTTAAAAATAGGAAAAAATCAAGAACTTTCTTGCATCTGCTATTTTCAGTGTTCAACCTCAATAAATTTTCCATTATTTTCTAACTAAAGAGTGATCTTACAACATTTATATAACTTGCTAAAGCTATTTGAATTTTGGCATTTTTATGAGCTTGTAATCAGACAAAGTCTGAAATTCTTCCTCTTTTAATAATAATCTACATTAATACAGGATACAAAACTTGGTCAGCTTGCTCAGAAGCTGCTATCAGTTAAGGTCCTGTTTCTTTTTTCATGAAATGATTTCTACTGTTCAAGATAAGAAGTTTTCCTGATGTTTTAAACGAAATGGGCCTTTCCAATCAATTCCATTTAGGTAGGCACACACACTTCCACAACGATCGCAAATGAGATCAACTACAATTACCATTGACTCCCTGGTTACAAAAAAGCAAAATTTTCCAGATGTCATGATCGAGAGAGTTGGAGATAAGATTGTCTTTTAAACTGGATACATAAAACTTCAGGAACAGGCCTCTTGTTTAAATTTTTCAAAGAAGGACAACAAGATTCGCGTTTTGAATCAATTGCACATTAACTATTTTCGTCATCTCTTATTCCGGCATGAAATTAAGCTGATCAAATTTTTGCAACGTTTCAAATCTTCCAACTTTTACTTACACGCCTGAGCTGCAGATAAAAGAATTCTCAGAATGTCCGTTCTTCCAGTCATGACAGCGGCTTTTAAGTCATCAAAACCTTCTTCGATTGCGGGATCTTCCAAATCAAGCTCGCCATCTTGATACAAAATAACACCCTTTCGCTTCATATTATTCGTTTTTTCTGCCATTTTAGTTAAAAAAACATTAGTAGAAAAAGCAACTGAATAATTTTGTAAGAATGGGCATCAAAGTGCCAACAGGTGTTCACTTGAGCATCTTTGTTTACATTTACAAGAACGCTAGGCCCATATTGCGCTGCCTTGAAATCGAGGCTGCCACACTGTGACGTCATTGAAGATATCTATTTTTAGAATTATTTCTAATTTTTCCACACTATCTGGCAGAATGACATAAAATACCTCTTGAAGTGCGAAAACAGTAATACACTTTTCAAAACTTCATGAAATATGGCCAATAAACGATTTCAACTTTGCCAATGGACAATTGTTATTCAGGCCTGTTGTTATAAAGCTAGGAAGCAAGACCAAAATTACAGTGATTTCGTTATGAGTTTGTCTTAAGTTTTCGAGCCCTCCTAAATCATATTTTTGGCGACCTACCCGGCATCAATGATGACTTGTCCCTTTATTTTCTATTGCAAACTATTACGGGCTACATTAAAGGCATTTGACACAGGTAAAAGTGGCTTACAGCCACTCGACCACGAGCGGTTGACTAATTAAATTGCACACAGAGAAAAACACGTGAACAGTTTCCGCCTTTCTGCAAATCGGTGAAATCCTAGAGCAGCGCGTGGTGGTTTTACGCGATCGGTTTTCAATACCTTTCTTGTGCGCGTGCTCTGATCAATTTGGCCTAAGTTATTTTTGGATTCGCTGTACTTATGCATGTCAAATGCCTTTAATATGAAATATGCCCACAAGCCAACACTGGTTTTCAAAGGTAATGGGCCGAATATAGAAACAGGGCTTCAAGGGGGGGGGGGAGGGGTAGTCTCCACAATCATTTGGTGATTGAATGGCAGGGAAATTCATCTTACTTCGGGTTGTCCGCTTTCTTTTGGTACTTTCCCACTTCTTTCATCTAACGAGTGATTGAAGTTGTTTACAATCTTGCCATTGGAAGTGGTGGGTCGCCTTCATAGACTCTCTCGACATATGTATGTCAATTAAATAACACATTATTAGAAAAAAACTTTGACAAGAAATAAAACAAGTAATTCGGATTGTCTCAGAATTTGTTGATTTCTCATTTACCTCTTTATAAATAAGACTGGTGGGTTTTATAACATTAATTATAAATTTATAATTATATAGATAAAAAACTATGAATATTATTACTTTCATTAAAACGAAACGATAACTATTTCCTTTGACATATATTATACACATGCTTTGTACAAATCATTCTTTCTGATAACTTCTCATTTACAAATTCTGAACATTACTGAATGAAAAAGGGCAAAGAAGTTCATGAAAAACCTAGAAATTCTTTGAATTGAGGGAGCATAATCTTAAAGAAATGTGAAATATTGAAACAAGTATTGTTATTCTCAGTAAGCTCTTTGTTTGATAAATTCTTGCAAAATAATAAATATATACGATTTTCTAATTTTATTCGATTGAAGAAAAGTTTTCTCGTAATTTTTACAAAAGGGAATAGTTTACTGCGGATGACTTCTACAATTAGAGGATGATAAAGTTCGGGTATAGGTAAATGTCTAGACATTACGATTCATAAGCTCACGCAAAGCCTGGAAACTTTTCCTGAGGAGACACTCAGAAAATACAAAACCAGATAAATTTGGATTTAATCAGAACAGTTCTTTTCCGATTTGCAAGCAGCGATCAAAACGTTTTTACTTCTATATACATAGAAGTAGATCAATTGCAAACGAAATTTCAATACCTCTTTCTAATCCATTCTTCGATAGTAAAATCAATATATTGCTTAACCTTTTCCCTTTCCAATAATATTTCTGAGAGTTTTCATTAACTTCCCCTTTTTATGCTTTTTCTCGGAAGAATTGTTGACAGCTGTTTCTTGCGTTTGAATCGAGCCATTAGCCTGTAGATTTTCGTCGTCAACTGATTGTTCCTTTGTTGTAGCGTCCTCTTCTTCGTACTTAATATCAACAGCACTCTCTAAACCTTCTTCAGAAATTACTTCATTTACCTTCGAAACCATCGACTCCTTTCGCTGGGCAGCAATCAATGGAGCACTTATTGACGTTGACATTCGATTGTAAGCGAGTTCACTGTTCTCAGTTTTCGTGTGGCATTCCGATCTTCTCCTTTCTGGTTTTGAACTATCGTTATCGTTCGATTTTAATTTACGCTTGCTAAACAACGACATGAATGACGACCGGCTTTTCGTATTACGACGAGGTGTTCGGGGAGACCCGTCATCTAGCGAATGTTCGTCGGATACAGTTATGGAAGGGGTGTGTGAACTCGAACCGTCGTTTCCTGTGAGATTAAGATCGGAGTTCTTCAAGGCAGAGGTTGAAAACCATGTGCCTGAGCGTCTTCTTACTTGAATCTTGAAACTTCTAGTTCTTTCACGAAAAGATCCCGAAAACCGCCTTTTCTTCACAACCTCGTCATCGCTTTTTATCGACTGGGTCGTGTCCATAACTTCCGAGTCAAGAACTGTTGCCGATGAAGGATAAGCAACACCAACTTTCCTTCTTAAAGGTAGATTTCCATTAGCATTGGCGTCTACTTGGATATCATTTTCAGTGCATTGAATCGGATTATCATTGGCACTTTTATGTTCCTTGTCTTCTCTTGGGGACCACAAAGAAGATAGCGCAGCTCCAAGAGACCTCCTGAACCTGCATGGCAAAAATATTTAAAGCATAATGATTAGCATTCAAATTGAAGACGAGGGCTCTTGATGATATTAGCCAATTTAGCGTTAGAATATAATAGAAATAACATGATTTCAAGATTCAAACAAGACTAGAGAAAGAGACTCGTATTCAAAGCCAAAAAGCCAAAAATCAGTGTCCTTTTGAAAAATGAAATTGGCTCATATCATCAAAAGTAATTTTACACTTACAATGGAAACTCTACAAAATTTCTTTTAAACAAAAGCACTATTACAGAAATTTGATATTCATCTTAGCTGATATTTCTCCAACAATGCAACACCATTTATTTTCTTTTAACGAATTGTAAAACAACAGATATATAATGGAAACATAAAGTATTAATAGATATAATGAACATACGATTTTCTGTTATCCGTCTTATTTTTTCTCATAACGACATTTCCTGCTTCTTCGTTTGAGGGCGAGGATAGCCGTGAGTTGTTTCCATGAGACCGAGATCGCAGATATCTAAAAAGTAAGCTTAATTTATAGATCATCGTCAACTATTTATATACGACTATTTCTATAAAGTTTGCACAGCATTTCGATCGATTTAGGCTATTAAAGTTTATAAGGATGTCATCCATTTCCTACTTAGTTGGTAAGCTATAACGTCAAAGAAGTGTATTTTTTTATCTGCTTGCAAAAACGAATACATATTTGACAACTTTTGAGTCATACTCACATTATGCCACTATACAACAACAAAATGAATTCATAATTACAAGATGCTTCAACATAAGTAAAATCCAGTCCTTCATAGTGTAAATGCTATTCAAAGCTAAAACAAGAATAATCGAATGCTAAAAAAGTTGATAAAATCTTTCATAGTTCTTTAATAAAATATCTGCATAACATTAAAGAAAACTTGAAAAAGAAATCTAACTGCAGAAAGAAGATAAAAATATTTCTCACTCTTTCGCATCTTGCTCATCTCCATTCGTCTGCTCAGGTACTGTCTGCAAATGAATGGGCTCTGCAATGCTATTTCGCCTATTTGCCTTGTTGTGCTGTTCGGGTGATGTCGCTTTGGGGTTTTTCTCGTCTGTTTTAAGGTCCCTGTAGAAGAATAACAAGATTCATGTTTAAAAAACGCATTAACCGGAAATGCTAACCAGAAAAAAGGTGACTTCCGTGAAAAATTCTCATTCTTTCTGAAGGACCAGAAAACTTGCATCTTCATCCTTTACCGTTTTCCTTAGCTTTAAATTTTTCGAGGAAACTAATGGCCTTAAATGACACGGTATTTGAATAGACTGGCCAGTCTTATTGTAACTTGAATTTAGCACTTGGCTGGAGCCTTGCTTGCAATGATTTGACTTGTGAAAAATGTACTGCTTTCAATTAGACGTGTTAGCTTCAAATATCTTCGGGGGATTCAGTTCCTTAAAGGGCTCTTTAAGCATTACAGTGTCTTGCAAATTTTCAACTTACTTTAAGTTCAAAGAAACAGGCCTGGGCTTCTTTCTTCTTCGTGATAGTTGCCTAAAATCAAACAACACACCGACATTACAGGGGAAATATTATATCCAATATAAAGATACAGCATCAATAAATCATTGCCAGATAATTGGGTAAACAGCAATCGGGTGTCTGGTTAACTAAAAATATGGTAAATATCAGTGGCGTTGCTAGCACAGGCTTTGGGCTGTGGCACCTCCATTCTTTGCGTTGGGGTCAGTAAATCTTCAGTTGGTCTAAAAATTGTCAGTTGGTCGGTAAAATCATCTGACGGTAGTTGAAATAGCGTCTCAATTTTTCTTCATTTATGTCATTACCGGTAAAATTTAATATTGATGACCCTCTGCCCCTATGTCTGGAGGGTGAAACAACGCAAGCCACGCCACTGGTTAAGCATCAAACTATTATTGTCACAACCATTTATCTTGTTACTGAAAGTGGAACCGGTAACTGTCTTAATTTCCTGTTTCTTAGAGAAATTAGTTATTTCCTTCTAATATTTCACTGAACTTTAAGCAACACCCTATTTTGCAACATAAACCATTTGTACTGCGGTTACTGAATACTTTGTAGATGATATAGAGGTCTTTAGTGAGCAAATCATTATGTTTGTTATGGGATTGTTAAAAGATACGGAGTTGTTCCGAGAAATTGCCCAAGCATACTCTAAAGCTGATAAATTTTCGATTGACAATATAGAAACAGTAGAAGAAGTCTTTAGAGTTGGTCGTTTATATTCGCGTTCCAGTCAACATTTATACGTACTAATCCTTACTTTTACAAATAAATAAACGTAAAACATATCGGCAATAAAAACTTAAACACTATGACGTCAGAACTGTTGATTTATGTTTTGACTAGAGTTTGGCCTCTGTGATAAATTTTTGAAACATTCCCTACGACGATTCGTTACCTCACGAAATTCTCATAACAGGAAAGCTAAGGTTGTGACAAAATAATTCTGTTCAAGGCCGAAAACTAGCATTCGTCTTGGCTTTGACGAACTTGCTGCAAATAATTGCAGTTATCCTAAAATGTTTGCGTTCTAAGTAAAAGCAGATTAAAAGAATAAAAAAGTTTCATTAAATTCTTTAGAATAAATGCAAAAGTACCTTCGGATTGTTTTTCGAGCTTCTGACTCCCTGGCTGTATACGCTTGCATAGAATTGTGTATAGAGCTGTTCAGGGACGTAATAAGCTCCTCCATTTGCAGAAGGGCAGTCTTAATCGATCCATTATCCGGGTGATCCTCATTTGTGTATTTTGAAAGTTGCTAGAAATGAATTGGCAAGGTGAAAATTGACTCTTGATTTCAGATTTATGTGATAAAAACAATGATTCAGATATCAACATTGTAACATATTACTAAAATATAGAAAAGACAAACGAAAATAGCTATTAAAATGTCATCTAAATGTAATGATATGTTGTTGGATTGTATTCATGATCAGAGAATGCTTTTTATATGAAATTTTTATTACAGATTTAAGTTCTGATAAGTTTTGTCATTTGAGAAGAATAGGTACTTATATAGACATATTAACATGTGCACATATAGACTTTCTAAATGTTAAAGTAAAGAGCTTGAGAAAGGATATATATGTATATATACAGATGGTTGGATGACTCACTCTTAACAGTAAAACATAGCGTGGAAGTCTTTGTACTGGTGTTATCAAATACGATGGAAGATCGAGGTTGTCACTCCTGCAGTAACAGTCCTGAAAGATAGATGAAAAGATATGTTTATCGTAAATAGCAAGAGCCAACAAAAGAGGAATAAGACTTTCATGAAGTGAAGCTCTACGGTAATGACAGCATAAAAGAATACTGTATCAAGCAGGGAGTATTAATAAAACATTACGAACCTCGATAAACTTCCTAAATTTGTGGGAAGCTCTTGTACACTTGCTAAATGTGCTTATCGATTTCGGGAATGCATTCACATAGTCTGTATACACGTTTAAGAGGTTTTCCTGCGGAAAAATTGCATTAATTAAGCTAGTTTAACAGATAAGTCGTCTGTTAATTCAATCTTGGTAAATTCACTGTGGCTGTAGCTTATCAGCGGCGAGGAGAAAACGCAGATCAAAGCTAGATCAGAAAAATAAACGAATCTTAAATACTATCGTGGCTTGTATTGGAAGATAAATGTACAATTACAAGAGAATGGGTGTTCGTTTTGCTAGATCGCGGTATTCAATTTTCAGAGTCGAGTTAGCCAAGGTAAACGCAATTACCAACTACAGCGATTGAAATGCTCAAATTTACGGACATAGCAATGTGTAAAGTGAAAGTCAAAAATCATGCTTTGTTTGAGCTCCTTAAATCATTGCTTCAACGAAAACCCGACACTTTTTCGTTCTTTTATATTTAAACTCTTGTGAAATAGGCAAGAACTGACATTGGACATCTCCGAAAAGGGAAAAAATCCTGTCGTACAACATTCTTACTGTCAAAGGCTTGTGGAAAAAACTTCGGACAATGGACACTTCCTTACAACGGACACTACAATGGAAACGCCCTGACACCGGTAATTCCTTACAACGGATTGTAACGCTGGAACCGACACTTCAGTGGATACAACAGACACTAAAATGGAAACGCCCTGACACCGGTAATTTCTTACAACGGACTTTAACGCTGGAACCGCAAATGCCAGTTTAATGAAACCATAATCCTTTATCCTTCCCCAAAACTATTAGAGTTTCATTTGTTCTGGCATACAATATGTTAAATTATTGGAAGAGGCAGATTATTTCACCCTTGGCATAAAGACCATGAAATTTAAACTTGGAAAGTCAATTCACATACTTTTAGTGGCCCAGCCATTTTCCCGAGGATATCCCCAATGCCACCCGACCAATCATCACTTTTCATCCGATTTTCTAGCTGCTCCATGAACCAAGAATGACACTCTTTTATTGTTGACAAACATGACGGAAACAGAGCACTGAAAAGCAAAATACACTGGCCTTTACAATACGTATTCAACAGTTTCAACATAAAGCCTCTGTAATATCTGAAACAATTTAAACATACCAAGATACCATTTGCTTTATATTGTTTCAATTGAATCAAATTCCGAAAATATTTTTGGTATATTATTCAATCAAGAAAGATCGTTTTCCTGATTTTATAATATTGGCACAAGATTACAAAACAAAAATTATTACAAAAACGGAGAATAAATAATTGATACAATGGGATTTCTTTGATCTTTTTACGGAATCGTCCCTCTGCGTGTGGTAAAATATACAAAATGCAATTAACTTGAGGTCACTTGATCAAGAGAAAATTGCTCAATCGGATAATATTTTCATATTTCACTTAACCGAAAAGGATTAACACAAGCCATAAAATTAACAAATCGCTTGAAAGCTTTCTTATCTATGTTTTCGACCCACATTTTTAACTGAAGATCCTGCTCATAATTAATGCAAATATACAAAAATGAAAGGTTCAGATATTGCGGGGTATATACTTCCAGAAACACACCGTCGATAGAAAGAATTTAAATTTCACATTATGCTTGTCAATTGCCAGATGATCGCATTAAGCTTGAAACTCAGAGTAGCGACTTAGAACCGTTCTGTTCTATACACCAAAAGCGTGTAGAACTCTCCCTATACGTCATCGAACAATTTATGACAGACCGGTGAACAGTAATTTTCATTGAGTTTCACATTAGATAAAAACGTACGCTGTACGTATGTTTTTTAAACAAACGCAAACACGCTTGACTTACTTAACATCCTTCTCCTGTGCAATACCGCCATCAAGCATTGGTACTTTAAAAACCTGAAGGACAAGCATCAATAATCAACAAACAGGGAAATAATTCATTTTAAATTTTGCATGAAAATATTGATTCTAATCAACAAAGAATAAAATGTATAAAGAAGAAATTAACTGGCAGAAGCTTATTTTATTTTGGGAAAAACAAACAACTGGGTGAAGTTACCTTGTCAACGGTGTCCAAACACGAAATATATTTCCTCTCGGTTTCGAAAATCTCTTCGATAACTTTCACTCTTTTTACTGAAAGAAAGATACCCAATGGATGATTCAAAAACATATATTGCAACATAAGCCTACTGACAAGAAAACAGTTACCTAAAGATAGGATTTAATATTAATTGCATATAATACGAAATATGAATCATAACTTGCATTAAACTAGAAATTATCGTGTATAAAATTGTAGGTTCAAAATATTTTCCTTATCGTACATACCAGATAAGGAAATTATGTATCAGATAAATGTGAATTCATTATCATATTTAGGTTTAAAGGCAGCTTATATTGTTTGTCAACGTGGATATTAAAAACGATTCTCTTTAAAAAACCATCCTTAAAATGTTACAAAAAACTAACAGCAATATACAATTACAATACATTAAATTACACGTACGTTCTGTTAGCTTCCTCAGTTCGTTTTCTGGTTCAGATATAGCAAAGTCTGTTTCTTCCTTTTCATCATCAGATAACTCCTGTTCCGATTCATCTTTGCCGAACGGCTCATTCAAACTCGCTAAAAGCTCAGTGTTGGCTAACTCTTGAAGCCTGATTTTGTTGGCACTAGGCAGCAATGCTGAAACAGGAGACAAAGTTATTTTATACACTTGTACAATCACTACTGAAAATACAGTCGAATGATCTGGTCTTGTGGACATTACTACTAAGGGTGTCAGCACCAAATCACAAACAATTCCCTTACAAGACATCTCTAGGCCCTTTCATTCTTTGGCACGTTACCAGTTACTGTTCAATTGATTCAACAGTTGCAACAAAACCTATTATTCTTGAACTGTATTAAACAACTAATGCTGCAAACGATTGTCCCTCACCCTTCGATCAATATCAACCAATGACTTAAGGTCTTTTGTCTCACTTTGCTCAACGTAACACTTACTGAATACATATGCTTTAGTCAAACACTTTTTGGTTGTAAAAAGCTGCTGACGTATTCATATAATTATTTTAGGGTTAATCTGTGGATAAGAAATAGATATGTGGTACGTCAAATGTGGTAGCAGACAAGAGCCAATTCCATGGCCTTGATATAGAGTGTATCAATTTACAAAGTATTATTAAAGGTTTTATGTAATAAAAAAGTTGGCACATATATTCTGCTTTACATCAGATATCAAAAAAGGAAGTTAGAGAACCAAGAGTGAATAGAGTGAAAATCTTGGTTGCTTTCTAACGATGGCTTAGCGATGTAACTGCGGGTTTTTCTATTTCTTTATCGTACACATTGAAGTGGTTTGACTTAAGTGGGAGAGAAATCCCATGGACCAAATGATCAACCTGCTAAATACGTATCTGCTATTATCCAGAAATGTATCTTTTAAGGGTCTGAACAGGAAGACCAACCTTAACGTTACAGCAGTTTAAAAATATACTTTCAGCTTTATTTAGGTTGCAAAATAGACACGAAAAACATCTGCTACGTGAACATGCCAGGTGGGGCAGATAATCCTGTTAGCAAAGCGCCTTCTTAGCAGTCCCCTTCAATGTATGTAAGGGCTTAACACGCAGACAGAGGCACAGAACTCAGAGCAGACGAGCCATCTATACGTTTTTGGTTTGAAAACTGGCTAGAATAAACCCATGTAGTTAAAAATGTTGCTTTTCAATTATAACGAGCTTCGCAGTACAAAAAGAATTAAGTGGTCAAAGAACTACAGAGATTCAAAGATGAAATCATACACATTTCTAGCCTTGCAACTTCTAAACAAAACGTCCTAATGCGGAAATGAAAGATTTTTCAGGCACAACATTGCAAAGATAAAACTTTGTAATCATTGGCGAATTGATTGAAGTGGCCTTGGGTGATTTGTTAAGAAGGAACCACCAGTCAGTTGTAGCTTTGTGGAAGAAACCGAAATGCCCTGCCTGTCGGGAAATCAGCTAATCGTGCACCAAAATCCTGCTACACACTAAAAAGCAAAACCACATTAAAGGAATTCTCTTATTAAATCAAGAAAAGGTTTTGTGTAAATTCTGTGACAAGTGATTGTCTGTGGAAATGAAAAACGAGGGTCGAAAATAGAATGACCTAAAAGGAAGCATCAGCTAATGAAAGAAACGTCATCCGGGCGTCTAGGAAGAGCAGGCCAGAGGCCCAGGAAACAGACATAAACATCTGGAAACGGTTTTTTGTTTCGGTACTTCAAGCACGAACTTCGGTACTGACCGCTTCGGTACGCATTTGATTCGAAGAAAATCAGCTTCTACCTCTTACAAGATCTAACTGTATATCAATTTCATTTAAGAAAAATAAGCTTGAAAAGTGGAAGTTAGTGAACATCAGAACGCTTACAAATAATGGCAGAAAAAATAACACATAGTTTTCTCTAGTAACACGGTTCTCTTATACATCTTACCATAGGTGCCAGCAAACTAATCTAGCTTATTTCTTTTAGCTTATTAAATTGTGACGTAGTCTCAAACGTATTCGATAGCAGAAAATATTTGTTACATTTATAAAAGTTTCTTGTCTTTCAGATTAATAAACTTAGACCGGGCTGGTAATGGGGGTCTTATGATTTTCAATCTAGGCGAATGTGCTATAAGGGGACGTTGATGCAATTACAAGCTAGCGGAGGTGTCGACTGCTGCATGCCATACGGGCATCGCAGAGGAGAGACAAATGGCGCAGAAATATATTGTATAACAAAGAACAATGTGCTTTGTGGTGGGATGTAGATTATGAGAATAAAAGAAATATTAATCTTACATACCAGTGGTGTCATGGAATTAAATCAAAAGATAGCAAAGGAATGAGAATTAAGCTTGCAAACACACCTACGAAATTCCATCTCCACATGCATATTACAAATGATATTATGTAAAACAACGCTGCAATGTCAGAATGTAACAAAAAAGCAGGAAAGAGGTGCAGTGCTCAGAAACAACTCTCTGCATCAAACCAGCAAAGTAGCGGCGTTTTTGTTATCAAACAATTCAGAGAATAACATCCCATGCAACTCATGGTTTACAAACATTATCATTGGTTTTCCATTTAGAAATAAGAGGAAACGAAACTTTTTTATCAATAGCAGAAAATAAAGTATAGGGTTAAAGCACAAATTTTGAAAACCTCTTCAAAACAAGGGATTTCCTGCAATATGATGTATACTTTAAGTCGCGTGCGGATGTATTGCTGCATAGCTTCACTGAAGGGGGCTGAAGGGACTACTGAGGGGGCTGAAGGGACTACTGAGGGGGGCTGAAGGGACTACTGAGAGGGCTGATGAGACTGAGAAGCTTAGCATCCCCGAAAAATGTAATTGAACCAATACAATTAATCATCTAGCTCCTGGTTTTTCGCATGTTTTTTATTATTCACTTTATTTAATGTTGGTTTACAAAATACTAGCTAATAAACAGCTAATTAACACCAACTTGTAACGATAACAAATATAACTGAGAAAAAATTGCCATGTTTACAAGTATCCAATATTAGAAATATATGGTGTGCATAGTCTACACGAGCAAGTAAGATCCGTCTGTTTAATTTTAGCTTTGAATACTTCGGCCCCCCAAAAACTCATCAGCCCCCCCCTCCCCTCAAAAGCGTAACATACTATTGGGTCCCTGCGCATAGCTGAGTATGACTGATCTCGGAGGGAAGGTAATAAATGTTTTAAGTGAGGCACAAAATTTATATTCTGAAATTGAAAAGAAACAAACAGTGGACCTTAATGAGATGTGAAAACACGATGTTCGCTTTTAGAAATTAACATGATCACGCTTGCGCAAGGAATATACCGTTTACGTGTGATGATTTTGCAATGCAAGCTACTACATGGCGACAATATACGCCATAACGCGCTTAGTTTCAAGTACCTCCCTATCTATACAATATCAATCAAAAATCAAAATGCAATATCGTCACTTTCAAGGGTTTTTCAATATATCGTGAATTAGAAGGGACCGTTAAACATGCTTCTTGCACGTTGATGAAATTCCTCATTTAACCTGGAATCAATAAGAGAACTTGCGGCTACGTGAATTACGGTTATACGGGAACTTAAAATAGCTTAATAGACAACCGCAATTCGCCAAAAAGTGCTGGCAATTTTGGTTGATGCAACAACTAACAATGTAGCTAACGGTCTTCCAACATACTAATTATTTATTTCATGTCAAACTACACTTAAAGTAAACAATCAGCTTGCTAGTTTAGAAGGGAAGAATACCCATATATTTATAAACTAATTATTAGCGACAAAGTGGAAAGTGACGGGTAAAAGGAAATGGCGACGTAAATGTTTTATTCGAAACAATTTCAAACAGTGGTGGATCTGTGCCAATTAAGGACAGGAACAATACAATAGCATCTCTGGTGTTAAGACTCTGAATAAGTGACAGGCATACTTCCCGTTCATTCTTGTTAACCTGGTAGGCTACCTCCTATAATTATCAAATTACCTGCACCTAAATGGCGTGGAACAACATCTTACACACCCAGAGTCACCCAAATGACACTTGTTTTATTTCGGTTTCTTATGGCTTTTGCCACCCTAAGGGATGCAGCTTATTTTAAAAAACCACCCCTTTCCGGTTCATTTCGTTGAAAATTTGAGAGACCAACTTTATGAACTTTAAACGTTCTAATTTCACCAAATCGGCAACACCCTGATTGAGTTTTTCAACTTTGAAGGTTTATAAATTACAACAACAAATTGATGAGTTTATAACTTTGAAGAATAAATGTGGAGAGTGGCTAAGTTTGGCCTTGCTTCGTTTAGAACCATCAAATCATGATAACAACGTAGAATCCAGTCTTACCAATTTCTTCTTCATCGCTACCATCAGAGCTTCCCGCCGATTTTAGATCATCGACGAAGAACATTTGATCAATTGGCGATGTTGGTCTTGTCTCCCCATTCGACAGATCGATCAAAAGCATCATGTGTCAGGGTTCGTCTTTTCTTAGCGGCCTCAAAATTCCAAATTCATATGTATGAAATAAGATAACTGAAACATTTATCTTCCTTTGGTCAGCATCTTGTTTCTCCGGTCATAACTTGCTACGCTATCCAATGTTTATTTGAGGCCAACAGGGTCACAACTAAAAATTCACAGTGGCTTAGTATAAGCTTGTTGAACTCAGCGACGGGCTTAGATTTGTACATACATGAATGTAAAATTTACGACTTGATGTTAGGTTGTACCATTGAGTTATAGCGGTAATTGCAGACCAGGGGGAGGTTTCCGGAAAAGGCAATATGGTTTGAGACCAGGGGGTTTTCATGACCACTACTTTATGTGTCCGAAAAGGATTATGAACAACACGAAATCATTCAGGGTTACAATAACAAATATCCGCCAGGATTCGTGAATTATGTCCCGTCGTGTTCGCCATGAGACATGTTTTTAAAGTTTATGAAATTCAGGATAGTATGAAATCAGCGAGTTTGATGAGGCAGTAAGCATTTGTTATCACAATAGAAATCCTAGCATTTCCTTTTTCTAATGCGCCGTTTGTTACGATTTTATCTCTATAAAAAGCGAATTCATCGTGATCAGGAAAAGTTCAATAATACGATGCGAAATGAGTCCGGTCTCTTTCTTATAAATAAATTGCAGGTTCATAATCAAGAACAAACATAATCACCGCTGTTTCACAAATAATTGCGCCAATCAGATAAATCATTGATGGAAAGATTTATTGCTGGTTACGTTCATTAAATTTGTTATACCTGAGGTAATAAAAGCAAATTACACAGTTTATGCAATCACCTAAATTATATCTACACATTGCTCAATTCTTTTACCTGACAAAGAACTATCTATACTCCATTATCAGAGAGCGTGCTAGGACAGGGCTTTTTCATGACTTTGGGAAACGAGAAATATTTAAGAAAAGGAAAAGTTTTTGGAAAATTTTAGAGGGAAAGGGAAGAAATCCAAAGAAATCCCAAGGGCAGGGAAAGCTTGTAGTGCCTAAGAGGCAAAGGGTACAGAGATCCAACCAATCCAAGTAAAAAATAATCAGCTTCAATTAAACCTGAGGCATACGTAAATGGTAAGACCAAAAACACAGGTGTAATTTGCAAAATAGGATATCCGTGGCATGGCTGTTTTGTCTTGGTATTCACGCAACATTCGACATCCTCGGCTTCTTTTGAAACAGCCTTCACAAAACGAAGGTCACAATTATATCAAGTTTCCTGAAGATATCATGGGACTTGTAATCTTCAGCTCTTACGTCATCGTGGATTAGGATTACGTTTTGCAGCTTTTAGCAAAGTGCTAACGTACCGTTATCCGGAATACTCAAATACTGCATGTTTTCAAGCTATGCAAAAACAGAGAGTGCCCTGTCACGCAATATTTGAAGGAAAAGCTCTCCTTTTCTCCGTGATACTTTGAATGTAACAAGCTCTACGAAAATTCCAGTCGTCAAGCAATGCCAAACCATTAAAAGCGCAGGATATGCCTCAATTCTTAATTTTGTTGTCGATATTAGCGTTTCTTGAAACGTCTTTAAATTTATCTGGTGAAAATTTGCTGCATTTCAGGAACACAAAAACGTGAAAATTGATACTTTCTTTTATTTCAGGTTATTTGATTATTTCAGATAATTCTGCTCGGACACGATGTTCTTATTTTGTGAAAATATGATGCTCGAGAATTTCTAATGTTGTTCTAATTTCAAAAAGGATTTTCTTAAAACTGCATATGTTGAATTGTTTCTAAGTTTTGCAAGACCTCTGCTCTGTTTTCCTGTTTTGTTATCAGGAGAGAAAATGTTCAAAATTTTTTTGGAAATCGAGCCTTTAATTTTTTGGAAATCGAGCCTCGGTGTCCTTTTAGAGTGTGTTGTGTTCTTGTGAAGCATTGTGTAAAAGGGGTGCCATCCAGCGTTCTAAAGAGCGTGCCCTCAACAAATTTTCGGGGGCAAACCCTCAGTCTCCATTTCAGCCCCTCCACTTTAAGACTGGCGCGCGATGCCTACATTTCCAAGAATGAGCGGCATGATTTACTAAAGTTACCAAAAGAGCAAAAGAGCTAATGGAGAGAATTAAAAATATGACAGATTTGAACCTTTGCCTCAGATCTGAGACCAGAGGAAAATATTCTAAACGTGCTCATTCTGCATTGCAGTCAAAGATCGAGATACCTGGGGGGCGGGGAGGGCGGGGGCCTTGGCCTTCAGAAAACTTAAAGAACATTAAGTAAAATATTTCATTTTGTAAAATATGGCTATTGTTACACTATTTTATCAGGGCTGGCCCCAAACAAAAAGTTGTATCTCGATCTTTGATCGCAGTGAAAGTTGGTTTCAAATCCTATGGTTATTTCTTAACAAATAAAATGTTTTACTTTATCTGTAAAATTGGATCTGGGGGCAGATTTTCTACCGTTAAAATGAATGGTGAGGTATATCTATCAGTGTATTCATTTATTTTCTGGGTGAGCCATTGACAAAATTTTACTACACAGGCGGGCCAGATGAATAATTGTAGAAAGTTTTTTTCAAATCACACATCTAACTTGTAGTTGACGTGCGAAGAAAGTCACGTAAATGTATTTCTGTATGCTTATATTGTAGCGTTGAATTGTTCTGTTCAGCTTCGAAACAGAAACATCTGCTTAAAATAAATATAAAGAATGCCTAATAATGGGTTAGCATGCCTAATAATGAAATGTAACAATTTTAGCGGGGATAGCACTGCATAGACATAGCTCAAGGACTGCATATGGCCCGCGGGCCGCATATTGGAAACACTTGCACTAGTGCAATGGATTCCACACTAAACGCTTTTGTTTTATTAGCCAACTGCTAATGCGACATATGCCCTTTAAATTTTTTCTCTTTTGCTTGAGCATGTAAATAATATGAATTTCCCGATATGTTGAGCTGAGTGTAAGACCTCGTGACAAACTGCGGCGTAACCAGAACCAACAAACTTCAAAGATTATGTTATATAATAACGGGCTTCGCGCCAAGTTGAGGACAACACGATTACAGAACAACCTTGCGAAGAAAAAAAGAGTAGAGTTCCTTTTACAACAAGAGCTGGCATAGGTGCCGATTGGCCAACTTACGTGGGGATTTCTGAGAGGGTGATCAACCATTCCTGGTAGCTTTTTTAATGATTCAAAAACGTTTTATATTTGCTTGCATATAAGAGGCGGCAATCAGAAAGGGGCATTTAGTAGTCGAAATCTTCAGTCAAAAGGACTATTTTGTACGTAACTGTCAACTGTTGAGACCAAATCCTATCATTTTGATTTTTGAAATTAAAATGAGTCCCATTTATAAAAAATAATGACAATTCGAGCCTTGAACCAAATCGATTGGATTATTGGAAATTGAAAGTAAGCGCCTACGACAACAGGACTGATGGGAACGTAGCGGACGTGACAAACTCAAAATGGATGGAAAACCTTTGCAATAGGTCAGTATGATATACTGCAAAGATAACTCTACCAAATTTTACTTATAAAGTAATTTGGTAGGTGAAAAGAAACGAGTCTGCTCACGTTTGGTCCCACTGAAGCAGGAATGCGGACAGAGCTGCATCTACAGTAGCTAGGATTTTCCTTGGAATTTTATTCCTTGGTAGAATCAGAAACAACAACGTAAATGCTTTCATTTACCGTGTAAAATAATGTTGAATCTAGCGTTTATTCAATATGTATGTAGTAACAATTGATTGCATGCTGGGTGAGTGGCACCTAGGCTGCCACGCGCCTATTTTGCTAACAAATGTATCCCCCCCCCTCCCCAAAAAAGATTATGAAGCCATAACCTTCTTTCATTTAGCATTTTAGCTAAGTAGCTAATGGTAACCCGTTAGTTACGACAGATTTAGCTCGCCAGGGAAGCTCATCAGCCGCTAATGATGCCAGACGTCTAATCAACTAGGTTAATTACTCTTAGGCTCCAAATTACTGCAGAAATGGCGATTCAAAATGACCAATCATGATTCACTGATAGCAAGGCGAAAGGCCATGGTCACCGCGATGAATGCTGGGGCGGACCTGTTCGCGTCACTTTCCCAGCAGTCATTTCTTACTTTTTTTATAAAAGTAACGTAGTTAATAAAGATTCTATCGTAACTTTAAAAAGTCAAATGAAATTTTTTTTTATTTTATTTTTAGGAGATAATTAACAGTTAACTTTACATGTCGCTTAGTACACATTAACGATGATACGGCCGTGTAACGGACATTTGGTACTGTCCTCTTTAAAGAGGTGTGACCTTCTTGGAGGGTTATGTTTGTAACCGGGCTGTACTGGCGCTGGGTACCATTTTGTGAGATGAGCACCACTTATGATTGACGATATCAACTATATTTCGAATGTATTTATTGAAAGCCACGTGAAGGAACCCGGTTAAAAAAAGCATTGTTGGTTTCTGATACTTTGCACGAGTCAGCCACATTTGACGGGGAATGTGACCTTTTTTAAAGATTGAATGTGACCCTATAGGATAGAACACTAGACCTCAACAACAGAAGAGCTATATATATATATATAAATCAGCCATATTATGTTATATAATTCACTGTATGACTACAAATACAAAGGAGGGTCTGTAGCAATGATTTCTCTAGACATTCGCTATACAAGTTTAGCAGAATTCTTGCAAAGTAAAAAAGCGAAGCAAAACTATACAACGTTTCTAGTAATTAACTCTTTAAAGATTTTCCACGCTGTGGCAAGGACACGAAAAATACCACTTTCGTATAATTTACTAAGTTTTTGTCCATAGCCCAAAAAATTATATAATAATGCTGTATGGTTGACACATAACCCCCTTTCTTTATGAATGGTATCAGCTGGGTGGAATACAAAAAACAACACAGTTGTTCAATACTCAGGGTGCACAAGCATTCTCCACCGAAGAAGGAACATGGACACAAGACGGACAGCTGTTTTAGCTCGAATCGCATGTTATCCTAATATGGTTGATCAAGACTACTGACACTACGTAGAAAGCTTTTTCTTTCAAGCTTTTGATAAACTGATTTTCATAAGCTGAAGTATTACAGTCGCAACCAGTTCTATGTGCATTAAATGAGTAGCAGTAGGACTTATTAAAGCCGATTCTCTTTAAATTACGATGCATGAGGCAAATTCTACTTCCTCGTTTAAAGATTTGAAAGTAACAGGAGAACTTTGCAAAAAGAAGATGTTTTATCAGGGATTGCTTGATCAGTGACTTTATGCTAATAATCAAGGCTAATGAAAGACATACCATTTGTGGTTGAGAGTCGCCTTTTGTACGATACTGCTTGGAATTGCCGCGGAGGACAAACGGCTGAGGTCTTTCTCAACCTTCCAGCAGAGGTGAAGAGGAATGGCTAGGAAAAAGGTAAAATACATATTAGCACACTTAATGCAAACAAAGGATTAGAAATTCAAATTCTTGTCGATTATGATGAATTACAAGCATTGCTTATGTAGGAATTGATTATCAGGAAGAAAAACAAAATAATCCAAGAATACGCAAATAAAGTGCGTGCAAGCACTTAATGCTTGATTTGCCAATTTAGGCTCTTTCGACTTGTTACAAATGACATTGTGTAACATCATTTCGTTTAGGGAGACAAACGTCAGTGTGAGCAGGAATTTAGCAAAAGCCCGTGCTTAAAAATATTCAAAATTACGGTTGTTGCACTTTAGTTGCCTTAAACTGCCATACTATATGTGAGTTTATATCCAAGTATAAACATCTGGCTCGAGTTGGCCCGAGCCATCCCTCCCCCTCCCCTTCCCTTCTTCTCCCCTCCCCCTTCCCCTCCATCCAAAATAATTGGGAGACTTCGTTCCCTCTATCTTTAGGCAGATTTCGTGCGGAGAGATGACGTTACTGAAGTCTTTGCCTCTGTAGGCCTAACCGCATTGGATGCTTAGGGGTGGAAAACGAACAGGAAATTCTTCAAAACAGTCGATCAAGCCATCTAACTTTTTGTCACCACTAAATAAAAAAACGTTTTCTTGACAAAGTTCGCACAACATTATAAAGATACGTGCAAACTAAACTACTAAAAAAAATAAAAGAACAGCCTAGTCGTCGATCACATTGGCCTGTGGATGTAAATCTGCTGCACAAATCTTCTGTATCCACCATAAAAGGCAGAAAACAAAATTATAGGCAGCAAGTTACATTTTAACGACAGACTCCAACTTTAACAACAGACGATGAAAGAAATCCAATGCGAGAGAGTTGAGGTCCTGCCAATTGTTTTAACAGAAACAATAGTTTCGACATCAACAACAGTCTCAAATTACGGTGTGCTTGCTGTTTGGGTCAAAACAGAGAGGCGCTTTTAACAAGTTTGTAATATTCTACATCTTCATCTAGTCTTGGCAAAGCTTAAAAACTTCAATTAAACCCCAATTATAAGAAAATTCACTTAAGTTAATTATCTATGATGCACAACGATTATTTGGAAAACGAATTGACGGGCCTTATAACAAATTTTTAGAACAAAATAGCGAAATCATTCTTGTATGGTGTTTTATATCAACTTCTTAATCGATACCTCGCCTACAGGAAAACATAGAAAATTGAATTTATTAGGTTAAGGTTCTATTGATGTTTTACATTCAAATTAAACATAAATTTCAACAGAAGATTAAAGGAACGGATGGCCTCTGCGCCTGATATGAATATACTACGTCAATCATGATTCCTTTCTCTCTCAGCGAACCAATTTTACAGTGACACAGTTACCTTCTTGATGCGATTTCTATTCCCCTTCGCAAGCCTCCCCCGGTACTTCTTGATTTCCATGTCTATGAAACTTCAACGACGAGCAATGTGCGACTTATTCTTGCTCCGACTGTAAACGGCTATCTCTATCTCTCTGTAGCTTCGTTCAAAATCTTTTAATAAAGTAAATAATATGATCTTTAAAATCGTGCGCAGTAAGTGACTCGCAAGTCAAACAAGGCAGGTACTGGTGACCCACGATTCACTGTTTCCTTTTTGTTGGAACGTGTTGTTTGACAAGAATTTCTTGGAGTTGTTTGACTTATAACTTGTCTCTTCAAAACATTTGAGTCAACAAGCTCGTTCGCCATTTGCTTTCATAAGTCACGGAAATCTTGGACATGAAAGGCACACTCACGGCACAAGCGGGAAATAAAAAGTCATGTAACAGGACATCAGAAGAATAAGAGGTCATGCTTAACAAAAAGATGGATGGTTCAATTTCGCAATATTGTAAACTTTCAACTCTTTACAGTGAAGTAGACTGTAATTCTAATGCATGCCACTTGAATCGGGTGAAAAAGATACATAGGACCAGTGCAAAACATTCATCCGGTGGTGCCGTGAATGAAAGACTCAGGGGGGCTCAGCCCCCTTTGTTAGAATTTAGAGAAAATTTGGGGGGATCAGCCCCTCTTAACTAGTAAGTTCATATTTGATTGGACGAAATCTGTGTTGGCAACCCTTTATTATATTATAGGTTTTTAATGAATGAGCAATTTCTTATCCGTCTTTATGGTTCTTACACAAATGGAATTTTATTGGGTATGGTAAAGGTTAGATCATGGATGTGGCCTCTTGAATATGCCTACAGCACAGCCCCCCTTCCTAACTTTTTTATCAGGGTACCTGTTTAATAATGTCACTATGACTTGGTACAGACTCTGTAGGTACAGGTACTGGTACAAGTCTTCGATTTGCCTGCTTTCTCTTTCTTATACAAACGATGCTGCAGCTGAAATTGTCGGTAAATGCATTCAAAATATCAGAAACAGCAGGGCATGGTGAATTCCAACAGGATACATGGTCTCTGTTCATCTCTGATCACAAAGGGGGATGGTAATCACAGGGAGGTTTGTATTATCTCTGAAAACCAATACACCAATCCGACTTACGGCCTCGTTTTGAAAAATTCTCCAAATTTTTTTGTACAAAATTTCTAGCCTGAGATTCGGATTAAAGCAATGATTTTAGTCCACTTGGAGGTTTTCACTATGGTACTGCTCACGATATTGATTTTAAGACGACATAAGGATAAAAATTTTACAAGGGATTTGACCGTGATGATTGGCGACTAGGGGGTATAGTTTCACCCGGAATGATTTTTGCGGTCAAATCCCGTACAAGCTTTGAAACTTCATTTCTCCGTAAAGTCTAAATTACAAGTACAAACCTAAAATTACCCATCCTAAAATTTTTGTGATAAAACCAAATCTAGGCTTAAAAAGGTCGTATAATCAAATTAGAGAAATTTCCAAAACGAGGCCGCAAGTCGAATTGGTGTATGTAAGGAAGTCGCGATAAACAGGGTGGGATGAGGTCGAACAAAAATTGATTGAACAAAGAGCCAATGGCGTCTTTTGACCTTCCACACTCGGGGTAGAGAGTCATCGATAGCAGAATTTGCCGACGAAGGCCCAGAAGGGAAATTTCCAGGATAAAATTTTGGTGCTATTTCACCGACAGATAGATGATTTTACCTTCAATGTAAGAATGTTGTGGACTAACTGAAGATTTACCGACCAACTCTTGAAGTACTAGGGTGAATCACACCCTTACCAACCCCCCCCCCCCTTCCTAGCTGCGCCCTGTAACAAATTGTATCTGCATTTGCTACCACGAGGAAGATGACAGAGATACTTGAGGAAACTGCTCTGATAATGTAAACATGCACACGGAGGAAAAATTTTTTCAAAGGTTTTAGTTGTCGATAGGCTTATTTCTACCCCTGCATACCTATGGAAAAGGGAACAGCCAGAATAACTTACATGAGTGGTTCAATTTTTCAAACTAAGTTGGAACTTAACCCCTCTTTATTAGGCACTGGAGAAGAGATGCAATAATATGACTTGGTGCTATGCATTAAACGATTATTCTGTTCTTTGCATATGTTGTTGTAATCGAATTATCACGATCAGTCAATCTCAAGACCCTAGACGAACTGCATAGTGAAGTCTTCGCTCTGGGACTATTGATGACTACTCATCAGATACAGAAAGTTTTAGACTGTAGCAAGACTGGGCAGGGCCCTGTCCAATTCCATAACTCGTGCTTTATAATTGTCCACTGTACTGATAACAGTCTACCTTCTTTCCCCGGTGTCCTTACTATTTGCTTTTAAAAGGCTGAGTCCAGTTGAAAACAATAGCAGACTCAAGTTAGCTGCGTAACAAGCTCAAAGAAAAAATCATGAATTAGGCCTTTTCGACAGGTTTCACAGACAGACGCGGCTGCATGATAAATACTTAAACTATATGTTTTTAATCATCTATCGTCGTTTTGACGATCATTAGAATTATTAATGAGTTGTGGGAAACAACAAAGTAATCCTTCATTGATAATTAAAAATCCGAAAAGGCCCTTCATTATTAAGTGTTCTAATGCAAAGATGGTAGTCGATCTTATTGTATCTGAGATGTATACTATCGTCTTTAAATCTATATGCATGGTTTCCAGCGATGCTTAAGTTCAAGCAGTATTTAATAAAAGGCCATTCATATATAAGTAGACGTACAATTGACCTCCATATATCTAAATAAAAGATTCGACCGATAGATTTAAAGCAATTAAAGAATTGTAAAATTTGTTGGTTCAAGTTAAAAGACAGAGCCGAATGCAAACACTTAAATCGAAGTGCATGTGGATGTAAAAGAAGCAAGTAAAGAAATTATTCAAAACAGTCCGAGTTCAATTCAACAGTACTGGTTAAAATATCACCAATTTTCTATCATAACGTCACGAAAGCTTAAACGTTACTGATAACTTTGAAAGAGTGCCTTAATAGACTTTTACAATGCCACCTGTTGTGGTTTGGGTTATAAAAAACATATTTGCAAGCAACTTTCTTGCAATGGCTATCCCAGTACGGCTTAGCTAAATTAACTTCAATATGCATCGTAAGTAATACAGAAATTGATTTCATGTCAAAATGAAACTCAAAGATTTTCTCTACACTAAAGTTTTCACAGCTCTGCTGTCTGTACGACAGGAGCATTATTTGAAAGACGACCTTTAAAACAGAACTTTCAAGTTTTTTTGTTAGATACATTAAATACAAACTTGTCGAAACTGAAGTTTATTTGACCATATTGCCATAATTTAAGGACTGTAAAAACTAATGAATATTCATATCTTCCAAAAACAAAGTTAGTTTTCTAACAAAAAATACCTATATTTTGGAGACATGAAAAATGGCATTGAAGTGAAAGAAAATGTTTTCTGAAGACCTGGAAATAAAATTAATACAGTGCGTCCCTTCTAGAATGTTCTTCAGTCTACCCACCTGACATGAATTATTTGAAAATAAATATATTCGTAAAATTTGAAAAACAGTAATTTTTAGAACTAAGAAACATTAATGAGGAT